TACTGTCATTATTCCCATTTTACAGAAGACGATGAAAACTTGAAGAACATTAAGTGATGCTCAATGTCACATAGCTGGTAAATGGCAGAGCCAGGATTTATATATAAATTTGATTTCAGATATCTACCAGTCCAAACCACCACTGTATTCTTTACAATACTTCCCTAGCTCTAAACTAATCTCTGCACCCTAGCATTTAAGAATGCCCCAAATCTGGCTCTAATCTCTCTTCCTGATCTTTCTTTCACTAATCCTTTTCAAAAATTCTTCTCCAGCTCAAGTGATCTACTCAAATTCCCCTAAGGAACCTGTGGATATTTCCACCTCTAATCTTTTACCGAAACTCCCTTGCCTTGACTGCCCCCTCCTTTCATCTCCTCTCCTCTTAAGATCTACATTTAAGTCATAGCTTAAGTCCCACTTCCTCTACAAAGCCTTTCCTGCCTCTTACTAATCCCTCTGTCTCAATTTATCTGGTACCTTTCCTCCATAAAAATAATTTCTAATTTTTTTAAGTATCACAAACCACCACGGGTCTTATTGAAAGGCAATATGTATGGTGGTCAATAGTGTGAGCTTTGGGCTAAGCGCTGTGGCTCGCACCTGTAATCCCAGCACTTTGGAAGGCCGAGGTGGGAGAATAGCTTGAGCTCAGTAGTGTGAGATCAGCCTGAGAAATATAGTGAGACCCTGTCTCTACAGAATTTTTTCAAATAGCCAGGTGTGCTGGCAACAGCCTATGGTCCAGCTACTCAGCAGGCTGAGGTGGGAGGATTGCTTGACCCTTGGAGTTGAGGCTGCAGTGAGCCATGACTATGCCACTGCACTCTAGCCTGGGCAACAGAGAGATAACACACTTTCTCTACCTATTTCTCTCTATATATACATATATGTGTGCGTATATGTATGTATATATTTAGTATTAGTTCTCACATTGCTATAAAGAACTACCTGGGACTAGGTAATTTGTTAAAAAAAAAAAAAAGAGGTTTAATTCACTCACAATTCTACAGGCTGCACAAGAAGCATGGCTGGGGAGGCTTCAGGAAATTTACAGTTGTGGTGGAAGGTGAAGAGGAAGCAGACACGTCTTACATGGCAGCAGTAGGAGAAAGAGAGCGAAGAGGGAGGTGCTACACACTTTTAAACAACCAGATTTCTTAAGAATTCTATCACAAGATAGCACTAGGGAGATGGTGCTAAACCATTAGAAACCACCCCCATGATCCAATCACCTCCCATCAGGCCCCACCTCCAACACTGGGAATTACAATTCAACATAAGATTTGGGTGGGGACACAGAGCCAAACCATATCATATATATATGGTGTGAGCTTTGAAGTCAGTTATATTTGTGCCCCCATTTGCCTACTCATGACTCTGGAAGTGTTATATAATTTTTTAAAAATATGTTTTCTTATTGTACAATGGGGATAATAATAGTACCTACTTCATTTGTTCAGTAAATATTCTGAGCACCTATCATGTGTCTGGCACTGTGCTGAGCACTGGGGATTCCACACTGAAAAAAAGAGGTATGCTTCCTGCCATTGTGGAGCTTGCATCTCAGTGAGGGAAACAGGGCTAAATTATTACTGTGTATGTAGCTAAGTGCAATGAAAAGTAATGTGCATATTATCAGTAATCCTATCTAGTCTGTGGGAGAGGTGCTCATAAAAGGCCTTTCCTTCACGTAAGTTGAGTTTTGAAGGATAAAGAGGAGTTAGGGAGGCAAAGAGAAAGGGTTGAAGACCATGCCGGGTAGAGGAAATGGTAAATTTGAAGAGGCATGCATGTTGAAGTAACAAAGAAAGCCCAGCGTGGCTGAGGTCTCATCAAATGTTATGGAGGTTAAGTGAGAGAGCAGATGGTTCTGGATATTAATTGGTATATAACAACCAACCTCAAAGCTTAGTGGCTTGAAAAAATAATACTTACTCTGATTATTAATTTGCAATCTGGGTGAGACTCAGTGAAGTTACCTCATCTCTGCTCCACTCCATGTCAGCTAAAGAAGTAGAGTGACAAACCCAGGCAGAAGCTCTATCACCTTTTGCAACTTAGCCTCAGAAGTCTCTTAGCATTACTTCTGCTGTAGTCACTGACATGCCCAGATTCAAAGCTGTGGCCATAGGTATTAGCTTACCATAGAGAAGTGTTAGCATCATATTATTAAAAGAACATGTTTAATGGGATATATTGGTATATTTGGTATATAATGTATATATTGGTATATTTTTGGAAAATGCAGTCTTCTCAAAGACATACAGTATTAGTAGAATGCACATTCAGCCAGTCGCAGTGGCTCATGCCTGTAATCCCAGCACTTTAGGAGGCCACGGCAGGATCACTTGAGGTCAGGAGTTCGAGACCAGCCTGGCCAACATGGTGAAACCCTGTCTCTACTAAAAATACATGGTGGCTCACACTTGTAGTCCCAGCTACTGGGAAGGTTGAAGCAGGAGAATGGCTTGAACCCAGGAGGTGGAGGTTGAGCTGAGATGGTACCACTATACTTCAGCCTGGGTGACGAAGTGAGACCCTGTCTCAAAGAAAAAAAAAAAAAGAAAAGAAAAGAATGCACATTTGCTGGGCGCGGTGGCTCACGCCTGTAATTCCAGCACTTTGGGAAACCAAGGTGGGTGGATCACCTGAGGTCAGGAGTTCGAGACCAGCCTGACCAATATGGTGAAACCCCATCTCTACTAAAAACAACAACAACAACAACAAAAAAAAACAAAAATCAGCTGGGCGTGGTGTGCGCCTGTAGTCCCAGCTACTCGGGAGGCTGAGACAGGAGTATTGCTCGAACCCAGGAGGCAGGGGTTGGAGTGAGCCAAGATCATGCCACTACACTCCAACCTGGGCGACACAGCGAGACTTGGTCTTGAATTTTAAAAAATGCACATTCATAGTTTATATCAGAATTATTACTTGGTATTATCACCACCATCATCACCCAACTTCCCTCATCCTCACCGTATACTTAATATAGTATTTTGTTGCTTTGAGTTACACAGCATTAGTGCACATTTAAATTTTTCATATCCGTTGAAATAACATTTTATAAATTAGGAACAACAGGTTCATGCACTTACTAGACACTTGGCATATGATAGAATATATTGTTGTAGTTACTCCACATACTGTCTTTCTTACTAGTCAACCTTCAAGGTAAGGAGTAGCTGTTACATGCCTGTAACTCTGATGTCTGGGACAGTGTCCTGCCCAGAGTAGGCACTTAATAAATGTTTGTGTTTTTTATTGTTGTTGAGCTATAATTGTGAACTTGAGATTTCCTAAGCAGGTAGGTTTTCTATCCTGTATTATTTTTAGTTCAGATCATGCAATCTATGCCTAATATATATTTTCTATTTACTCTTTTTCAGTAACTGCTGTCTCAAAGTAAAAAATGGAAATCTTTGACTGAATGGACTGGTAGCAACAGATCTGAAATTCTTAGAAATGTTGGAACCAGAAGCTACTTCCCACACAATCCATGAAGTGGGGGAGAGAGAGAAAGAGAAAGAGAGAGAGAGAAACTGGGTCTTGCAGAGAGACAGAGACAAATACTACCCAGTTCTTGACCCTCACCAGGTTTGTGGCTTTAGGTTCTGTGCCTCTCTTCCTCATGTGTGAAATGAGGCTAATAACACAGCAGCACAGGGTTGTTGGAAGAGTAAAATGAAGCAACAAACAAGAAGATGTTAGGGATGGTAGAAAAATGCTAATAAATGTCAAATATGGATAGAAAGGAAATTGGATATGAGGTACAGGTCTGTTTAATTTTATTAATAATAAAATAATTATATATTTACCAAAAAAGAAACTGCTTGACAAAATAATTCAATATACTATAACGTTAAATTCTAAGGCTTCCTGTTGCTTTAACTTTTTTTAGTAAATGTTTTTGTTGAAGTATAATCTGATTGCATTTTGGAATAATTTAATTTACAATAATTTAATTTATCTTATAGCCTTTTAAGATCACATTCACTGCAATGGGTAAAGCAGAATGTATCCATAATTTATTGTCGGGGTTAGAGACTTGAACTGATAAGGATATCGTTATCTACTGTTTAGGGCAAAAGATGTAAAATGAGTGTGCATTAAGTGCCAAGGTTGTCTCTAAAAAGGGCCCACTGTAAAAGCCAGAAGCGTGCCAGTTCAATTCAACAAATATTTAATTAGCACTTGTGATTTCCAAGGCACCGTTTTGGGTACTGAGGAGGAAGCAAAAATGAATAGCTGCTAATGCCAGCGAAAGACAAGACATGAACCAAGCAACTAGACTGGAAAGAGTGGGGCGTCATGATGTAGAAAAGGCAAAGCACAGGAAGAACCTAGTGGCGCTTAAAATAATCCAACTTTTCCTGCCTTTTTTCTTCTTTTTAAGATTCTATTTTGGATCCCTTTTCGCACGTGCCAGGTCGCTTGTCGGCAGAGAATCCTCAACCCTGAGAAAGCTCTCCTCCCTATTCTTTCTTTCCTCACAAATTCGATGAGCTCTTCTGCCATCAGCACTACTTTTGGAATGGTATCTATTGTGTGGGTGGTGAAACGATGGAAAGATATTTTTGTTCTAATTATGAGAACTGTTTTACTGGGGGAAGGAGGGAGAGGCTGATCTGAAGCGCTGATGAGATGCTCTGCGAGGATCCTCCGAGGAGGCGTTACTAAGGTTACTAGAGAGAGGACGGCAGGTGATAGGCAGGGTAAAACAAAATATATTTTCAAATGAGAGGCGTGGGCTGAGCAGCAAGCAGTGCCAGCAGTACTAGATGCCGGATTCCCTAGAGGTGAAAGGAAGGCGGTCCAGGGAAAAACTGGGAGCCGCGACTTGGCGAAAGCTGAGAGCGTCTTCGTCCCTTCCGGGCCGTTTCTCCCGCTGCCCTTGTTTCCCGGAGCTGTTCTGGCTGTAGCACAAGATCGGCGCACTCGGGCGACGGTGCCATTTAGATGTAACACGTGGTCGTGTAGGACCGGAAGTGGTGCCCAGTCGGGACCCGTAGGGAGAGGCGGGTAGCGGGCGACGGCGGCGGCGGTTGTGGGGAGGCTGCGCGGCCGGGCGCATGGGACCTGTCCTGCAGCGGCTCTCTCAGGCTGTGGGTCGTCGCTGCAGCTGCCGGGAAAGAAGGAAACGACGACTCCGGGGGCGAACTTGGCACACAGGGAGGAAGGGAAAGGGTGTGTGACGAGGGCTGTGGGTATATTTGGCATCAGGGAGAAGGACCTCAAAACTTGCTTTTCATATAGTACTAGTTGATTGTCGGTTTTTGTTTGGTTTTGTTTTGGATGACAGATTCTGGAGACACCTGGCATCTCTGTTCCTGAGTTTCTGCCGGCTCTTGTCAGTTGATTCGTAGCCTGAAGTGAGTGAAAGCTTTTTAGTTCAACCAGTGAGTTAAGAAAGGTATGGGTTGGATGGAGCGGCCAGCTAATAAAGAAATGGGAGAGTAGGAGCGAGAGTAGGAAGTGGTGTCCTGGGGCGAGGGACAAGATGATGATGATGATAGTTAACATTTACTGGGTTTCACTATAGAAGACAACGATAAAACCCTTTAGATGAGGTAACTCATTTAATCTCCATTCCTATGAGGTCAGTCATCTTACTAGCCTCTTTTTATAAATGAGGACACTGAGGCTTGGAGAGGTTAAGGAACAGGCCCAAAGAAAGACAAATGGAAAGTGCAGGGCCAGGCTGTGAATTCTAGTAGGCTGATCTCAGAATATATCTCTCAACTCCACGCTACAGCTGACCCCGATCAAGATGGAAAGAAAGTGAGGACATAGGACAAAGAGTGAGAGGACAATATGGCTTGAACAGATGTGATAAGACAGCTGGAGTTGACCTAAAAAAGGGTGTAAAATCCAGGTGTGTAAGGCAATAACAGATGTAAGGGAGGGTAGAGGTGGAACTGTGGCTTTCTAACCTTCGTCTCCAACCTTAACTAGCATCTTCCTCTAGGATTTTAGTGGGACAGAGAAGAGAGGTATATACCCACACACCTAAGTTTGAAAGTGGAGTTACAGACTTTAAAGGTTGTTAAAGATTTAAACAACTTAAAGATTATTTCTCGTAGCTACCTTATTTAATAGATGAAGTCCAGGGAGATGAAATGACTTATTCAAGGTAGCCAGGACTAGAAACATGTCGTTTATCATAGATCCAATGCAATGAAGTTTAGGGAATTCTTTCCTCTTTTTCCTGCTGCACTTGCTGTCGTTATATTAGTTTTAATAATTTGATATATCATTTAACCTGGACTGTTCCTTCCAGCCATGTAAATTAGTTATTTGTGACATCAAATAGTCAAATAATCCATCCATCCATCTTAGTGTGTGTTCCAAATTCAGTGTAAAGCTGGAACCAGGAACAACTTCTAATACAATTGAGTGACAACTGACGTCTTCCAGCATTTCTAAGAGTTTCAGTTCAAAAATGAAGTCCCAGCATTTTGGGAGGCTGAGGTGGATGGATTGCTGAAGCCCAGGAGTTCGAGACCAGCTTGGGCAACATGACGAAACCCCTTATCTACAAAAAAAAATTTTTTTTAAGTTTAACAGCTGTGGTGGTGCATTCCTATAGTCTCAGCCTGGAGAGACTGAGGTGGGAGGATCAATTGAGCCCAGGAGGTTGAGGATGTTGTGAGCCATCATGGTGCCACAGCACTCCAGCCAGGGCAACAGAGCAAGACTCTCCAAAAATAACTAGATAAATAAAATGAGACAAGAGAAAGCTGACTAGTCCAAAGGGAAAGGTGGTTTACCTTAAAGAAACTCAAAAGAAAATGGAAATCTCTACATATGTTGAAAAAGATTACAGGAAAATTTTCATCAATTGATGATGTACTGTTCATAAGTACTGTAATTCTCCTGGAATGTAGTAAATCATATTCCAGAGAGGAAATTTGGAGTAGTTGAAATTGTGGGCACAAGAATCAAGTAGAGCAGATTAGCCACTTACTGGATTTGTAAAATAGATTTACTTTACTTTGATTACTTCTTTCCTAAATGAAGATAACTTTCTGACTTGCAGAATTAGAAGCATTGTTTGTAAAGTACTTAACACAAATGTCTGGAACAAAGTTGGTGATAAACACACAGTGATTACTACTACTCTGAATCAAAAGTGAAGCATTGCTAAACCTTGTAAGCAGTCACTGCAGCTTCTAGGCCTGGCTTTCCATGAAAAGATCAAAGAGTAGTCTTCTTTGTTCACCTAATGACAATTAAGGGTGAAAAATGTTGATGCATTTTCTGAAAGGTGTGTCTCTTATTTAAAAGTGAATGAAAGTTTTAGATGGCTAGATGGCCTGTGAACAGGAATCTGCCCACAATGATCCTTTAAAACTGTAACTTATTTTTTAATTATTCTGTTTCCTGGACAATTGGCAACCTAGATTCTATATAGCTTTGTACTCCTTTACAGATGCATGGCCATGGGGGCTACGATTCTGATTTTAGTGATGATGAACACTGTGGAGAATCCAGCAAAAGGAAAACAAGGTAAGTAATTTTTTTTATTGATCTGTTTCTCACATCCTTTCTAGATTAATATGAAGCATAAATAACTAAGAGTGAAATTTTTGAATTGTGTTTACATGTGAAGACAGTTGCTCTAGTGAAGTTTTCATTAAATTAATACATTGATTAAAAATTGGAGAACAATTGTGGGAAAAATAAAACATTAATTCTGTGAAGGGGTTTATTGAAAGGGAAAGAAGAGTTTCAGATTTCTGGAATCTTATCAGAAATCAGTGAAACCTTTTCATTGCATATATTTTTCATTCAACTGTCAAGGACTGTTTATTTGCAAATGTAGCTCAGAAGGGGCGTGAATGGTGGTCTTTTGCCAGTACTTGCCTTCAAAGTGAAGTTAATATGGAGGATGAAAGTATAATGCAGCACAGTTCTTATGGATACATGAATGAGCAGACTAAGAGGTCATGGGAAGAAACTCAAGGAAGGTTTTATTGAATTGCAAGAAACAAGAACTCTTAGCACATAAAGTCTGTGCATTATAAGCAGGATACGTCTTGGTGGAGCTGCTGTGCGTAGGAGCATTGTTCTTAGCTTTCAGTGCATAGAAACTCAGTTTTATACTTTGACTCAGGAGTGGTTGACTGATGTATACTAACCAGACTTACACACCAGGCTGTTGACTAATTTTTGCTAAGCAAACTTATAGAAATTGGCTTATCATTTCACACTGAGAGCAATATATTAGGCATACTCACAGTGTCTGAACATTTTTGTAGGATACTCAGTCTTTGTGATAACTCAAAGGATAGTACTAATTATAATTACATTTTTGATGCTTTACATTTTCTAGATTTTTCATTCAAAAATATTACTTTGTAAGAACAGAATTTGAGCAAATCTAGTTGGATACTCTGCTCCAGGATTATATTCATCACTGTAACTAGGGCTGATCGTCTATGGCAGGGTGTCCAATCTTTTGGCTTCCCTGAGCCACATTGGAAGAAGAAGAATTGTCTTGGGCCACGCACTACAGTGGAGCACACACAATTGTGAATCTGTTGGCTCACACTGTTGGCCTGGAGCAGTGCTGGGCCTGCATAAAATACACTAATGATAGCCAATGAGGTTAAAAAAAATTGTGAACAAATGTGTTAATGTTTACAAATTTGTGTTGGGCCACGTTCAAAACTATCCTGGGCCACATGAGGCCCACAGTTTGGATGAACTTGACCTATGGTTGTTTTCTCTATAATCAGCCTTGCTTTTTGCTTATTATTAATTACCATAAACTTCCTTATCACTATGTTACAGATAGAGAATTAAGAAACAAAGAGATATATAATCGAGTCTTATTAAGATTAAAGTAGTAATTGACAGAATTAGGATTTGAATCAGGAACCTAGGTGATATGACACTAGAGTCCATGCTTTTGTTAGTTTCATCTTCCCCATGTTATGGGTATTAACGTTAAGGTATTAATTCAGCTATTTAAGGAAATGTAAAATATCTCATTGAAGATCAGTGAGTCTCCTTAAAGCTAAGACTTACATTCTTTAAAGTATATTCCAATTATGAAAATATAAAGAATTAGAAAATAACCTTTGGAAAAAATGAACTCTTATTTTCTTCTTAATATACCAGGACAGTTGAAGATGACTTACTGCTCCAAAAACCATTTCAGAAAGAAAAGCATGGAAAGGTGGCCCATAAACAAGTTGCAGCGGAATTGCTGGATAGGTATGGTATTTCAATGTCAATTCTATTTCTTGGTTTAAGTTGCTTCATCAACTATGGACTAAGAGATTTGATTATGTTAATTTGAATATAGACATTTTGAATTTTCTTAAAAAAATTTGTTTTAACAGGGAAGAAGCAAGAAATAGAAGGTTTCATCTCATAGCTATGGATGCTGTATCCTTTTTGTATTTCCAGATTTTTATAACTAGTAGAATATTTTAAAGTCTGCTTTTTTGTTTTATAAAATTTTGTGAAGTCAAATAGGCCTTTTTATTTTTAAAGATAAGTATTTAGTGATGTAGGATTTTGCCATTTATACTTTTGGGTACAATTCTCTTTTAGTAATATATAGGAAAGATTTAGAGACAAAAATAATGAAACATATTACTAGTACTCTATAAATAGGTTTATAAAGTACATGAATCTGCAAATATATTTTCCTAATTGTTTTTTCAAGCTTTCAACATTTCCTTTTCCTATACTTCTTTAGTCTCATTTTAATTTATGTTTTTCCAACCTGGTTCTTTGGTATTTAAGGTCTCTATAAAACTTGTATTTAAAATTAGGTCTATCCAGCCTGTCCCTGGATCTAAGGAAAAAGTAGAAATAAAATGAGGCCTGCCTGTGGACTGTCCTCAGGCCTGCCATGGCTTTAATTTTTAGGCATGACTTAAAGCTATCTTTAAGATAAACCCTGCCTTCTGGTTATAGCCATTTCTCAACTCAGTTTTTTAATAAGACTGGCTAATGACGCTTAACTGCTACGCTGGCCATCCATACTGCTGTTGAGAATATTGGAGAATTAAAGAAAGACCAAGCAAGAACTGAAGTATCTTTGGGTATTTATTGCTGTGATCAGAATTGGGAGAAGGAGACAGTGTCAATTTGATACGCCCCCTACCTGTAATCATCTGTTTCACTGTGTTATTCCAATATTTTTCTTTAAGTTAAAGAAGTACCGTTGTGTCACTAATTGATTTATTCCTCTTATCTCCTAACCCAGTAGCTTAGCTTTTCCATGGATCTCACCTGCCATTTGTTCCTTTAGCATTTAAACATTTGCTCTGCCTTCTCTGACACCCACTGCATTGGGGGCACCTAGTTAGAGCCTGGTAATAGTGAAAGTATAGACACTCCTTTTCTGGCATAGGTGGAGATGGAGCCACAGTTTTTTGGTTTGTTTTTTGTTTTGTGTTTGAGGATTTATTTTATTTTCTTTTTTTTCTTTATTTTATTTTATTACTTTAAATTCTGGGATACATGTGCGGAACATGCAGATTTGTTACATAGGGTATCCATGTGCCATGGTGGTTTACTGTACCTGTCAACCCATCACCCTCGCCCTTCCCTGCCCACAGGCTCCAGTGTGTGATGTTCCCCTCCCTGTGTCCATGTGTTCTCATTGTTCAGCTCCCATTTATGGGTAAGAACATGTGGTGTTTGGTTTTCTGTTCCTGTGTTGGTTTGCTGAGGATGGTGGCTTCCAGCTTCATCCATGTCCCTGCAAAGGACATGATCTCGTTCCTTTTTGTGGTTGCATAGTATTCCATGGTGTATATGTACCACATTTTCTTTATCTAGTCTATCATTGATGGACATTTGAATTGGTTCCATGTGTTTGCTATTGTGAATAGTGCTGCAATAAACACACATGTGCATGTATCTTTATGATAGAATGATTTATATTCCTTTTGGTATATACCCAGTAATGGGATTGCTGGATCAAATGATATTTCTGGTTCTAGATCCTTGAGGAATTGCCACATCGTCTTCCATAATGGTTGAACCATTTTACATTCCCACCAACAGTGTAAAAGCGTTCCTGTTTCTCCACAACCTTGCTAGCATCTGTTGTTTCCTGACTTTTTAATAATTGCGATTCTGACTGGGAGCCACAGTTTTCTTTGGGTTGTTTGACAAGAGTAAAGTAGTTATTGTCTAAAAGTTGTCTTGCTGAACTGACTCTTGGTCATTTGGTTAGAGAGAACAGGCTTTTGTTGAGGCTTTTTTAGTCCGTGCCTGTTGGTGTTTCCAGGTTGTCAGCTTCTTTACCTCCAAATCTAGGATATATGAGACAAAAAGAAAATCTAGGGAACTCGCTATCATGTCATACCATAGGTCTTCAGGAGGTCCCTAGTGGTATGCCTTCTTCCCTCTACTTTTTAGAGTCTTTTTATATTTGATATATAATTTACAAGAATTTTAGTTGTTGTTAGTATGAGGAATAGGGAGAAGTACATCTTTGCCTACTCCATCTTCCCGGAAGCAAAAGTTCCACCCGCCACCTGTTCTTGTACATAAAATTATATTGGAATACAGCCATGCTTCATTTATATGTTGTCTTTGGCTGCTTTCATGCTAAAATGGCAGAACTGAGCATTTGCAACAGAGACCATATGGCTTGCAAAGCCTGAAATATTTACCATCTGGCCCTTTGCAGAAAATGTTTGCTGACCCCAGCTCTAATAGGTTACATGACTTGCCATGGTCACGTGACCAGTTAGTGGTAGATCGAGAGCTGGAATCCAGATCTCCAGATATTTGGCTTTTCTTTCTGTCTCTCTCTCTCTTTCTTTTTTTTTCCCCCCTGAAATAGTAACTGGTTTGTTACAATATAAAAATATCACTGTCTGATTAAATTGTCTATTAGTACACATTATGATCAATTAAATCACTGTATATCTTTAATGTAATAGTCACAGAGTATTGTAGAAGGCGAGGTTAGCTATTATATGCATGTTTGGCTCTAGAGAGAGAGCTGTTGAGCTTTTTAAAACAGTAAAATGCTCATATATTTTGTTACACTGCTTTGAAAGTAAACATGGCATTTTATTCTTTGAATTTAAAAGACAATATAAAAACTGATTTTTTATATTTGCTTTTTTTGAAAGTTTAATGTTAGGATTTCATATTATAAAAGTTGCATCTTCTACTTAGAGGCTTTATCATTACTAAAATAGATAAATTATATTTTATGATAATGAAAGATAAATTCTACTCTACTTTTAGAAACTATAATTTTTAAATTTTTCATATTGTGATTATTAGAATGAGTGGTGGTAGGAGGCTATATGCAGTTCAGCAATAGAATAAGAAGCTGTCTTTCTCCCCAGATGGAGATATATTTTTATCACAAGAGTAGTGTATGCTTGAAAAATATTCAAAAGAAAGCCTCTACTTTACAATCTTCACTTTCAACAATTTAATATATACCCTTCTAGATTTTCTGAATGTATAAGCATGTATACTATGTGAATACTTTTATATTTTATTTTTATTTATTTGTTTACTTTTTTGAGACAGAGTCTCGCTCTGTTGCCCAGGCTGGAGCGCAGTGGCCTGATCTCGGCTCACTACGAGCTCCGCCTCCTGTTTTCACGCCATTCTCCTGCCTCAGCCTCCTGAATAGCTGGGACCACAGGCACCCGCCACCACGCCCAGCTAATTTTTTATATTTTTAGTAGAAATGGGGTTTCACCATGTTAGCCAGAATGGTCTCGATCTCCTGACCTCGTGATCCGCCCACCTCGGCCTCCCAAAGTGCTGGGATTACAGGCATGAGCCACCACGCCCAGCGGTGAATATTTTTTAAAAAACTAAATAGACTCATACTATGCTTTTTTTTTACCCCCAATCGGCAATATATTATGACACCAAACAACTCCTGAGAGAATAAAATCCTTAATTTTTTGCATTTCAGTATCAAAGACATACAAAGTTTGTAAATGACTACATTTTATATTATGGTGGCAAAAAAGAAGATTTCAAGCGTTTGGGGTAAGTATCAGGAAGTTTACATAGAAGGGAATGTGGGTTATGGAGAACTTTAAAGACCCACAGCTACTGTGCCTTCTGATTCTGTCATTCTTCCCTGCTTTCTATTCCAGTTTGCCTTTTTTTTTTTTTAAGATGGAGTCTCACTCTGTTGCTCAGGCTGGAGAGCAGTGGCTTGATCTCAGCTCACTGCAACCTCTGCTGCCGTGGTTCAAGCAATTGTCCTACCCCAGTCTCCCGAGTAGGGATTACAAGCTCCTGCCACCATGCCTGGCTAATTTTTGTATTTTTAGTAGAGACGGGATTTCACCATCTTGGTCAGGCTGGTCTTGAACTCCTGACCTCGTGATCCACCCGCCTTGGCCTCCCAAAGTGCTGGGATTACAGGCGTGAGCCACCGCACCTGGCCCCAGTTTCTTTTTTATATTATAAGGTAGAGATACCATCCACAGGTCCTAACTGAGTAGCTCTTCATGAATCCAATTTCTTTGAACAGGCCTCAGGTAGACTCTATACGTGCTGAGCTGGGCACAACCCTGGTGATAAAAGGATATGTGAGGTATACCATGTGTCTTCTTGGCAAGGATCTTTGAAATAAGGAAATTTTTAGACCTTAATGTTTGGGATTGCTTTTTAAAAAAGGTAAACAGCACATCAAAGTCCTTCCCATGTTTGACTCTTCTGTCAGAACTTCTTGTTTTGTTTTGTTTTGTTACTGTTTTTGTGTTTTTTTGTTTTTGTTTTTGTTTTTTTTTTTGAGAAGGGGTCTCACTGTTGCCCAGGCTGGAGTGCAGTGGCGCGATCTCGGCTCACTGCAAGCTCCGCCTCCCTGGTTCACGCCATTCTCCTGCCTCAGCCTCCCGAGTAGCTGGGACTATAGGCGCCCGCCACCTCGCCCGGCTAATTTTTTTGTATTTTTAGTAGAGACGGGGTTTCACCATGTTAGGCAGGATGGTCTCGATCTCCTGACCTGGTGATCTGCCCACCTCGGCCTCCCAAAGTGTTGGGATTACAGGCGTGAGCCACCGCCCCTGGCCTTGTTTTTGGTTTTTTAATTTTTATTTTTATTTCAATAGTTTTTGGGGTACAGGTGGTTTTTGGTTGCCTGGATAACTTCTTTAGTGGTGATTTCTGAGATTTTAGTGCACCCATCACCCGAGCACTGTATGCTATTCCTAAAATGTAGTCTTTTATCCCTCACCTCCCTCCCGGCCTTCCCCCGCCTTAAGTCCCTAGAGTCCATTATATGACTCTTTTGCCTTTGCATCCTCATAGCTTAGCTCCCACATGTCAATGAGAACATAGGATATTTGGTTTTCCATTCCTGAGTTACTTCACTTAGAATAATGGCCTCCAGCTCCATCCAAGTTACTGCAAAAGACATCGTTTCATTCCTTTCTGTGCCTGAGTAATATTCCATGGTGTGTGTGTGTATATATATATATATACACACACACCACATTTTCTTTATCCACTCATTGGTTAATGGGCACTTTGGTGGGTTCCATAGCTTTGCAATTGCGAATTGTACTGCTATAGTGTGCACAGGTCTTAGAACTTCTTAGTTTTATGTGAGTTTTTTTTTTCCCTCTAACAATTTTCTGAATTGGTAGCGCTCTGAGAAACTTTAGTACCATCTCATTTACCCCCAATTTATCTCCCCTATCAATTTATCCTGTATCTCCCAATAATCACTTTTTTTTTTTTTTTTTTTAACCCCCAGACTGTTAGCATTTTATTTTGAAAGATCAATCCCTTTGGCTCTCTTCCTCCTTTACTTAGTCTTCTACCTAGGAAACTGTAGTAAAATGAGATATGGAAAACTTTTCATATTTTTTAAAATTAAATCTCAGCAGAGTGGTGTTTTATAGACTTTTGGTTAGATTCTGAAACTTATTTTCATTCACTTTTCTTTATTCATTTAGTGTTTAGTCAGGTTTCTCATTCTAGCTTTGGTAACTTAGCACCATTTGTATAATTGAAACCAATGCTACAGACAGATTCCTTATCCATTTAACTTGCTTCTATAGTACTGTTTTTTATAAGTACCTTTTGAAAATACTGAAGTATTTTTATAAATATATGAACAAATGTATATACTCACAAAAGAACTATATTCATGTATTATATTTTTAATAAAATTTTCCAAAACTCACAGAGCTATTTAACCTAAATTTGACTACTTTTGTTTTTGTATTAAATTGAAAAAGTTCTGTTTTCCAGGGAAAATGACAAGACAGACTTGGATGTTATACGAGAAAATCATAGATTCCTATGGAATGAGGAGGACGAAATGGACATGACTTGGTAATTAGCCATCAGAGGCATAATGCATCAAATGCTTTAGTCCTGTTTCTCCTGTTTTCTGAGTGGTTTTTTGTCACTTAGTCAAGGTGTTCAGCCCCTTCATAGAACAGTTCAGAATCAAGGACATAAAATCATACCTAGGATTATTTGGTTCTTTTGGTAATTTTTGGCAGTTTTAACTGACTTCTCAGTGTTTGACTTAGTCTTCAAAAACATTATTTTTTACAGTATTGTGTGTTATCTTGTAATATGCTATTATATGCTGCTGCTTTAATTTTTAAAGTTTTGGAAAAAAGTCATACCTGAAAATGTTTTTTTAAATCCAAACATTACAAAGGGTAAACAGTGAAGAGTGATTCTCCTTCTCATTTGTGACTGTCATTCTCCAATTTCCCTCCCTGAGTGAACCACTTTTGATAGTTAGTATCCAGATATTCCATGCACATGTAAGTAATAGTTCTCTTAAAACTTTAATATTTATGTCGTATGTATTCTTTGACATCACTTGAAAGTAGCAGACCGTGGTTGAGTTTCTAAATGTATATTTATATTTTTATGGATCTAGGGAGAAGAGACTTGCTAAGAAATACTATGATAAATTATTTAAGGAATACTGCATAGCAGATCTCAGTAAATATAAAGAAAATAAGGTATGCTTTCCACATATTTATAGAAAGAGGTTCTTATTCAAGTAAAATACTAACTTTTATTATACTGTCATGCCCCCCCCCACATTATTCTTTTAAAGATGCTAATTAGACTCAGTTGTCCTGCATTTATGATGTGTCATTTGAACCATTTAACCTCTGCAGCTGTGGAGTTTACAAAAGGCCTATGGAAATTTAGAAGGAAATTTATGCTTTTTTTCTTTTGTGAGCTGAGGCATGAAAAGTCTAAAATTAAACACAAGTGGGTATTGGATCCTGTTTCATCCTGACTCTAGTCTAGAGCCTCTAGTGATTGTGATGAATTATTTAACTCTACAGAATAATGTCTTATTTCACAGATGATGTTTGAAATTGATAGATTTTAAAAATTGATTACCATTTATAGAGATCCAGATGTACATCTTCTATTACGTAAATGTCTATTCTAGTAAAATTAACATTTCAATCAGTGCTAATTAGTAATGTCAGATTTCCTTTCCCACTTTACATCTTACTTTAGTTAATATTTTTATTTTTGGTTGGGTGTGATGGCTCATGCCTGTAATCTCAGCACTTTGGGAGGCTGAGGCAGGAAGATTGCTTGAGGCCAGGCGTTCAAGACCAGCCTGGGCAATATAGTGAGACCTTGTCTCCACAAAAACTGAAAAAAATTAGCGGGGTGTAGTGGTTCATGCCTATAGTTCTAGCTACTTGGGAGGCTGAGGTTAGAGGGTTGCTTGAGTCCAGGAGTTTGAGGCTGCAGTGAGCTATGATCGTGCCACTGCATTTCAGTGTGGGTGACAGTAAGACTCTAAAAAATAAAAAGTTATTTTTATTTCTATCTCAAACGTCAAATTGTGGCTGGAAAAGGTGACCCAGGAGCAGATCTCAGTTAGAAATGTGAGAGGAGGGAAGGTTGCATAAATATGTGTTGTAGATACTATATGTTTGTATTAAGACAAAAACCTGTTTAAAAAGCTATCTTATATTTATGTATCATGAAGATTTCTTTGTCATTTAAATCGTTTGATCTCATTAGAACCAGGTTGATTTAATAATTTTTTCAGTAGTGCCTTTAATAAGTGTGTTGCTTCACAGTTTCTTATAGAAAGTAGTAATAATGTTCATTTTGTATACCCTATTTATAAACCCATGCACTTAATATATCCCCAAAACTTCTGTTTCTTATAAACTAGTTGTGGACTCTAGTTCACAGCTGTCTTCTCTGTACCGCATCTGATTCAAAAAGCACCACAGTAATTGGAGTTACCTAAAGTTACTATATTGTAAATCAAGTGTGAAAATTATCTCTTTCTAGGAGCATGTAACAAAGGAGCTTTTTCAGCCCTGGCTTATTCATGGATTGTTCTTAAGTTGTTGGGTTTTTTTTCTTTTATTTTTCCCCATCTCCTAATACCATCATAATTCTTCAGTATTTTGTTGTTGTTGTTCAGTATCTATTGAAACTGGACTAGGTACTGTGGATTAATAGTACTCTTAAGAAAAAACTAGTCTAGTTGAGGGGAGAAAGTATACATAAATAAAAATTAAATAATTGAGTTCTCAGTTTTTTAAAAAATAATACCACTAGAAATTGTACTTTAAAGAGAATAAGCTTAAAAAAAAAATGTATTTTCCTGCTAGAACATGATGAGTGATCGTATTTGAGGGTAAATGCAGCAAGAAATCAGATATGACTCACAGATTCTGAGCACGGATGCTGAGAAAAATACAGAATTTGGTGGGTGATTTTTTTTTGCTGGGGGGAAGATAATGAGTTTGGTTTTGGTATACCATGTTCGAGGTGTTGGAGAAAGAGTAATGCCTTTGGTTCCCTCACTAGGATGCATTTTCTCTTCCCTTTATTTATACAAAGACAGTGTATTATTCACTTAATTAAAAACAGCTCCTAATATATACAGTAGATTCTTTTAGAGCATTTTTAGTGAATTTCCATCTTTGCCTCTTACTCCTATTCCTTTCTTTATTGCATTTCCCCTTTTTAGTTGGATCAATGTATCAGTTAGGATTAGGTCCAGCTGCAGGGACAGAGAACACTCCCCGAAAAAAACCACTGGCTTGAATGAGCTGGAAAGTTTATTTTTCGTATACATAAAAGTTCAAGTCGATGGTCATAAAGTCAGAATCATTGTTTACTGCTTGCGTACGTGACCTCATTGTGATGAGTGCAGAGTGAGAAGAAAAGGAGGCTCAGCACCAAATCCTGAATAACTTCAACTTTAATCCAAACTAGGACATTTATGTCAGGAAAGAATATACAGTCTTTAACTAGTAGGATATAATGTAATTTGTTTTGTTACATTTATTATTTCCTCATAAGATTATAACCTTCTTGGTGACACACTATTTTAATAATCACTTTTTATCCTCAGTGGAATGCCAAGCCCATTAGATAGTTGCTTCGTAAGTTATCTGGTGAATAGATTAATGAATGAAGAAGAAAGTTTGGAAACTATTACTGTTACACTTGGCTGTGCTTCAGTAGACATCCTCACATATGTTGGATGCAAGCAATCTCCACATACATATATAGGCTAAAAAATAGAATTAAACAGAGTTATCCTGAAATTTTATTTTTTCCCCTAGATTTGGAGGATTTTATTTTTGTTGGGTTTTAATCAGAATATTTTGAAATATTTTGAGCCTTTATTTGCATTTAAAATACAAAATTGCCAAATTCAAGTAATAGATTGATGATTTTTTTAAAAAAATAATTGAAATTGCCAGGCACAGTGGCTGTTGCCTGTAATCCCAGTACTTTGGGAGACTGCGGTGGGAGGATAACTTGAGGCCAGGAGTTCAAAAGCAGCCTAGGCAATATAGTGAGACCTTATCTCTATAAAAAATAAAATTAGCCAGGCAGGGTAGCACATGCCTATAGTCCTAGCTATTTGGAAGGCTGAAAACAAACAAACAAAACAAACAACCCACAACAAACTGAAGTTAGCAAGGCATTGAACACTTTATCTGAATCCTCTGTCTTACTATAGCAATCCTGTGAACTTAAGGTTGTTACTATTTCCATTTTTATACATGAAGAGGAAGTACAGAAGTTAAGTAACTTTCCCAGGGTTAAGACCTAATGAGTGACAAGAGCTTCTTGAGTTGGGTACAGGTATGCATGTTTCTAGACTTGAGTGGTTTTTTGTTTGTTTGTTTTTGTTGTTTGTTGTTGTTATAGTTTTTGTTTGTTTTGAGACAGGATCTTGCTCAGTTGCCCAGGGTGGATGGAATGCAGTGGCATGATCATGGCTCACTGCAGCCTCTACCTCCCGGGTTGAAGTAATCTTCTCAAGTGTATTTTTTGTTTGTTTTTAATTTTTAGAGCATTTTTAGGTTTACAACAAAATTGAGCAGAAAGTACAGAGTTCCCATATACCCCCTGCCCTCATGCATGCATAGCATCTCCTACTGTCAGCGTCCCACACCAGAGTGATACATTTGTTACAATCAGTGAACCTACATTGATACATCATTATCATTTGAAGTCCATAGCTTACATTAGGGTTCACTCTTGATATTGTACATTCTACCGCTTTGACGAATGTGTGATGATGTATGTCTACCATTATAGTATCGTAGAGAATACTTGCACTGCCCTAAAAATCCTCTGTGCTCCACCTGTTCATCCCACCTTCCTAATCCCTGGCAACTACTTTCTACTTCATTCATAGTTTTGCCTTTTCCGGAATATCATATAGTTGAAATCATATATATGTAGTCTTTTCAGATTGGGTTCTTTCACTTTGTAATATGCACTTAAGTTTCTCCATGTCTTCATGGTTTGATATTTCTTCTTACCACTGAATAATATTAATTGTCTGGATGTACCACAGTTGTTTATCCATTCACTTAATGAGGAACATCTTGGTTGCTTCCAAGTTTCGGCAATTAGAAATAAAGTTGCTGTAAACATCTATATTTAGGCTTTTGTGTGAACATTAGTTTTCAGCTCATTTGGGTAAATACCAAGAAGCATGATTGTTGGAGTCTACTAGTTACTATTCTAAGTGCTTCATATGTATTATCTCATTTAAACTTCTTTAAACCTCTATGAGTACCAAGGAAGTAGGTACTCATATTTCTACTTTACATATATGAGGAAGCTGAGGCAAAAAGAGATTAAATAATTTGCCCTGTACTATACAGCTGTTAAGTGGTAGAGCTAAAATGCAAACATAAATAATCTGACTCCAAAGGCTGTACTTTTTGTACTAGAATATACTACCTCTTTACTATACCATAACCTCTTTTTTTCATGTCAGTCTTACAGAACAGGACATCTTATTTGTTAACTTAGGTATCTTGTGGTCTGGCACCTATAACTTTTAAGCTGTCTTAAAGTCGGTTGTTCTTAACAGATAAATTGCTAATTGTTCAGTGTATTTTCTTCAAATCCTATAAGAAGAGAAAAATCTGTCGTGGGAATTACATTTATTTTTTAGGTTGGTGAATGTCATTGTTGGTTCCATGTTTAGATTTCTGTATAATTTAAATTTAATTTAAATTTACATTGACATAAATGTAATTTTTTTATTGTCAGTTTGGATTTAGGTGGCGAGTAGAAAAAGAAGTAATTTCAGGAAAAGGTAATTCTTTAAAATTTTTACTTTTTAATAGGATAAACTTATTTCGTTAAGCTTCTGAATTGGAGCAAGAAATTCTTATCTACAAAAGTAAAATTAGAGAAGGTGTATTCATGGTACATTATTAGCAAAGGACAGAATATAATGCTTTAATAATTATTACCTTTATAATTTTGCCTTTAGAACATTCAGTTGAATGTTCTACAAATTTCTAAATATGTAGAAAATATTTAACAAATTAAAGATTTCATAGCAAGACAACTTTCAACAAAAAGAAAGCATTATTCTTTTCTGTTCTTTGTTAATTTTTGGAATAATGAATTGGTATTACTGTTTTCAGCCAAATCCACATTTTGAAAGTAGAAGTATCATTTTAAACCCAATAGAATTTTGGGTCAGGCTAGTACTCATTTTTGGAAGTCCCTGAGATTGAGCCCAAATACTTAGTCTAATAGCAAAAGACCGGACATTTGGTAGGCAATCAGTAAATGCTTTTTCTATGCATTATTGTAAATCTATTCATAATGTTTTTCCTGGAAATTGTGTATCTCCGTACTGTCTCTTGCTATAAAATTAGCTCCTTACTGAGTAATTGCATTTTAAGTGTTAAAGTACTGAAAACTATGTAGTAGCATTAAGGAAATAATTTTAAACTTACTTTAAAAAATATTTTAAATGGAAAGATTACGTTTTTAAATGATTAAATATTTATGCTATCATTGTAGCTCATATATATCTTCCATAAATTGGATATGTTAGGTGTGAAATTGGATATGCCATGAAACAACATTAAGGAAAAAGAATAAATTTAAAGCTATTTTAACTTTTCCTAGGGTTATACTTTAGTGTATGTTTTTATCTAAAATAATGAGAAATCCTGAAATGTCTATTGCAATTTTAAGATGTTGTACTTTTATTGAATGAGATTTTCAGGTGAGTTTATAATGTTACCTTTTAAAAAAAATTGATGGGTAGTCTCTACATTCATATAACTGAATAAAGGACTAGTTAGGGAAGGAAAAGAAAGCTACTGTTGTGATTTCTTTTATAAAGTTATAATTTTGTTACTATTTTAACAAAGCCTTACCTACTAAAAATATAGATTTAATAAAATACTCATTTGGAATGAGTTTAAAAGGCTGATTTAGAAATCAGTCTTTTTAGGGTGTAATTTTCTAAATTCATTTTGATAATTTCTTAATTTTTATGAAAAAAGATTTGCTGGTTACAGATTTGCACCTGTTGGCGCAAATTATTGTGATATAAATTAATAAAAGTTTGTCTTGTCTTTTTGCCAAAGTAAATTACTGTTGAGTCGTTTCTCTTTTTTTCTCTCAGGTTATCAGTTAGTCTTTTTTTGGAGGTTTTAATATATTGTGGACGTGGTGATGTGGGTGATGTTAATAATAGTGTCAAGTTATACTAAAATTTATAGTATCTGGTTTGACTACATATTGTACTTCGCCTCAAAGTGCTAGAATTTTTAATTGTGTTTTCAAGGCCATCTGTGCTAGTATTTCAATGTCATTATGCTAATACTTAAAAATATGAACTTTATTATGACCGTTAAATATTGAAAGGTTTCACCCAGCTATAAGTGCGTGTACTTTGGAAAGTGTGTTTTTTTCTTTTGGGGTATTTGTGAGTACATTTTTTGTTTGTTTGTTTGTTTGTTTCCTTAAACCAACTTTCTGAGAAATATGTCCATTCTTTAATAGTGTCTTTCCAAAGTGTAAGATTCCCTAATAGGGAGTCCCTAAAATGTCTATCTAAATACAGTCTATCAAGCAAGAATTCTGTGACTGATTTTTTTGGTAACAGTACTTTGATTCGATACTTGTTTACAAGTTGGTTGAACGTATTACTCTGGTCAGTTTTTAAAGGCTGACTATGGCTAAGTTACATATTTTAGAAGTGCATTTTAGGGATAATACTAGATCATATAGATAAATATTGTCACCAACTACCATAGCTAATATTCCTTTCCTTTCTGCAGGTCAGTTTTTTTGTGGAAATAAATATTGTGATAAAAAAGAAGGCTTAAAGAGTTGGGAAGTTAATTTTGGTTATGTTGAGCATGGTGAAAAGAGAAATGCACTTGTTAAATTAAGTAAGTTGATTTTAGGGGGGATACGATTGATTCTTCCAAGTTTGTCTTTAATTTAAAATTAAAAATATATAGACTTTAAAATTCGAATACAATTTTTAACATATCTTTCTGGAAGTGCTCTTTTTTCTTGGAACTTCCCAAAGTCTCAACTTTTGAGCCTCAAATTTTTACATTTTTAGCATTACAATGGTGTTTCAGTAAAAAGAATTCTAATGTCAAATGTAAACTGGTAATTTGTAGAGTGGGGCTCTGTCCCCATTCACGTGAGAATGCCACCACATTACATAGCTAGGAGGCACAATATCAGAAAAGGCAGTGTAAAATCTCACATTAGCTGATTACTCAGTGATATTGTTGTAGCACAGATAATAAATAAATTCACTCTGTTTGACAGTATTAATAAAGAAAACTTTAGGAAAGCGTAATTGTTTTTGACCTCAGTCTTAAAACCATAGGGAATAAATACTCCAGAATATAGCAGTTTCCCTTAGGATGCATGTTTTAGAGTCTGTCATTCTTTTATTTATTTTTTAAGCTAGTCTTCATGTGTCAGCTGTTTCTCTCCCTCATCATATTATTGCCTTTAGCCTTCTCTGGGTTCTAAGTAAATGTGCCTTCAGAGTTTCCTGCTCATACCTAATAAAAGTCAAGAACGTCCCCACATGCTACTTATGCACGTCAATACAGGCTGGTTTCTGAGTTCCTTCTGGAAGTGCTCAAGAGGAAAAGTCAGCCAGTGTGAACTGAGATTAAGGCAAAAAAAAAAAAAAAAAAGGAACTATTTGAAAAGTTCCTTTGCATTTGAAAGTTCTTAGAATACTTCAGAGGAAATGACTATATCCACATTATTATTAGATATCTTTGATGTGAGACACATGTTAACGTGCCTGTGGAACACAGTTTGTTTTTAGAACAAATTGACAACACATTTTTCTAAAATAGTGTTAGGATGTTTTTGATTCCTCAAGCAATCTAGTATTTTTATTATATGTATGTGTGTATGTATTTGCATTTTTGAGGTGATGAAGGTCGGATTGTTTTCTTCAGATTGTTTCCCCTCTTATAGTAATGGGAATATAAAGAAAGTGCAAATTTATGATATTAAAACTAGATTAGCAGTGTGGTTATTCAAAATCAACCATTCATTGGTGTCTTTTCTTTTTAGGGTTATGCCAAGAATGTTCCATTAAATTAAATTTTCATCACAGGTAATGTCTTTTAAAATGCCATTCTTAATGTTTGGTAATCCAGGACATAGTGATTTACCTGCACTAAGTGTCTAAATGTAAACTTGGGTGGTTGATGGTTGAATTGGTTGATCATGTAGAAAATCTGGCATTGTCGTATGGCTACGTAAACCAGGAGTTGAGAAGTCCACCATGCCCTATTCTTGCCAAGCAGTTTTAAATGTAAAGGCCTATGTAGGTGGGGTGGTAGATGGATGTTAGAGTTTTTAGTTTGGAGCCAATGTCCTGACACTTTAATGTTAGAAATTACGTTGTAAAGCAGACTTCATAAAGCAGTTCTTGTGTCTCATTTAGACAGTGTTTTAGCTGGAGTTTGCTGTTCTTACAAAGGATTAGACACCTCTATACTCATTTTAACGTTAAAATCAAGGACAGGCGCGGTGGCTCATGCCTGTAATCCTAGCACTTGGGGAGGCCAAGTTGGGTGGATCACTTGAGGTCAGAAGTTCGAGACCAGCCTGGCCAACATGGTAAAACCCTGTCTCTACTGAAAATACAGAAATTAACTGGGTGTGGTGGCAGGTGCCTGTAATCCCAGCTACTTTGGAGGCTGAGGCAGGAGAATTACTTGAACCTGGGAGGCGGAGGTTGCAGTGAGCCGAGATTGAGCCACTGCATTCCAGCCTAGCAACAGAGCGAAACTCTGTCTAAAAAAAAAGAAAAGAAAAGAAAAGAAAAGAAAGTTAAAATCAGGCTTTTATTGAATGAGCTTTACTGTATCTGCCACATTGAATGTGTGGGAATACCAGTGACCTGCAGTCATGGGGTTTGTAATCAGACCTGCGTTTTTAATCTCAGCTTCTCCACTTACTAGGCTTCCTCTTGGACAAACTGCTTAACCTCTGTAGGACTTAATTTTATCACCTGTAAAAATGAGGCTACTCAGGCTATTGTGGGGAATAAAGGAAAGTGCATGTAAATTGCTTGCCACAGTACCTGGCATTAAAGATGTTCAGACTGATTTTTGCAACTTGCCTTTGTGATGGTCAGGTTTTATGCCCTGAATAACAGTTAAATTAGTTCAACTTTTGCAACTTTATAAAATGTATACATAAGCATATTAATTTTAGAATAGCTTTCTTTTTTTTCAATCACATGGGTTGTGAAAAAGTAACAGCTTTGTCATAAATGTGCCTATATAGTACTTTAGCTGTTAAAAATAAATGTTAAATAATATTTTTAATTCTTAAAATTAGAATTATTTTTATTATTTTCATTATTCTTTATTTTTTTGAGACAAGGTCTCACTCTATTGGCTGGGCTGAAGCACAGTGGTGTGATCATGGCTCATTGCAGCCTCAGCCTCCTGAGCTCAAGTGATCCTTCCATCTCAGCCTCCAGAATTGCTGAGACTACAAGTGTACATCACCACACCTGGATAATTTTTTTTTAAGTTTTTGTAGAGATAGTGTTTCCCTGTGTTGCCCATGCTGGTCTCAAACTCCTGGACTCAAGCAGTTCTGCCTCAGCCGCCCAAAGTGCTGGGATGATAGGCATAAGCCTCCACACCGAGCTGGAACTTTTTTAGATTACTGGAATAGCCTAAACCTTTATTTCCCCTTCCCATCAGTGATAAAGAAACCAGAGATTTGTTTTGACCTTGACTTTTGAACTTCATTTCAAAATGGAAATGATTCTTACGAAATAGGCAAAAGTGGTTACTGCATTAAATACTATTATAGCATTTGGTATATGTCTCTATCCTCCTTGCCAGTCCCAATTTCAGCATTATCACCTTTTCCCATTTAGTATTTCTTTTTTTAACCTATTAAAATTAAGTAATTGCTTGCCAACCTTGTAAACCTGGCCTAGAAGAGATAAAACGGCAACAATAAGAGTATAAATTATAAGTGGCCTGATGTTGATATATGAATTAACAATAAGCCCTTTCCGTTTTCATTCCATTATGCTTTTACTATATTCCTTTATTCTTAAGAGAAGAAATTTCTATTTACTGGTGGCTTAGAGCTGTTCAGCAGTTTCACCTTATTTGTGCTTTTTTAACATGTAGGTGGATATGGATTATGTGAAGAGAAATGAGATTTGTTTTTGTAATTTTGTTTTAAAAGGCTAAGTGATAGAATATAGCAAGAAGAAAACAAATACAATTATAATTTGTATTTACTATGATTGTATACAGAACTTATAGAAAATAATTATTTGTCTCAGTGTTAAGACTTTATTGTCTTACAGAATAGTTTTAATTAATATACTAGCCTAAAATATTTACAGACTCACTTAACATTCCTTATTATATAAATCACATTTAAAAATAAGTATTTTAACTGATTTTGGTTTTTTGTTCATATGATGGTTTTTATTTTTGAAAAGGTCAGTTGGAAAAGTTAACTTTAATTTTATATTGTTTCACATAAAGGAGAAAAGAAATCAAGTCAAAAAAAAGAAAAGATAAAACCAAAAAAGATTGTGGAGAGTCATCACGTAAAAAATCCAGATTATCCTCTGCGGAAGAGGCCTCCAAGAAAAAAGATAAAGGTAAAAGGAAATTAAGATAAAGCATCTACTCACATTTATGAGCATGAAATATAATCTGCCGTGTTTCATTCATCTAATTGGTGAATGCAGTTAGAATTTTATTTTATGGTAATTGAGAGGAAACTGACTGAGAATTTAGATATGAACTTAAAGTGACTTACAGGAGTTTTAAGAACTCCTCTAAATTAATTAAGGGTTAATTTTAGTTCATTTTTGGCAGATAGTATAATATTGCCAACAGTTTTCTAATTCCTGGCTTTGTCACCTACAGACTTGTTACTTTGGATAAGTCACTGAACTGCTTTATTTCTCTTATGTGTATAGGGGTGAGGTGAATATCTCATGCTGGTCAAGCTTGTTGTAGAAACTCAAATGAGAATGTGAAAGGCACTTTGATCAGTGCCTTTAAACAGTCTGTAATCTATAAATCAATATAAAATTATAATACTGATTTTATTTATAATGCCTGTGTGATTTTTTTCACTAGTTTATGAGGTTCTAGAAATGAGAAAGATTGTCATGTATCTGTGTTCTCAGAACCTAGCATAGTGCTGTGCACATATACTTAGAACTGCCTGCTTTTTCCTCAGCAGTCCTTAAGCTCTCTAAGACTCAATTTCTTTATGTGTAAAATGGTCATGATTCCTTTTAGAATTGTTCAGAAGTTGAAATGAGATAATTCATTAAGCAGTTTGCATAGTACTTGGCACATATTAGCTATTACGAAGGTTACTTCTAGTTGCTTTTTTTGTCCATAATAAAGTAGAGTCAAATCAGCTGTAATTTATAGTGAATCATACTTAATCTAGATAGGTAATTGAATTAGATTCAAGCCAATGTTAATACAATATTTGGACAGGAGAGGGCTCTCTCGCTCCAGCTATGAAGATCATTAGATATGTTGCATTCTTAGAAGCATTTACTTCTTGCACATCATGATATATTCATTATGTAGCAGAGTTTAAATCTACATGCCCTTGTGATACTGCCTACTCCCATAGCTTCAAGTATATGGTGTCACCAAGCTTTAGTCTTCGTAAAATTGATAGATGGTGAGAGGAAGATATTGTCATTTTATTGCTTATTGAGAGGTGGCATTTGTAGCAGAATGCCTTTTTGTCTCTATGTTAATTATTTTCCCCTCTAAGGTAAATTTTAACCAATAAATGTTAAAAGTATCTTTTGAGTCTTAAAAAGTTATTTATCCTTATATGCTGGTAAAATATTTAATATGTCACTTAAGAAATTTGTTGCCCTCATTGTATTATATGTTTATTCTCATCACAACTGTGATACCATGTTAATCACTGCATATTCCAAATGAAAGAACTAGTCTCTACTTTATAAAATGTTACTCAGTACAATCAAAATAGATGAGGTAGATGAATACTGAGGTTCAGGGCTGGGATTGCACCCTTCATATTATGCATACATATGCATGTGATCTTCCTTATAGACATTTTTCCTTTAGTGTTCCATCAGTAGATGACACCTATGTTGACCTAAAAACTAATATCAGAAATGTGGGGATTATCTTTGATACTTTCTTTCACCTTATTATTTATGTTTAATTTGTCACCAAGTCCTGTGAATTTTACCCCCAGAGTACGTATTTCTGAAGTTCTCTCCACCCCACTACAAACCTCTATATTTTCTCTTACAGGCTACTGTTATATTCTCCTTACGGGTTCTGCCTCTGTCCTGCCATTCCACCTTCCCTCCTCTTAATCCATTCTCCATAAATCAGTTATTTCCTGTTGTTTTTAGGCTGATAACCAAAATCCTGGACAAAGCTAAAAGGTTCTGTGGGATCCAGAACTTGTGTACCATACAAGGCTTGTTTCTCACTACTCCATACCTCACGTTCATACTCCCCCCATGTAGCCTTTCAGTTTCTGCAAAATGTCAAGCCTCTTTCAATTTTAGGGGTTACATGGATGCTGCATCTTCTCTTCCTAAAACCCTCAGTTCTATCCCAGCTCATCCTTCAGGTCTAAGCTTTTAAATGTCTTTTCCGATCCTTTCCTAATTTCATCCCCCACCTTGAATCTAAATTAGGACTCTCATATGTAATGCTGTCATGGCTCCTAACACTTTCCATTATTACACATATGACGATGTAAAAGCCAAAAAGAGGCAGAGATTCTTCCTACTTTGTTCATTGCTATATCCCTGGCACCCCACTAGCTCATGTTCAGCATAAATAATAGTGAGAGAGTAAAAGACTTTGAAGATTCTTCAGGGATAGAAGACCAAAGCCAGGTGGAATTGAGACATCTCTTTCCTATGTATTCTCTATTTAGAGTGCCTTTGAAAGCAAAGTCTCTAGAAATACAGCTTTTTTACCCCCAACTTGTATGGTATATAACAGAAAATAACAAAATTTTAGCAAACTTTTAGGAAAACCATGTGGAACTCTTTTATACCTTATCTGGGATCATCTAGAATTAGCTTTATCATTGATTTGATTCTTTCTTGCCAGACCACCTTAATTTGGACCAGACTTGAAGAGTAATTAATAAATGCTTAACATCTCAGCTGCGTTCAGACTGTTGGCATGCCTCAAAACAACTTCCTTTAATTTTATTTCTATCTTGCTGGCCTCTCCTTAGCTGAAGCTTTTTTTTTTTTTTTTTGGAAGACAGAGTCTTGTTCTGTCATCCAGGCCCCAGGCTGGAGTGCTGGAATACAGTGGCATAATCTTGGCTTACTGCAGGCTTAACTTCTGAGGCCCAAGTGATCCTCCTTTCTCAGTCTCCCAAGTAACTGGGACTACAGGCCCACATTACTACACTCAACTAATTTTTGTTTTTTGTTTTTTGTTTTTGCATAGACAGGGTCTTGCTGTTTCCCAGACTGGTCTCAAACTCCTGACCTCAAGCAGTTCTCTCACCTTGGCCTCCCAAAGTGCTGGGATTACCAGCATGAGTCACCACACCCAACCCCCTTAGCTGCTTTTAACTGAAGTTCCTTCTCAGTCTTACATTTAGCTGTTAGAGTTCCTCGGTGCCCTTACCTAGATTTCTCTAGTTTCTCTCTGTACTCCCAGTGTAATCCCATCAACTCTCATAGCTTTAGGTTACTGTCTTAGAAAATGTTAAATAAGTAATAGATGGATGAACTAGGTAGTTGAATGAATGGATAGAAAAAGTAAGAAAAATCAATAACTGACTTTAAGGACCAGTCCACTTTAGCAGGTATGGGGAGAACAAGATATTGAGGTAGACTGTCTTGGCAAAATGTTCAGAATCTTATCTGTCTCACCATCACCCCTTTCCCAAAAGCTACCTCATCCTTCAGGTTTCAGCTTAGCTCAGTTCCTTGGAAAGGCCCGTCCTGGCACCCTTTCACTTCACTTCTCCAAATAAGATGATGTTCCTCCTACATATTCCATAATACCTCTCACTTCTCCTTTAGAAATACATAATATCCTTGGAATAATTTGTTTATTTTCTATAAGGGAAGGGACTGTGTGACATGTTTACTTTGTTATCTCTAATTCCTGATAGTGCTTGCTCCCATAGTAGGCATTCAATAAATGTAAGCGAGTGAATCAGTGAATTCAACCACATTTTCTCAAAGTCAAAGGAACTTCAGAGATCAGTTCTGGAATCACGACTGAAAGGATATTCTTTAGTTTTGCTTTTCAAAGTATGGTCCTCTGGGCAGCATTTGGGAACTTGTTAGCAACTCACAATCTCAGACCCTTCCAGATCTACTAACAAGTTCCCAGGGTGAATCATATGCACTAAAGTTTGAGAGGCACTGCTGTGTATCATGTGATTGTTCTGTGTTGGTTCAACATTTCCAGGGAAAAGGAACCCACTACTACCAAAAATAATGCTTTACATTTTCAGGTAGTTGTAATTGCTAGCATGTTTCTCTTAACATTCAGCCCAAATCTACAGCTTCCTCCCTTTGGGCCTTGGGCCTCCAAATTAAGCCTAACGTCTTTTTTACCTGTAGACCTTTGGATATTGGGAAGCAGGTATCATGTTCCTCATTAGAGGATGACAGGAAAGAATACATTTCCCATTTCCTTACCCTGTAGTTCTTATACTCTTCACCTGGTCTAAAGGGGCCAAAAACTTTGGGTTATGAGGCCTCCTATCCAGGAACATTGGAGGAATTGTTACTGTCTATCTGTCACCTGCCCTTTTTTACTTTATCATCCTTCAGAAATATTGTCCCTGAGGTCTTATTGCAGGAAGCTCTGTATCATGGTGATTTTTTTAAAAATTACACTGATAGATCTTCAGTGCCTTTCTCTCTCTCTTTCTGTCACTGGATGACCATTGTAGAGCTGAGAATTTTTGTTTTATGACATAATTGTATGTGTTCTTTCAGTTACTGAGAACTAATGCTCATCTGCGTATGACTTTAGAAAAGATACTATGAAAAGCAAGTATTTATTTGTAAACTGCTTTCAAATGTTGAACATCTCTATAGGTAATAAATTATTACTTATATTGCAGCTAATCTGTGAGGTTTTCTTTTTAGCAATATGAGATTTTTTTTTGCAGGTATTATTTTTTTAAGTTTTGTGCTGGCTATTACAGACCAATGAGAACATAAGATATGATCCCTGCCTAAAAGAATGCAACATTTTAATTAGGGAGATAAGACTAAGGAACATGAAAGATTAGAAAACAGTGAACTGCTTATCTGTAAGACTATAAGCAAACTAGAATATTGCTAAGAATTCTAGTTACAGCTACAATGATTGCACTACTACAGGATGATACTTAATAAATCAATGATGTTTCCTTTATCAGGACATTCATCTTCAAAGAAGTCAGAAGATTCTCTAAAGAGTAAGTAACAAGTATTTATTTAATAAAAATATGCATTTGAGGTATTTGCAATTTAGATTTCCCATGAATTGTATCTTGCTCTGATGTGAATAATTTTTTGTTTTTGTTAATTATTTTTATACATGAGAAAAACTGTAGAAAAAAGGCCAAAAGTGTAGATTTATTCCCCAATTAAGGGCATTAAGAAGTTTCTTATTTTAAGTATAGAGAGCATTAAAAATTTTTCCAGTAAATACAATGGATATATCTTTCAATTTCATGTTATAAAATGTGAAGGAAGAAAGATAAAGGGATGAGGTTGAAATGGATTTAAATTAGTCCTATGGTTTTCCCTAGTTTGGATCAAAACAGATTGGATTTCGTTGAGTATTTACTGCAAATTTTATAATTTTTTTCCCTGAAATATTCCAAAAAGTATTCACAATGACTTATAAAAACATACACAATACATTTTTTTAAGGTTAAAAAAGTCAGAATAATGGAAAAATAAGGTAGAATAGCAATGTAAAGCTACAGTTATACACACAATTGTATTCCAAAAAGTCCTGCATAATTGCAAAGATAGATCACAGATTTGTCAGTGTTCTTCCTAACAACCAAACCTAAGAGCGAAACCAGCAGTAGAAAGATTAATTGTACCCATAAGATAATAATGAGAACTCCTAGAGTGTTCAGCTTTTTCCTGGCAGTTTTGAGAGAAGAGTCTTCTATGGGTTTATAAAAGGGTATATCCATTTGTGTCGTAATAAACAGTAGCTTTGAATCTAAACGGTAATACAGTGTTGAATTTTTTAAAGACTTGTAGTAGGCTCAAGGCCTAATAATAAGGTGTAGTTCAATAGCATATCTAATTCATTTTATACTCTCTAGACTTATTTCATAGAAATTTAGAAACTTGAGATTTCTAGGCTTACTTGATTATTTTCTTTTATGTTTTTGGAGACGGAGTCTTGCTCTGTCACCCAGGCTGGAGTGCAGTGGCACAATCTCGGCTGACTGCAACCTCCGCTTCCCAGGTTCAAGTGATTCTTCTGCCTCAGCCTCCTGAGTAGCTGGGACTACAGGCACCTGTCACCACGCCCAGCTAATTTTTGTATTTTTAGTAGAGACGGTTTCATCATGTTGGCCAGGCTGGTCTCGAACTCCTGACCTTGTGATCTGCCTGCCTTGGCTTCCCAAAGTGCTGGGATTACAGGTGTGAACCACCACACCTGGTCACTTGGTTATTTATAAACCTAAGAATTAAGAAAAAAATTTTTTTATGACTTTAAGATTTATTGTGGCAAACTCAGGGGAAAAAGTTCGATAATTATTCCAAATTCCAAAACTCAAATATAAACATTATTTGCATTTAGTGTAATTCTTAAGAAATTTTAAATATTCAATGATCAGAAATTTTGTACTGAGAAAAAATAGAAATTTTAAGATATTTCTTGTTTAAAAATTTAGTGGAGAGGGAGATGATGGAGGTATTCCTCTAGCTTAGGAATATAGCACATTCCTTATAATTATTTTGCTTGTACCAATTTTGTTTTCAATATATTTGAAGTGTCTTAAAGCACTGACACTTTCTCTGCATGTAAATTCTAATTTATCAGGAAGTCCTTTCCTAAATTAGGTAAAATGTAGTGACAGTTTCAAAAATACTGCCAAGTATAAGATCAGTGGACCAGTGTTATCTCAGAATGAAATCATAGGTACATACTTCAACAAAGGTGTACACAGGCTAAAGTGGGAAAGTGTATTTTAGTTTTCATCCATTTCCAACAGTGAGAGGTATGAATGTTTATGTAATATAGAAAAAATTCCCCTTTTTCAGTTCTAATTTTTTATTATTAAAAAATCTTTTGGGGGAAATTCTTGAATCACTGATTTATATTATTCTTTTATTTCTTCTGCCTGCTTTCTCCCTCCCACTGTCTTTCACCCCTGCCCTCTGAATCCTTCCCTGCCTCCTAGAAGTAGCACTTAATGCTCTTTTACCTCCCCTCAGCTAAGTCAAATTATTACTAGTAGAAGCAGGGTGAATACTGTGAAGACTATATCCAATCTGAGAAACCTGTAGCTAGTTTGGCCTTGAAAAAGCAAATTATCCACTTCAAGCTGACCTGCTGTTTGGCAGCCAGAAAGTTATTTACCATAGTAAGCAGGAAACATACACATTGTTATGGTATGCCAACCCCAGATATCCTCTCAGGCGGTCAGTCATCTGTATTACATGGTCTTGGCAATTTCAGACCTCACATTTTGCTATTTATTTTATTTCCATTTGGACAATACGCAGTTACCTTCTTAACTCATTTGACTTCTGGATTATTAAAACCAAATCCATGGAGAAAAACTCAATTTCTGTTGGCACAGTAACAAGTGCTTTAGATATGTTACCTCATTTAATCTAATAATGTGCATATAATATCCTCATTTTGTAGATGAGAAAAATCAAGACCTAGAGAATGTCTTTAAATGAATGAAGAAACTCAATTTTTAAAAATTATATATTTAAAGTGTACAACTTGATGATTTGCTGCCCTTTTAACAAATTTCAAGTATTGTTATCTGTGGTCACCTTGCACATGAGACCGCCCAAGAACCAGAGAATTGAAGCAAAGTGTCCAAGGTCAAATAGTTAGTGGCAAAGCTGGGATTAAACAGAAGTTTATAATTCCAAAGTCTATGCCGTTTACCTGTATCATCAATCAATAACTGCTTATCAGTGAAATCAACTGTATGTCTATTCTTTATACCCCAGTTTTGGCATATGCATTGTACAGATCCACATTAAATGATTTCATCTGTCTGTGTTTCACTTCTGTCTGTAAAATGAGTATAAAGAGGCCTACTTTGTTGGATTATTATCAGAATCAAATGAGAAAACTTATGTGTAAAGTATGTGCCTGACACAAAGTCCTTGATAACCTGTAGTTATCATTGTTATCAGAGAGAAGAAAAATACAGACATATAAATCCTGTGTGTGTTCTCTGGAATTGATGAAATCAAAAGTTAAGTCTGTAAAAATCTGACCTGTCCATTTGTTACCATGATTATTGGAGACATTTGCCATTGCTTCAGTAGGGCAAGTTACTAGTTACCATATAATATCCACAAAAACCAAGATGATAGGCCTACTCATTATTCAAAATATGTAGGGAAAATTGTGTACAATTTATTTAGGCACCACACTCTAAAGGGAACATTGAAAACTTGAAGCAGGTCAAGAAGAAAAAAACTGAGATATTGCGAGAACTTGAAATTATGTTGTAGGAGGAATGCTGGAGTAACTGCAGATGTTTACCTGGGAGAAGAGTGAAGGGATGGGAGGGAAGAGGTGAGGAAGTAGACATGGAAATTACTGTATAGAAATTACTGCAAGGCTTCTACTCTGTAAGAGACTTATTTTTCATGACTCTGGGTTGGCAGAACTGCCGAAAGACAGATTTTTGCCTTAATTTAAGGAAAAACTTGTCCCTTAGAACTGCCTGACAAAAGAAATGGAGAAATGGGCTGCTTCTGGAGTAGTGAGTGTTCCAGCATGAATTGAATTGGCACTTGTTAGTGGAGGTGTTGCAGTGAGAGGTTCATTCATTGGATAAGTGTTGGATTAAATGACTTCCAGGTTCCCCTTTCAACTCAGAAAGTCAGTGACTTAAATTCCGATCCCTACTTACCAATAATTACTGAATAGATTTGACAGTGATGCATTCTTTTGTGTTGCCTGTTCTTCCAATTGTTATGTCCTTAGTAACACCCCTCCCGCCCCTGGCAGGTTGTAACAGTTATGATAGCAATGATTTGTAGTGACTGCCAACCCTCAGGGAACCAGGATACTATAGATTCATAGGGTTATAAGGGACCGTAAAGGTCATTTAGTCCAGTCTTGTAGACTTGATTCTTTAGGGATATCTGGCCACTTTTTTAATGGGTATTTTTTACGACAGTTATTTTATAATGTTACTCTAAACTGACCTGATTTTTTAGTAAAATTGATTGACTGGTATCAGAAAGCTGGTGTAAGAAAGCTGGCATGTGGGAAGTACTCTTGGAAGAGAACAAGATAACAGCTGTCCACTTCTAAAGGCCTTGTAGGTTTTGTTCTCTGGCATCATTAACATTAGCAGAGTAATACACTAGTAATAACCTTACTAGGCCTAGTTAGTTTTTCTCTGCTTTCTTTATCTCATATTAGTGAGTTTTCATAAAAATAAGAGAAGATTTTAATTCTTTTTTTCCTTCACATTATCAATTTGGGATACTGGCCATTCCAGTGATGGCTGTCATTGAGCCAGGAATCTTGTTTTCAAGATTAAAATTTTATCATTTGTATGTAGATCATTAGAAAACAAAATGCCCTCCCCCCTTTTGCCATTTTTGCTGGAATTGGTGCCAGAATAGATTCAGTTAGGAGCAAAGTTCAGACACACATGTTGATTCAAGGATCAGAGTCCAACAGGTAAAAGGCTAGATCCACCGTAACAAATCAATGCTCTTTTATTTTTATGTTGTGTTTAACTAAAGGACATTCTGTATTGACAGGCCACATTTGTGCCACTTCTTTTTTAGACTAATAATCATTATTGGAGAGGAATTGTTTGCTAATGTAACTACTTTGTGGATTATAGTGTTACTGCATGATAATTTTGCCATATTTTTAAAATTTTAGTTGACTAATAAAGGTGATTTATTTGAAACATGTCTATTTTGTCATATTTTTATATGTAAATAAAGTGTCTTTATTGTTTTTACTGATTTTGAAGGTAATTCATGCTCATTGTTTAAAATACAAACAATTTGAAAATGTTTAAAATAGAAAGTAAAAGTATTCCAGGCCCACAGGTAATATAATCACTGCTAAATTTGGTTGGCTTTTGCAAACTTATAATACATATATAAAATTACATGTATGTATATAATGTGCATATGGTTTTAACATATATGTTATACTATGCATACTTTTTGTAACTTTTTAAAAATTTGATATAGAGTGGACATTTTTCTATTGCAGTACATACAGATATGCTAATGTTTTTAAACAACTGTACAGTATTTATTTAACCAGTCATTAATCCCTAATTGGTGGGGAATTAGGTTTTTTTTGTTGTTGTTCTTATGCAGTGTGCATCTTTGTACATATGTATCAGAGGTGCTTATTTATATATGTAAATAATCAAATTCCTAAAAGCAGCGTTGCTGGTCACAGGGTATGTGTTTTAAACTGATCTATATTGCCAGATTTTTCTCCAGAAGAAGGTTTACAAAATTTGACTCCCAGCAATGTGTGAGAATGCCAGTTTCTTCACTGAAACAGGCTTCTTCTCATTATGTAATCAGCATTAGTTCTTTAAAATGTCTGACAATTTTTTTAAAATAATTTAACTAGCTGGTCTTACATACTAGCTCAGTTCTTAAGGTGCTAATCTTAATGTAAACATGTTCTCTACAAATGTAAATCTTAACTTGCATGTCTTCTGTTAACCAAGAAAAAGAAGAAACTAGATCAGAAACAACTATATTGCAAGAGATAATTCACTTATAAGAGTTAATATTGGAATTGCTACTTTAACTCAGTGTAATTTAGAGAAATTTCCATGAGACTTAAAATCCTTGGCCTTTTTGCTGTGACTCTTTGTATCCCTTGGCCTATTTATATATGTTTTAAAAGAATTTATTGTACATTTGAGAGTGAATTCCATTTTTAGAGAGCCATAAAAGTTGAAGCTGAGTTAAATAAAAAGTTAATTATTGGCGAATAGTTCAAAATGTGTTTTAAGTATAATAGATTTTTAAAAATCATCTCTTTTAAATGAACAGGAAACTCTGATGAGGAAGAAAGTGCTTCAGAATCTGAACTTTGGAAGGGTCCACTACCAGAGACAGATGAAAAATCACAGTAAGTGCTGATATTAATAGATAATATGTACCTTTTCAATCAGTTTAGGAAGCTATAACCATGGCTTTATTAATGGAAAAATACAACATCATGGTGATCTATTTAATGCCAAGGACTGCCTAGCCTGGTAAGATTAGAGCTTATTTCCAGCCATTGTCATAAGAGCCAACACGTCCAGCTTCCTCCTGGTAAATAAATCTCTAATCAGTTCACTTTAACAGATGACCCTCTGGTCCTTGCTTGGATTTCTTCAGAGGTAGCTGTTTCCTAAGCTTCCAGAGAAGCCTATTCCATCATACTATGATTATCATAAACCTATGCAAGGGAGCCCCTGGCACGGGAAGTACACTTCTACATTGCTACACTGTTATCACACTAGTCTTTTAAAAGTAAAATAATATTTACTGCTACAAATACATAATATATTTACTATGCTCAGTGTAGTAAAAAAAAACTACAGCCTAAGGAGATTTACCCAATTCCCCTTAGTCATTTCCCGGTATATCTTAGGCTTACATTTTTCCTTAAAAAGTTTCTTTTTTATTCACTTCTTGAGCAGACTATAATTTAAAATGAGAATGAACAGAGAAGTTATAAAGTAAGCCCAAAAAGTAAAGAGAAGCAATGACATTTCACAAGTATTTCAAAGCAAAATTTTAGGTAATACATTTAGGGAGAGGTGCCAACATATGAAATATTTTTATTTTAATCAATCTGGGTATAGTTATGATTATTCTAGAAACTAAGAATTATTTGATGGCTGAATCATGGGAATATATTGATATATAGCAGAATCAGCCAATATGTTGACTTATTTTATTTTTATTAATCTCATATAATGTATCATGTAATTTTTTTACTCTATTTATCGATCTTAATATGTATGCTTTTTTTTTAAAATAGGGAAGAAGAATTTGATGAGTATTTTCAGGATTTGTTTCTATAAGACGAGAGAGACTTAATGTGAAACTTCATGAAGTTTTAAACTTCATGCAATTTGAAATTCCATGTAAGTTTTTATCTGCAAGTTACAGCTTGTGTGGTGTCTTTGGAAATAAAAATCCAGGTTCTCTCAGAATGTCAGATGCTTTGGAAATTCATTAGTTCAATTAAAGACTTTCCTGTCCTTTAAATATCTTTTCAATTGCTTATCTACAATTCTGTTTTATCTAGCTCCTAGAGGATAGAGCTGGACAGTTTCCATTGCTCCTACGTTTTGTAGGTTTTTTTGCACTGCCTTCATTATTTATCTTCTCTTGCCTTCATTATTTTATTTTATTATTTTTTCTTTTTCTGTTTTTTAGAGCCACCAATACTAGATTTGTTTGTTTTTAATTTTTTTCTTTTGTAGAAACAGAGTCCTCGTGTGTTGCCCAGACTGGTATTCAAACTCCTGGCCTTATGCATTCCTCCCACCCTGGCCTCTCAAAGTGCGAGGATTGCAGGTGTGAGCCACCATGTTCTGCCAGTTATTTTAAATTACTAGGATTAAAGTAGATTATGTATATCTTTAACCTCTTTCTTTCCCATTGATAAACTGGCACCCATCTTTTAAGTACCTGCTTTCCCATTACCACCTATTTTTGGCTGCTTTTTGAGGTTTTTAGCTAGCCTGTCTCTTGCTTCCTTCTTAACCTCTACCACTTAAGAGAGTTTGTTATAATCAAATTTGACTTCCTAGTCTGTGGATAATTTACTATTAAGTAAATGATTACCACAGGGAGCCAGTGAGGTCGTAGTAGTCTAAAACAGTTCGTATGTTCACAAAACTGACTCCTCAGCAGAGATTATGCAATAAGATAATAATTTAACTGAATAATACGATGTGCGTATATCTTACCTCAGATACACTCATGCAAATATGAATATAATTCTGATATAGTTTGGCTCTGTGTCCCCACCCAAATCTCATCTTGAATGTGTACTCCCATAATTCCCACATGTTATGGGAGGGATCCAGTGAGAGATAATTTGAATCAAGGGGGCAGTTTCCCCCATACTGTTCTTGTGGTAGTGAATAAGTCTCATGAGATATGATGGTTTTATCAGGGGCTTCTGCTTTTGCATCCTTCTCATTTTCTTTTGCTGCTACCAAGTAAGAAGTGCCTCTTGCCTCCCACCATAATTCTGAGGCTTTCCCAGCCATGTGGAACTGTAAGTCCAGCTAAACCCCTTTCTTCCCCAGTCTCCGGTATGTCTTTATCAGCAGTGTGAAAATGGACTAATAGAACTTCTATGCAGAAATATATTATAAAATGTTAACTTCTTAACATAAGATCCTACTTGCAAGGGTCTATGGTGGTACTTCAGGAGATCCAAGCATTTTTAGAATCTATGTGTAAACTTCTGTGTATGTTTTTTGGAGGAAAAGTACATAAATTTCAAATTTTCAAAAATCAGGTTTTCAAAAGGGTTTATTGATTTCTGAAAACAGGTAAAGATCTGCTTTTATAAAGAGCGAATGGATAGATATAGGAGAAGATGCTTGACTTGATGAATAAGAGAAAGAACATATAGAAAATGAACTGAACATAAGCAGGTATTTTATTGAAGATATACTATTTTAAACAACATTTAAACATGAAATGATTGGCATTAAACTGCAAAATAAGTAATTTGTTATCTTATTTTAAAATGGTTATTATCAGAGATTTTCCTTTTATTAAACAGTTGTTATTCATTAATTCCACAAATATTTATCAGGCTTCTATTATGTGTGAGGCACTGAGCTGGGCATGGCTGTAAAGGAACCATCTAGGAAGTAATTAGGCAATCATTTCTGAACCTGTTTCAGAAAAGTAAATCACTGTTGGGTTTATCAGTGTTTAACATTGATAGTCCTCTCACTTCTTGAAGAAATTGTTTTTTTTTAACCTAACTACTTGTAGTGTGTAAAAATGAATCTATATTTTTGAGGAAAAAGTGTTTGAAATGTCCAGCAGCAAGACTGATATTAGTTGTATAATATATGCAGTTAAACATTGTTATGGTAAAAATATGTCCATTGTTTAGTGGTTGTCAGAAAATAAAATTCCTGCAAAATTAAAATTAAGAATTTAACTAGGAAGAATATCTAAAGACCCTTTAAAAATAGATCAGTGTATTTGATATTTCAAGTAGGTTTATGACATCAGGCTCATTTATAAATTTATATAAAATCACAACACTTAATCCACTTGTGCACAATGACAGATAATGGGAGTCATGTTTTTAAGGAGTCTTGAAAAGGCCTCTAACACGATGAGTTTAAATAGTAATTCTCCTACCTACCTGTCTCAAACTTCACTATAGTGCAGTCAGTGGTAGTCAGCAGACCACTTGTCTGGGGGTATTGAAGTTAGGCCTTCTTACACTCGCTCTTACACGGAGTTCATGTATTTGGCAGACATTCAGTGGTCGACATCTCTAACCTCAATACAATTTCTGGTGACTAAGGAGGGGAAGTTGTTTGAGCTGACTGATATTTTGGGGTCCAAAATTACATAAGGCTAAAGGAATAAAGTTTCTTACATGGTTTTTAAAATAATAGTGATTCTGGAAGTGGAGTTTCACAATTATTTTAAGCAGTGGGAATGAGGGAGCATGCATCACTTAGCTAAGTTGATTACTTTAATAAACAGTACTCATTTAATAAACAATACTCATTTAAGTATGACTTACTGTCATACGTTATTTATATCTGTTTGTTGTAACATTTATTCACATTGTATTCATTCATATTACTGAGTGCCTGCCTTGTGCCAGGCACTGTTCTAGGTGCCAAAATAGAGCTGTGAACAAAACAGACAAAATAGACAAAAATCTTTCCTCATAAACTTTACATTCTACTGTGAGAGAAGCTGTCTTGCAATTCTAAATACCTAACTTATAAAAATAAAACAAATGGTGATTCATTTCTTGGCTGCTCAAAATTGAACATGGTCTTGTCTATTACAAAATATGTAGGTTCATTGATCTTCAGTTCATTAGAATGTAGATAGCTTGTGACAAAAAAAAATCTACGACAAAATATATGGCATAACTATATTATTATTCTGTTTTCTAATTTTATCTATGATTATAGATAACTAAAGGAAGAAATCTTAAATTTTTCTAATATCTGGACAGACATATACCATGCAGTGGAAGTAGTTGATTGCCCTTAGTTTCCCTTAACAATTTAATATTTAGAATGCTTGGTAGGTAGTTCTATTAATCATTTTTAGAAAGTCATCTTGGTTGAAGTTTTTCCCCACTATTTTTGATAACAAGGTTCTTGCATAATCCAATCACATACTTCTTAATGCATAATATTCATTAGCTGCTTTAACTTGCATTACGATTATCCAGTTAGTATCTTGTGCATTGATACTCTTTTTAATGAAACGAATAGTTCTGAACCGTAAAAAATATTCTTAGTTACACCCAAAATAATTGATTTCAAACTTTGAAGGCGGAGTGTAGGACAAAGGCATAGTTTTAATAAACTGCCAAAAAATAGTTTGGTCATCATTCCATTCTCAAAGGTAAAAGTAGAGGAAAGAGATAAGCATTTCAGATGGAATAACATTGAATAAAATGACTTCATTATTTTCTATACCATATTTACAACACTATACATTCTGTATTGCGTTTACTCTTTTATTAAGACATGTTGAGAGTTTTTAGTTCAGGGAGTGGCTCGAGGGGTGAATCACAGTTACAAATGTTATGGGTGAATTGTGTCTCCCCTACCCCTCACCCATTTCATATATTTAAGTCCCAATCCCCAGTACCTCAGAATGTGACTGTATTTGGAGATAAGGCCATTAACGAGGTAATTAAGACTAAAATGAGGTCACATGGGTAGGCCCTAATCCAGTCCTACTGGAGTCCTTATAAGAAAAGGAGATTAGGACACAGACACACAGAGGGAAGACCATGTGAAGACACAGGGAGGAGATGGCCATCTGCAAACCAAGTTGAGAGACCTCCCAAGAAGCCAACCCTGCCAACTCCTTGATCTTGAACTTCCAGCCCCCAAGACTTTGAGAAAATACATTTCTATTGGTTAAGCGCCCAGTCTGTGGTACTTTGTTATAGCAGCCTTAGCAAATAAATACAATTAATGTTTTAAAAAAGAATTTGTGACTAGTTTCAGGATTGCATATTTTTTAATTTAAAATAAATTGGCACGAAAAATGTACCCATTTTTGTCATATTTTGCACTTTTGTTGAACTTTATTTTGCCCTTGGGGTTTTTGGGCTAGCAATATGTATTTTCTTCATAGTCACAGGGTAGTTTTTCTGAAGATCCTCTTACTCTGTTACTTGATGATTTGTTGAAGTTCTTTTGAATATTTTCTGGTTTTCTTCAAAGGTAAAACGATATTTGAAGTTTAGACCAGTTAGATTATATTACAACATTAAACATGTTTTGGACTTTTTGTCATCACCACCTCCTGAATCTTCAGCAGCTAGTAAAATCAAGGAAAGCAGTATTATTAGGAGTTAGTGGATATGTAGTGTTTTTATTCTAACACTCCCATGATAGTAGTGTCAACTTTATAGACTAGTCAGTCATTTTAACCTAGCAAGTACTGTGGATTTGACCATGTAAAAACTTGAATTCATATTCAGAGTTGGTCCATTCAAAAAATAGAATCTGGGTTGGGTGCAGTGGCTCCTGCCTGTAATCCCAGCACTTTGGGAGGCCGAGGCGGGCGGATCCCTTGAGGTTGGGAGTGCGAGACCAGCCTGGTCAATATGGTGAAACCCTGTCTCTACTAAAAATATAAAAATTAGCTGAGTGTGGTGGCATGCATCTGTAATCCCAGCTACTCAGGAGGCTGAGGTGGGAGGATTGCTTGAATCTGGGAGGCAGAGGTTGCAATGAACTGAGATCAAGCGATTGCACTCCAGTCTGGGTGACAGAGTGAGTGAGACTCCGTCTCAAAAAAATAAATAAATAAAAAATAGAATCTGATAAATGGTTGGCCAGTTAACATCTTAGTTTCTCACTGAGACAGTGCAATCTGGAAATCTGAGCTTGATCCACAAAGCTCCATGCCTGGCAATACAAAATAATGATCTTAGTCCACAAAGAATTCTCTATGTAGTAGAAAAAAACTCAGAAGTAAATTTTTATGCAAATAAAGTGTAGAGCCATATCCAATGTCAGGGGTCACTTAAAGGACCTGATCATCTCTTCATAATAAAGTTGAGATAAAGGTTAAATGCAATAGTACTAAGAAATACCCTCACTTTTCACTTGCTGGGTAAAAATCACTTATCTTTTTGAAATGCAAATCATATCTTACTTTAAATCTCTTGAATGACACATGAACATTTTTAGCCCAGCTTTCAAGGCAATACAGTATCTGGCAGCTACCTGCACTACCAGCTTCATATGTACTTTGCACTCTTTGCTCTCTAGACTCCAGCCATATCAGCTTAAAAATTTTTCAATTGCACCAAGCTTATTCCTACTCCAAGCCTTTGTACGTATTTTCCTACTTTTCCTCCCCATGCCTGTTTTCAGGAAAGCCTTCTCCATGCCGCATATACACACAAGTGCCTTCTTTGAGATCATTAATTGTGCATTGGTTCACAATGTTTAGTTCTTCCACCAAATGGTAAATTGTTCAAGATAAAGGATCCCATCTTTCCCCAGGGTCTGCCTAACATAGGGCTTTCTAGAGATAAGACGTCTGATTCACATAAGTGAATGGATATCAAGGAATCAGAAACTCCTGTTTTTATTCTGTTGAAGGACATCCTTAACTTTGTTAAGAAAAGTATTTTCTCCTACGAATTATTTAAAATTTCACTAAATGCAGTAGAACTACCTAAAAGGAACATGTCAGGGCCTTTCCGCATAGAGATGATTTCTTTGTTAAGCAGTAACAATTGCTTACAAAACCTTTAGAGTGAGTAACTTTCAAGACAGAAATTAGCATTTCACTTTCAAGATGATGTTTTGGCTATTTGATGAACTAATAGTTAATCGTAAGCATTTTAAGAATCCAAAAACAACATTAAACTTGACAAAGTGACTTTAGGAATAGAAATTTCATGCCAGAAAAAAATGGCACAGGAATCTCATTCCAGAAAAACATCTCCCAATGTGGAGACATTTGGGAGACAGGCAATTTCAACCTTGCTCTACATGTAGGGCTTCCTTAAGCTGAAGATCTATAAAACCACCTCATTACATGGAGAAGAATATTAAACTCAGTGAGGTTAAGCAAGTTGCCCAAAGTCTCACAGCTAATGTATAATGTTGGGACAAAAAGTTTTTTCTTACCTAACCCTAATCCCACAGATTCTGTGGTTTTCATATTATTCCTAAACACCCAGTGTTCTGTAGAGAAGCCACCTTCTAGAAGGATAAAGAAGCCTAGTTCCAACCTCTACTTCAGCTGGACCAGTCAGTTCTATCTGGAGTTATACATAAGATGTTGTTTCTGGTGGGGCTTGGGGGGTGGGGATGGGGGGAACCTGAAAACCAGTAGTCAACCTCTTAAAATTATCAGTCTGCACCAGTAAAGCAGGTTTTCTGTTTGTAGTGACTCTTTATGCCTTTGTCACGTGCCACTAAGCTCAGCCTAGCTTCTGGCTAAACTACAGGGAGCAAAAACAGAGCCCATCTAACCTTTTTCGGCTCCTTCTTCTTGCTTTTTTGCCTCCTCTTCAATGACCTTCATCTTTGCATCATACTCATCAGCTAGAGATTTCCATTCTACTCTGTTATTCTGAAGACCACTCAGCATAGGTGTGATTTCTTTGTGAAACCGTGAGAACTCCTAAAGAGAATTTTAGGTCAGAAACTACATAAATCATACAGTTAATTTTCAGGATCTTTCATATGCAGAGAATGAGCTGTAAGGAATTGTTACAGCTCTCAGAGCTGCTAGGATAAGTTTAACCCCGGGCCTGTGAAGTTTGGGGAAGAGACAGGTGATGTCTTTCCTGCCTGCCTAACGAAGTGTTCAATTTGCTCACATCTGAGTTCTCTCCTTTTATTCCAGCCCTGAATGAGATTAGGGTAAAACCTCAAACTGCTTTGGAGAAACAATGACACCCCTGATGGCTTTCCATATGGGTGACTTTTAAATTTTGGTGACAGTTTGAAAGAAAAATTTTCATCCAAATGTTTATATATTTAATTCAAATAATTTGCTTACTTACCTTATATACAAAAGTACAAACAAAATCAATAAATCCAACTTGAAGTTTAGGTAGTTCATCTCTCTTGTTTCTGTCCATCATAGGCTAGAAAGAGAAATAAATCCTTTTAAGACAGGTTTCTAAGATGTAGTGAACAAAACAAACTGATTTGTCCTGATAACTTTGGTTTTTGTTTTTGTTTTTGTTTTTGAGACAGAGTCTAACTCTGTCTCCAGACTGGAGTGCAGTGGCACGATCTCAGCTCACTACAACCTTTGCTTCCCAGGTTCAAGCGATTCTCCTGTCTCAGCCTGCCGAGTAGCTGGGACTACAGGCACGCGCCACCATGGCCAGCTAATTTTGTATTTTTAGTAGAAACGGGGTTTCACCATGTTGGCCAGGATGGTCTCAATCTCTTGACCTCATGATCTGCCCACCTCGGCCTCCCAAAGTGCTGGGATTAGAGGCATGAGCCACCGAGCCCGGCCTGTCCTGATAACTTTTAATAAGTAATGCATTTTTATGTCAAGGTCTTACAATGGGTTGTTGCTGCAATACTGTTCTCTCCAGATCTCCTTGTTCCCAAAATTCATTTGCAACCATAAGTGCTACCTGCAAATGAGAAAGGCTTGGTTCACTAAATCCACTTATGAATAGAGAACTTGAATTTTATTAGTACAAGTGACATTTAAGGATCAAGTTTACAGTCAGTGCTTGAGGCGCTATCAAACCATATGCTCTTAAGTTTTAAAAAGAGGTCATTTACAGATTATATTGAAATGGGAAAGGGGAGCTTTTTCTTCCTACTTCAGTGTTCTAGGCTTATTCTGGGAGTATCTATCTCCCATTTACTATTGCCGCCACTTCTCACCAATGAAAAGGAGAAATAGGAGGATTAAATATTATGCTTTAAGTTCTAATGCTTCCCAAGTTCTTCTTTGTCCTATCTGTTAGCATCTAGTATATATCTGTGAATACACATGTGACATACACCCATTAGTATGTAGCTTTACCTAATTAACAGTGTGAGGATATTCCAGCATTAATTTATATCACTAAAAAAAAAATTTATCAAGTTCATTGAACACCTGCTAGCTGCCTTTACATTGGCATGATCCAGGCTTGCCAAGAGGAATATGGCATGATCTTTTTCTTTAAAATGTTCACAGTCTAGTGAAGACAGTCATGTATACAATGTGGTTAAGTGCTATAACAGTAATAGTGTAAGTGCTATGGGTCAGGGAGAAGGGAGTAAAGATAAGTTTCATGAAGGAAGGAGGTAGCATTTATGTTGTATTGTCAAGAATAAGAGTAGCTTTCCAGGAAAAGAGGAGGGGAAGAATATTTGCAGAGATAAAATGGAACGTACAAAGCTTCCGTAAGTACAGTGTGAAGCAATGACATGGGAGAAGGTGATGGGAAATGATTCTGGGAGTGTGAGTTAAGGACAGGCAGTGACAGGCCATGTAAATTTTGCCGGGAAGCTTGAATTTGATTCTCTAGGCCATTGCTCTTTACTCTTGGAGCCTAGGGTTCCTCTGAAATGCTCTAGGACCCAAGAAGGTGGAGGCCAAGAGAGATGAAAGCTAAAGTAGCTTTGCTTTTTTCTCTTTTATAAAGTGATCTTTGGGCAAGTTTTGTTGGGAGAAAATAGACTTTACTTCTTTGGAGAAAAAATGTTGGAAACCTCTGGCAACGGGGAGTATGAGGCTTTTAAGGAGTAGAATGGCTGAGTTGAGCTCTGTGTAGAGACCTCATGGCAGCAAGTCAGAGGATGAGTTGTGGAGTTGATGTGAGGATCTATTAGGAGGCTGCCACCACAGTTCTGATAAAAGTCTGAACTGAGGTACTAGCAAGGGTGATAGAAATGATTTTGAAATGAGGGAGATAAGCTCAAGCAAGACCTCAGGTTTCTAGCTTAGGTGACCACATCAATAAAGAACAGAGGAAGAAGAGCAGGCATGTCGAGGTGGAAGGAGAGGAAAGTGTTTGGCTTTGGACTTGATGGTGATAGAGTTCAGGACACCCTGCCCCAAAATATTTTAAGATGATGGAATTTGAGGAAACTAAAGCAGCAGGAAGATCAGTCTCACCTTCCCCCCACCTTCTCCCCTGAAGTAGGTCATAAAACCAGGTAAGGATTTTCTGACCTTCCCCTGGAGCAGATAATAAGACCTTCATTCAAGAGGTGCCCTCCCTATTCCTGGAGGAAAGGAGCCAGAGACACAAAGATGCCAAGAAGAATCTGAACAAATTGTCCTTGCTAAGCTGCCCCATGATTAGATCATACCCTCTTTGTTGAATTCAATTTCTCCGTGACTATCTACTTCATCCAACCTAGCATAAAATACACAAGTTTAACTGTTCCTTAGGGTCTTTGTTTCCTTAGGAAGGCTCCTGTATTACATGTAAAACAAATAAATGTGTATGCTTTTCTCTTGTTAATCTGTCTTTTGTTATAGGGGCCTCAGTCATGAACCTAGGATGGGTGAGAAATAGGTATTTTTTCTCCCCTACAATGAGTTCCAATTATTCTATCTTTTTAAAAAGATACAACCCACTTTAACAGTTAAACCCATTTAATTCTGAGCTCTCTTCTGCTTAGGGGTTTCACTAGAAATTATTGGAGGAAAAAGAGATTTTTTTCATCCAATTAGTAAGAAAGCAAGTGGTAGACTAGTGCCTTCCCAAGGTGGGGGAAAAACTTCTGTGGAAGGCAACCTTAGACATCATGTCACGGCCAGTGCCTTCTTATAATTCACAGCACATTGAAGAATAGACTGTGGGAGCAAAAACACCCTTGATAGAGGAAAACACTAACGATGCATCCTGATCTTGTTCTGACATCTCATTGATACAGTTTGGCAATGTCCCCACACAAATCTCATCTTGAATTGTAGTTCCCATAATTCCCAATTCATGGGAAGGACCCAGTGGGAGGTGATTGAATCATGGGGGCAAATCTTTCCCTTGCTGTTCTAGTGATATTAAGTAAGTCTCACAAGATCTGATGGTTTTATAAAGGGGAGTTCCCCTGCATACGCTATCTCTTACCTGCCACCTCATAAGACATCCCTTTGCTCTTCCTTCATCTTCCACCATGATTGTGAGGCCTTCCCAGCCATGTGGAACTGTGAGTTCATGTCTTTCCTTTATAAATTACCAGTCTTGGGTATGTCTATTAGCAGCAGCATGACAACAGGCTAATACACTCCTCTATTTAAAAACTCAGACATTTCTTGGATAATTTTATATAAATTGTTTACAGTGTTTCAGTGTTAAAGAATTCTTTCAATAAAGCATTTTCCTTCCAAAGTTCCTTCTATTTGCCTTATTCCAGGGCCTAATCAAATTGCCTACTGTGTCTCACTAATGTTTATAATTTTTCAGAATCTGAGGTTGCCTAAGATTTTTAGGTAGACATTTACATGGGACCTAGGCAGTACCTGACAGTGTGACAGAAAAGAAAACTTAACTGGACTCACCTGACTTTGTACCTCCCAGGGTTTGGTGATAGCAGACAAGTCACATGCGGTCATCATCATTGCCCTTAGGAAGAAAACAAAAAATTTTACACTAGAAATAAGTACAAAATAAGTTATTTTTACAAAAAAAACAGGAGAGAAATACAATTTTAACTACCTACATGATAATCTCTTTTTTGGTTGGATCAACAGTTACATATTTGATGGCTTCTTCCTCAGTTTGCATTTGTTCACAGGCATCAACAATTTTTTGAAACATGGTTCTCTTCCTAGAAAAGATACAGCTGTGAGCAACAATTTTAGCATATGAAAACAGAGAGAAAAAATACATGCTTTTCAGATTTCATTTTCCCACTTTGCATTGTCATGTCCACATAGCAAAGTCTACAGGGCCAGAAGATAAGACAGCAGAGAATGGTGGTATAACTTTGGCTCAGAAATGGCTTAAGGCAGAAAAAGCACAAACCATAAAGGGGGCTAAAAAAATAGGTAACTGGGAATACATTACAATGAAAAAGTTACATATAAGGCCAGGTGCAGTGGCTCACATCTGTAATCCCAGCACCTTGGGAGACCAAGGTGGGAGGATTGCTTGAAGCCGGGAGTTTTAAACCAGCCTGGGCAATAAAGGAAGACCCTGTCTCTTTAAAAATGAAAGTAAATTAAAAAATTACATATGATAAAAGAGACCATAACCTAAAAATAAAGACCGCAGACTGTGAGAAGATACCACAACACATAGCCAACAAAAAGTTGGAACCCAAAACACATGGATATTCAGCTGGTCTCACTGCTAATCAAGAAACTAAAAATTTGAACAATAAGCTATTATCTCACACTGATTATGTTAGCAAAATAAATTTCAAACGTGCTGAGTTCAAGAGTACTTCAGATATGGTATTTTTCTCTTCTTTTTTCTTTCTTTTTTTTTTTTTTTTTTTGAAACAGAGTCTTGCTCTCCCACTCAGGCTGGAGTGGAGTGGCTTGATCCTAGCTCACTGGAGCCTTGAACTAGGCTTAAGGGATCCTCCCACTTCAGCCTCCCGAGTAGCTGGGACTACAGGCATGCTCCACCATGCCTGGCTAATTTTTTAATTTTTTTGTAGAGACAGGGTCTTGCTGTGTTGCCCAGACTGGTCTCAAGTTCCTGGCCGCAAGTGATCCTCCTGCCTTGGCCTCCCAAAGTGCTGAGATTACAGGCATGAGCCACCTCACTCGGCTGGAACTCTTGTACACGCGGGTGGGAGTGCTAACTGGCACAACTCAGGAGTGCAGTTTTGTAATGTAGCATGAATTGAAGACATGCAAACCCTACAGCATTCTCACTTTTACATTTCTTAGAGAAACTCTCATATATATACAGGGACATACAAGGCAGCATTGTAGGTAATGATGAAAAAATAGAAACAATTGAAATGTCTATGAATAGAAGAGTGGGTAAATTAATTATGAATATTCAAGAGTTGAATATTCAGTTAAAATGGATGCATTGGAGCTCCATTTATTATCAATGATAAGTCTTTGAAACAATGTTGCATGAATAAAGCAAGTTGCAGAAAGGTGTGTACAGACAGTATACTTAATGGACAATTTGAAAACACAGAACAGGTTGGGCAAGGTGGCTCACGCCTGTAATCCCAACATTTTGGGAGGCTGAGGTGGGTGGATCATGAGGTCAGGAGATCGAGACCATCCTGGCCAACATGGTGAAACCCCGTCTCTACTAAAATACAACAACAACAAAAAAAATTAGCCAGGCGTGGTGGCACGTGCCTGTAGTCCCAGCTACTCAGGAGGCTGAGGCAGGAGAATCACTTGAACCCGGGAGGCGGAGGTTACAGTAAGCCGAGATTGCGCCACTGCAATCCAGCCTGGTGACAGAGTAAGACTCCATCTCAAAAAAACCAAGAAACCAAACACACAACAATACCATACAAAAACGTGGATGGAAATGATGAATACACATCAACGTCAGATGGTGATATCTTTGTGGAAGAAGGGAAGGGGTTTTTCATAGTGGAGTAGGTGTGGAATGCCTCAATGGCATCACTAGTTTTTTCCTCCTTATAAAGCAAAATCTGAGGCAAATATGGCAAAATTTAGCATTTGTTATATCTGGGCTATGGATATTTGGATATCCATTTTATTCTTAGTATTTGTCTTCACGTTGAACTATTTAATAATTAAATATTCAGGCCCAGTGCAATGGCTCACGCCTGTAATCCCAGCACTTTGGGAGGGCAAGGTGGGCAAATCACTTGAGGTCAGGAGTTTGAGACCAGCCTGGCCAACATGGTGAAACCCATCTCTACTAAAAATACAAAAATTAGCCAGACATGGTGGTGGGAGCCTGAAGTCCCAGCTGCTCAGGAGGCTGAGGCAGGAGAATTGCTGGAACCTGGGAGGCCGAGGTTGCAGTGACCCAAGGTGGTGCCACTGCACTCCAGCCCAGGTGACAGAGTGAGACCTGTATAATAATATATGTAATAATAATAATAATAAATATTTAATGAAGAAGGATCAGAAAGGCATAATTTGACAATGCCCAAGCCACTGAATATTTGGATCCTATAACTAGTTCATCTTGTTCTAATCCGTTTCACCAAGCAACTTTATAGTTCACTTATGAGAAAATGTGGAGATACTGAGTATCTGGTCTCCTTGGCAATACTACTGTTGTAAATAGGCTGGCTCTCTGCTATGTATGACTCAGTTTTGTAAGTTTGGTTAATGTGTGTCAATGCCACCAAAATTTTTCGGCTCCCAGACTTTGACAGAATTAAATTTCTGAGCCCAAAACATTAAAATACCAGATTCTGGACCATAGAGGATTCACCTAGACAAAAAGCCACCTTGAGAGGTCTCTTGGCTTCACTGTTTTGGCAAGGCACAAACTTGGCTGCATATTCTTCAATTCAAACTTCTTCGGCTAGCAACCTACTTAATATTAGGAGCTTATGTTTTTAAAATGTGTTCCTGGATGTCTAGTAAGTTTACTGGCAGGCATCTGTCTTGAAGATACTCTACTTGGTAATCCAAAAGGAAAGCAAATATGTGTGTGTGTGTGTGTGTGTGTGTCTGTGCGTGTGTGTGTGAATAAATGCCTTTTAACATTAATGCAACAGATAATTATGGAAGGCAAAACCACACAGAGTATAGGGCATTCCACTGTGCAGAGTTATGTACTTACTTGAAATATAAAGCCAGGTCAGTTGCTATTATTGCGACCTCGAACAAATGAATAACTGTTTCAAACTGCCGCTTATTTAGGTTCTGGAAGATGTTTAAACTCTGTAAGGTGAAAATTCACAATAAAATGCAATCAATAATTTGCTTCTGGTTGAACAAATGAAACTGTGCTTAACAAGAAGAAAATCTAAAAGTCTTTCAACACTTTTTTGTTTGGTTAGTTTTTTGTTTTCCTCGGGTTTTTTTTTTTGTTGTTGTTGTTGTTTGTTTGCTTTTAGTTTTTATCTCATGGACTAAGTAAACCCCTCTACTGTACTTTGAGTAAGATAATTTAATTTAAACTATAAAAATAGATACTGTTAGCCAATATTCATGTCATTAGTATTTAAGTTTTTAGAGTAAATAAATGTTTTCTCCTAGGACCATTAAAATAAATAACAGTAGATTTAAAATGTGCTTGTATTAATTGAGGAGCTTTAATAAAGAATTTCTGGGAGAAGTCCAACTGTCAGACATGTTACTTTATCTACCAGGTAATTTTAGAGTGATCATAGAAACCATTGGTCTTTCAGAAATTACAAATTACACTCATACTCATGTATATGTGGGAAAAAATAATGAAATCCTTCCATGTTGTCCTTAAAATATTTCATGCAGTTCTATTTTACCAAGACTTAACTAGACCTTTCTTCAAAGAGTTTCTCTTTACCTCTCTTCACATATGGATCAGCTTCATTTCTCAGTGTTCTAGAAAATGAGAATTAGGCCGAGCATGGTGGCTCATGCTTGTAATCCCAGCACTTTGGAAGGCTGAGGTGGGTAGATGGCTTGAGCTCAGGAGTTCAAGACCAGCCTGGGCAACATGGTAAGACTCCTGTCTCTACTAAAATTACAAAAATAGCTGGGTGTGGTGGTGTGTGTCTGGGGTCCCACCTATTCAGGAGGCCAAGGTGGAAGGATTGCTTAACCCTGGGAACTGGAGGTTGCAGTGAGCTGAGACTGTGCCACTGCACTCCAGCTTGGGTGACAGAGTGAGACCCTGTTTCAAAAAACAAGAAAGAAAGAAAGAAAATGAGAATATAAAGCTGGGGGTGGTTTCTTAAAGCCCAGTTATTCCAGATAGACCATTTTAGTCATACAGGCCAAATGACAGATATATAGTGATTTTGCCAAATTAATTTGACAGTTACAAAATACGGAAACATTCCACTGGAAAGAAAGAAGAGATAGTCTATCAATCTATATGAAGAGAGAAGTACCATAATGCCAAAAACAATACTGGCCTGAACACCAAATAATAACAGTAAACACTTCCTTAGTTCTTCCTACCTACCAGGCTCTAAGTGCTTTGTGAATATTCTTAATCTCTTCACAACAGACACCAGCACAGAGAGGTGAAGTAACTTGCCTGAGGTTAAACAGCTAGAATGTGGCAGAACTGGTGTCTAAACCAGTGCAGCATGGTTCCAGAGTTTGTGCTCCTAATCTCTGCACCACACTACATTACCTCTCAACAGGGAACCCAGGTTCATTTCCTGGCTTCCCCACTTTGGCAGTTGTATAATCCTAGAGACTTAACATCCGTGAGCATTTGTTTTCTCATATAGGCATAATAACAGCTGCCCTGCCTAACTGCCTAGCACTTAGTCTATGCTCAATTAATATCTGTGGAATGCTGAATCAAATGAAATGACAACTGGGAATGCATTTTAAAACTGTAAATTGCTGTTAAAATGTATTGTTGTATCATTATTATTATTATGTAAAGTTGTGAGGCTAGCTCCAGGTAAAAATAGAATTGCAAACCTAACACCAAATATGGCTATCAGTCATTTCAGAAGATTGAAATATTAGAAAGCAATAATTGTACAAGAACTCATTTTTAGACACTATACTATGTCTTATGTAACTCTTCACTTAAGTCATCTTTTTATAACATTTTCTAGGACAAGAAAAGTGGTGTTTTACAAAGCATATATAAGTAATAGAAAAATTGTGATTTGTTTTGTCAACATAATGAGTTCATCATAGCAACTAAACTTTTAAAATAGCTAGAATGAAACACTGGGTGTTGACCAGTTTAAATTACAATAAACAAAAAGATTATCTGGATCAAAATCAATGTTTTTGTTTTTGTTTTTGTTTTGAGATGGAGTCTCACTCTGTCGCCCAGGCTGGAGTGCAGTGGCACAATCTCGGCTCACTGTAGCCTCTGCCTCCTAGGTTCAAGCAATTCTCCTGCCTTAGCCTCCCGAATAACTGGGATTACAGGCACCCACCACCATGCCCAGCTAATTTTTGTATTTTTTAGTAGAGATGGGTTTTCACCATGTTGGCCAGGCTGGTCTCAAACTCCTGACCTCAAGGGATCCGCCCATCTCGGCCTCCCAAAGTGCTGGGATTACAGGCGTGAGCCACCGTGCGCAGCCCGAAAATCAATTTCTTACTTGGGACATTTCACAGAAGCCTATTGGACATATCAGTCCAGAATCTCTGAACCAAATCTGGATACAGGTTCTTTTCAACCTGGTCTGGATTACCAGGGAGGGGAAAAGTAAGTGGGGCCATTTTGATCCCACTTAACCTGCCCCTGATTTTGGAACAATGATGGCCTTCCCTTTGGACTTGGGGTGATCCAGTGGCATACTGACATCAGGGAATCACTTTATTTGTTCACTGATGAACTCATTGCTATGTTCCCAAAGTAATGTTTATTATGTGACTCAGGTACATGCTTGGCAAATTAATAATAGTTAAAGCCAACCTTGATTGCTAATTGAGTATATAATCTACAACCAACCAAATAAATCAAATTTATTATGCACCAATTGTTTTAGTGCATATTGCTTAATTTGTAAACCTGGACACTTGTTGCTATTTAATAAATGTGAAAGAAAAAGCTATATATAAAGAAATACATAGAAACATATGTGACAAATACTGTTTATTATACCTTTTTCTAATCCAAAATAATAAAACAGCTGTATTAAAGTTGACAGATTATCAAAAATTCTCTTACTTTTCAAAATGAGTCAATACTGGATTTTTAAAAATTGATATAATGAAGAAAAAAGGTTTATAGTCACCATTTCAGCACTGCTTCCTTTGTATATAACACTACAATCTGCATTTCATTCATACCTTTTTCTTCTCACTCATTTTCATTTTTATCTAAAAACATGTACAGGGCTCCTAATTGAAAAACTCTTTCTTAATTCTACATTCTTTTAGATTTTCTCTGTTCTCCCTTTCACACCTGAGGTTCTTGAAAGAAGAGCTAATCAATTGACTTATTAAGTTGTGGATATAGATTCATATAAAAGATCCCATTCCTGTTTTTGTATTAGTTGCTAGAAAGCACTTGGCCAAATTTGTGGCCTATGTTTGATAAACGTTTTGGCCAAATTTGTGGCCCATGTCTGATAAATACAATAAGGTACATTTATGTACCTTATCATACATATTTTGGGTATGTATGGCCTCTACTATGCTTCATCTCATTTTTATTTTTCTATTAGTCCTCATTTTCTTTAGTATTGTATATATTCTTCGAAGCTCCATCAAATCCTCTTTGGAACAAAGTGGGACATACACACACACACACATGCACACACATGCACACACACACATGCACACAAGTTGGTTTTTTTTTGTTGCTTAGTAAGTAAACACAGACTCAATGATCCTTTAATTAGAGCAAGAGGTCTCAAGATGTGCCCAGCACACAGGAGAAGCAAGGAAGTCCTTTCAAGACCTACTTTGATAACACAAAACAACAGTGGAAGAGGAGTTGATGGAGAAGTTATGCTGATGTAAATTTGTATTGACTTCTGATATTCAATCTCCTAGACCAAAGAGATTGCCATAGGTAACAAGAAGTGAAGGAGGGAAAGCAGACAGCAATGACCAGATCCCAAATAGAGGGCCTGGAGCTTCACAGGCTTCACTCAATATGAGCTTTACCAACTTCCAGAAAACAAAATCAAAGAGGTGTTGATATGGCTGTGTGTCCCCACCCAAATCTCATCTTAAATTGTAATCCCCAGGTGTTGAGGGAGGAACCTGGAAGGAGGTGATTGGATCATGAGGGCAGTTCCCCCACGCTGTTTTTGTGATAGTGAGGGAGTTCTCACAAGAGCTGATGGTTTTAAGTGTGCCACTTCCTCGCTCTTTCTCACACACTCTTGCCTGCCACCATGTAAGACATGCCTTGCTTCCCCTTCCCCTTCAGCCATGATTGTAAGTTTCCTGAGGCCTCCCCAGCAGTGCAGAACTGTGAGTCCATTAAACCTCTTATCTTTATAGATTACCCAGTCTCAGGTAGTATCTTTATAGCAGTGTGAAAACTGACTAATACAGGTGTGTTCCTTAGAATTGGTGAGAGAATGTTTGAGCAACAAATTGGAAGCTGAGGATTTCCCCAGCTCATTTCTGCCCTTTCTCCACAGTACTCAGCAGATAGTTGGCTCCATTCAGGGTAATTTTCAGAGGGGAATAAGTGCAAAACTTATGCGTAAAATGACCACAAGAACACAACATAATCCGTAGAGCCAGTGCAATTCCAACCAAAATACCAACAAGTTTGTGTATGTGTGTTGGTAAATTGACAAATCAATTATAAAATTTATATGAAAATGTAGAGTCAAATACTGGACTCAATTAAAAGTTGAACTAAAATAAACAGTAGTGGAAATTACAGAGCAAAATGTAATTTTATAAATATCAATAATGGTAAAAAATAAAAAAATTAATACCATATAAAACAGATATGTGGGAAAAAGTATACCAATTCCTTCATATTTCATAGAAGGGAGTTAGTAGATACTGTAAAGTTAACACATATAATTTAAAAATGTCAAACATCTAAATGCTTAGCTACAGCTTTTCATAATTTTTCATAGTCATTTGTTACTCATTTTAGAGGGCTCTTTAAGAGCTGATATTTCTTGTGATAAAGACACCATTATGTGAAGTTCTGCAATTTCTTCCATTTCAAAAACATTTCTTCTGTTAAATTCAAATAAAGTCAAATGCAATACCTTTTATTTAAGATAAAGAGATTCTACTTAGTAATGAAAAAGAATGAATTGGCTGGGCACAGTGGCTCACACCTGTAATCCCAGTGCTTTGGAAGGTCAAGGAGAGAGGATTGCTTCAACCCAGGACTTCAAGACCAGCCTAGGCAACATAGCAAGAATGCATTTCTACAAAAAATACAAAAATTTAGCCAGGTATAGAGATTCATGTCTGTTGTCCCAGCTATTTGGGAGGCAGAGGTAAGAGGATTGCTTGAGCCCAGGAGGTTGAGGCTGCAGAGAGCTATGACTGTGCCACAGCACTCCAGTCTGGGCAACAGCGCAAGACCCCATCTCTAAAAAAAAGAATGAATCATGGATATACACAACATGAGTAATCTAAAAATTATTATTCTGCATGAAAGAAACCAATGCAAAAGAGTGTGATTGATTGCATAATTATTCTAGTATTGTGCTAATTGTATGATTGCACTTATGTAAAATCTAGAAAATGCAAACTAATCCATAGCAACTGAAAACATTTCAATGGTTGCCACCTAGGGCTGGGAGTGGAGAGTGGATGTGCTGTGAAGGGGCATGATATGAACAATTACTTGGGTGATACAAGTGTTCTGCATCTTGATTGTGGTGCTGGTTTCCCAGGTATATAAATAGTCAAAACTCATGGAATTGGGCACTCTAGAGATGCAGTTTAGGCTAGGTGTGGTGGCTCACGCCTGTAATCCCAGCACTTTGGGAGGCCAAGGTGGGTGGATCACCTGGGGTCAGGGGGTTCGAGAGCAGCCTGGCCAACATGGCAAAACTTTGCCTCTACTAAAAATACAAAAATTAACCAGTAGTGGTGGTGCATGCCTGTAATCCCAGCTACTTGGGAGGCTGAGGTGCGAGAACCTCTTGAACCCAGGAGGCAGAGGTTGCAGTGAGTCGAGATCACGCCACTGCACTCCAGCCTGGGCAACAGGGTGAGACTCCATCTCAAAAATAAAATAAGAGATGCAGTTTATTGTACATATACTTCAATGAAGTCTATTAAAAACCAATTCTGACTTTAAAAAATAGCTTGGGTAGTGGGATCACATTTTTCAAAAGTCCCTTCTCTCCATACTTCCTGTATATATCCACAGGGTGACTGCAATGAGGTGTATTAGACGTTAATGAAATATTGATTTCTGGATGGTAGGATTTGAAGCAATTTAAAAAATATTTGTCTTTGATGTTTTTCCTATTGTTTGAATTTTTATAGTGGGCCTGTGTAACTTTTGCAACTATTAATGAATATTGAAGACATATATAAGTAAGTAATATTCCATTTGTTTTTGAGCATTGTGTTAAAGACATTATGTGGAGACAGGTGCACCAGATGAGAAAGGAGACCTACTTCCCAGCCCCTGGCCATGGGCCCTCACTTGCTCAGCTGCTTTCATTTGCTCACGGAAAGAGTCTATTTTATTTTCCCTGACTATTAAAATGGCAATAGAAATATGAATTCTGCATAGCACACCCCAAACAGGTAGAAATGGCTTTAATTCATTCAGATTGTGGCTCTCGAGTTAGCTGAGGCCAGGGAAAGTACAGGCCGTTCTAATCTTCAGTGTGGTGCCTATGACGCCCACAAGAGAGTATTGCCAACGTGTTCCTGCTTTGCTAGTGGCAGTACACAAGGTATTTGATTTCTCCTTCACATTTCTATGTGTAAAATGGGGCAGGCTGATGGGGTTGGTATGAAAAAGCATAAATAAAATTATCATACACTTTGGAAAGAGATGTTCTGAATAATAACAGGATTTTGTTATTTATGCTGAGCAATATATTTTGTCATTTCTATAGTATATTCTAGTATTAAAATTTATACTCATGCAAATTCGGCTAACAAAGTTTCCACCCATTCATTCAGGTTAAAGCATTGATTTCTGTCTGGTTTAGAGTATAGGCAGTTCTGTTCCTCAAAGCAGTGGATCCATCACTGCTGGGATAGAAGGACATTGCAGTTCAAAGCCTTATAATATGCAAAACAAAATGTCTGAGTAGTGCCCACAAATGCTGAAATTACTGAATAAATCCCAAGGATTTCCCTTATTTAAAAAAATTAAAATTTTTAGTGTGTATATTTTCTTTAGACAATGAAAAAAATAGAAGAATTACATTGTCTCCCCAAAATGTAAAAAGAATATCTGATAGGTAACAGTCTTTTTGTGTGTGTGTCCAAGTTGACTGCTCATAAACAGGCTGTGTGTGACTGCATTGCCTAGCGACTCTATTGACAAGGCTTTAAAAGTCTGCAATTAGCAGATTGAATGGTATTACAGAGAGGTCCTTGAAAAGATGGTATAGATTACTGAGATGCAATATTCCTCTTTAGAAAGAATAATAAGTCTTTATATAGCCATCAAAGCCAGTTCAGACTGCAAAGTAAATAACATTAAAAAACTTCAGATGGAAAACTGTAACTCTACTCTAAACTTCAAAATCCCAGAAGGAAAAACATTTAAGATTAGGAGCCTTCCAGTGTTAAGCATTTAGATATTTGGCTGCTGTTTTAAAACTGTATTTTGTTTTAATAGGTAACTGTATGATTATGTGATACATGACATTTGACACTACCTCACTGTGGTATCATATAAACAGTGAGATTTACAGAAAATTCTTACTCAGAAACCAAAGATTGTCCCAACCAGAAAAACAAAGACTTTTACCAAATTAGGTAATAACAATTTACTCTTACATTCCTGAGTTACTTTCAGTTCCGCTGCTTCTTTTAATTCTCATAGAACAGGTGTTACCTATGCTGTGAATTCTGCTGCAGGGAGAGATTCTGTCTGCATATCAGAATTAAAAGTGTTCTGGTTCACAATACAGATTTCCAGGCCCAAATTCCAGAAAATCTGGTCAGTAAGTGGAGAATGGGGCCCGGGATCTGTGCCTTAATAGCCTGCCTTTCCCTGCCTTGTTAAATTAATGAGTCCGAAAGAGTTGATCCAGGTACCCATTTCTGAGAATCACCATCTGGACTCATACAAGGTTAGCGCTTTGCCAAGAGCATTGCAGAATTAGAAATGCCACAGCAGGTTTGGGATGGCAATGGTGTTGGGTGCTGTGTCAATCACAGATTGTTAAAACAACGCAAGCAGTTTTCTTGTTTTTCCATTTGTCTGCCCAGTTGCTCTGCCTTATGATATTTTCCTGCTTGGCTTATGAAGACCATCTTGGATTTTCATTACCTAGAAGAATTTAGTATTCTCTCTAAACTTGGATATCTTTCTGTATATTCTCCCTGAGCTTTTAATAGAAGATTATTATTAAAACTGAGAAAAGCCCACTCTCCAGAGGGCTCATGTATCCTAATGAGCGTGTGATTCTAAACAAGTTCACTGCTTGTGACAAAACAGTGCTCCCCTCAATCTAATGACTCACCTGAATCATTTTTGGTTTGGAACATTCTTGTGTAATTAGACAACATCCACAACTTTCCACATGCCCATATATCCCTTCAATAAAATTGATCAAGGGAAGAAGAATGACTACGTTCTCTGGAAGATTAGTAGTACAGAACATGTGCAATTCACAATGAATTCAAAGGGCTCAGAGCCGCTCCTGCAGAAAGCCATCTCTGATCCCACCCTCTTTGCCCCTTTCTGCTGCCACAGTCTTCACACAAATGTGGTTTTTCCCTTTGGAACTCTCAGAGCATGGTTCAGTGCCTTTCTGATGGTGGCTAAGTCATGCCTTCCTCCATGATATAGTTGGATCTATGTCCCCACCCAAACCCCATGTTCAGTTGTAATTCCCAATGTTGGAAGTGGGTCCTAGTGGGAGGTGATTGGATCTTGGGAGCTGTGTTTCGTATGAATGGTTTAGCCCCATCCTCCTCGGTCACAATACTGAGTGAGTTCTCATGAGATCTGGTTGTTTGAAAGTGTGTGGTACCTCCCCGCCACCTCTCTTCCTTCTGCTCTGGCCATGTGAAGTGCTCGCTCCCCCTTCAGCTTCCACCATGATTCTAGGCTCCCTGAGGGCTGCGCAGAGGTTAATGCTGCCATGCTTCCTGTACAGCCTGCAGAACCGTGAGTGAATTAAACCTCTTTTCTTTATAATTACCCAGTCTCAGGTATTTCTTTATAGCAATTCAAGAATGTATGAATACACTCCACTATGAAAGCTTGACTTTCTTAAAGGCATAGACCATGCCCTACAGCATATGCCCCATGAATGAATAAGAAAATCAGTGACCATGTTACCTCCTTTCCCCTTTACATTTATATATGCTTGGGGTGCACAGAGCCCTTTTGCATCCACCATAAGTTTTTTCTTCTTTCCCTACAGACCCACAGAGATTCTGTGACTTTCCATGGCTCTCTTCACCTGTCTCAGCTACTTCCAACTTAGTTGTTCAAAAACTGTTTCAATATAGCAGTTTCTATCAATTGACTTCAATAAGGGTATACACTATCAACTGCTATCACTCAAGGCCACCCTTTTTCCAGGCATTTTCTGTGGGTTAGTGCTTTGATCCAGAACTTGTGTTTAACTGTCCTAAAGAGAGGTTTACGTACCTCATCCTGCAACAGAGTCTTACTGTACTCCAGGTGGTGCCTCTCCAAAATAGAAGAACCATGAAGTCTTGCTAATGGAGATGTGGATCTAGAAGGAAAACAACATGCCATGATTCTAGCTGTTTAAAAATTACACATAGGTTCCTACAATACAGAATCTTTATTGTTTCAGGATTTTTCTTAATGTCAGTCTTCTCCCTCCCCACTCAATTATCTAAGTGGTCAAAAATAACATATTGGAAAAGATTTTCTAGATTTAAAAGATGAGAATATGCTCTTTTGGAAAAAAAAAAACAAACCCTAATTTGTTGAATGCATAAATAATTGAATTGTTTAAATTAAGGAGTTCAGCTCCGTGTATCTAAATTCTTTAAGTTCCCTGGGGCTTATGGCGGTGGAGTATGACTTATAAAACATATAGCAAACATGTGGAAGCCCATAGATTATCTGCATGGAACCAAGATGAAAAGCACTATAAGGTAACATTTCTCAGAGCCTCCCCTAAGACAGTGACATAAATGTAAGCTTAGAGTTCCCATTTATTAACAATTAGATCACAGTTTTATATAAGTAGGGGTCCCAGTCTTTTGTACCCTGTTTTTCTTCAGTGCCTTCAGGGTAAAAGAGGCTGACTTCAAAGGTCTAGAGATTATGTGAAGACTGTCATGAAAATATAGAATAAATTTTAAAGAAAGAAGAAATCAAAAACATGGCTGGCAGCCTTAGTAGAGAAGTTTTATTTATTTCATGGAGAACAAAACTTTAGTCTGGGAGAGGTCATTGCCAGGTTACTGGCAGGTCGGGGAAAGCAAATACTTTAGTTGGGGAATAATTAGGCCATATCTAATAAATATTACAATCGATCATAATTTTAACACATATTTAAACAACTACTCTGTGTTGGCATTGGAGATTTTTTAAAAAAAATGAATAAATCCCAGTTTCTATAACCACCAAGCTGCTCTCTATCTTATGCGATCCATTTTTGAAGCCTCCATATATGAGTGAGAACGTGATATTTGACTCTCTGTGCCTGGCTTATTTCACTTAACAAAATAATCTCCAGTTCCATCCATATTGCAACAAATGACAAGATTTCATTTTTTTTGGTGGCTGAATAATCTTCCATTTATATATATATATATATATATGTGTGTGTATATATATATACACACACACATATACACATACCACATTTTCTTTATTTGAAGATAGAGAGTAGTTTGATGGTTATCAGAGGCCAGGAAGGGTAGGGAGGTGGGAAGGATGAAGGCGGGTTGAGTAATGGTTACAAATATACAGGTAGGTAGAAGAAATAAGACCTAGTGTTCAATAAATTAATAGAGTAACTATAGCAAACAACAACCTATTGTATGTTTCAACATAGCTAGTAAAGAATAATTTGAATATCCCAGCATAAAGAAATAAATGTTCAAGGTGATGGATATCTCAGTGACCCTGATTTGACTACTGCACATCATATGAATGTATCAAAATATCATGTACCCCAAAAGTATGTACTCTATTATGTAGCAATTTAAAATCTATATTTTAAAAAATGAATAAAGCTCAATTCTAGTTAGAAAGGAGTGGTATCTTTAATTCCTTTAGGTTTAGAAACATTCGTTTTAAAATGTTATTGGGAAGTTAGATATTCATCTGATCTCAAAATAACATTTTGCATATTACTTATCAATTGCAAAGGAGAAAATGTTCCTTTACATAAAGAGATCCGGCCGGGCGCAGTGGCTCAAGCCTGTAATCCCAGCACTTTGGGAGGCCGAGACAGGCGGATCACGAGGTCAGGAGATCGAGACCATCCTGGCTAACACGGTGAAACCCCATCTCTACTAAAAAAAATACAAAAAAAAACTAGCCGGGCTAGGTGGCGGGCGCCTGTAGTCCCAGCTACTTGGGAGGCTGAGGCAGGAGAATGGCATGAACCCGGGAGGTGGAGCTTGCAGTGAGCCGAGATCGCGCTGCTGCACTCCAGCCTGGGTGACAGAGCGAGACTCCATCTCAAAAAAAAAAAAAAAAGATCTTCTGGACATCATCCATAAATAAAATTCGTATCATGGGCTTCGTGACACAGTGCACTGAGAAGGACACAACATCATCTATGTAGTATTCCTGCCAAAAAATGTTTAGTCTGAATTTATTAATCAGGAAACAAGTGGTTAAATCCAAATTGAAAGATACTCTGCAAAATAGTTGGCTTAGACTCTTCCAAAACATAACACACAAAAAGGTTGAGCAACTACTCCAGGTTAAAGGAGATTAAAGATATTTGACAACTAAATGCAAAGTGTGCTCCTTGATTAGATATTAAATTAGAAGGAAAAAATAGCTATAAAGGACATTATTGTGGTAACTGGAAATTTTTGAATAAACATTTTATATTAGATAATATTATTGTACCAATACTGAGGGTGATCATTGTATTGTGTTTATGTAGGTGAATGTCCTAATTCTTAATAAATATATGCTGCAATATTTAGGAATGAAATCTAGTATCTGCAGCCAACTCACAAATGATTTAGTGAAAAAAAAAGATTTAGTTGGCCACGTACAGTAGCTCAGGCCTGTAATCCTAGCACTTTGGGAGGCTGAGGCAGGAGGATTGCTTGAGCCCACGAGTTCAACACCAGCCTGGGCAACATAGGGAGGCCCTGTCTCTACAAAAACAATTTAAAAGTTAGCCAGGCGTGGTAGCATATACCTGTAGTCCCAGCTACTTGGGAGGCTAAAGTGAGAGGATTGCTTGGGCTCCAGAGGTCAAGGCTGCAGTGAGCCGTGATGGTGCCACTGCAGTCCCTGAGTGACAGGGTAGACCCTGTCTCAAAAAATATATTTATTATTTATATACACACACAGACACTCACACACACACTGACAGTCTGCAGTCAGGAAGCCCTTCCGTCACCATATGCTCCTACAGTTGCGTTCACAGAGGAGGAATGATGAAAGAAAACCAGACCAATGCAGAAGGCAGGGTGTGGCTGCATGCATCTTTCCTGCAAACCTGGAGGCAAGATGCCAGCTTCAATCCTGCTACTTCCTGTAACCTAGGGAAGGTTTGACTTCATCTTTTGAGCTCATCAGTTAAAGTGGGGGATAATAGTACCTCCTATATGGCACCTCCCTTCACTGTGCTGTGAAGGTTAAAGGAGGCAGTAGGTATCAAGTCCTTAGCTTGGTCTCCAGCACACAATAGATGCTCAATTTGTTCCTCTGGAACTGAATTGGCTAGTATACTACTGATCAAGAAGGAGGACCAGAACTTCAATGACTGTCAGGGGACTTGGATTCAGGAGGAGTGAGTGGCCAGTATAGGCTGGAACCTTTGAGATGAAGATGTCTCTTGCCTGAAGTCTGGATGGAGATCGTCTTTTCAAGACAAAGTCTAATGGTAGGCAGAATTGCTGAAGATGAGGAGTCACTGCATACAAAGTGCTTTTCGCTCAATGAAATTATATATGTGAAACCTGCCTAGTAGGCACTTTCTCAAGTGGGTTTCACATATGTAATTTCATTTGATTCTCTTAACAATCTTTGAGAGGTCAATACTTTATCCATCTCACAGCTAAGAAACTGAATCTCAAATAGATTAAATGACTTGTCCAAGATCCCCCAATCATACAATTAGTTGGTCCTCACAAACCCCAGACTCCAAAGACTGTTCTGTCTACAACACTTCACTACTTCTGGAGAGGGGTAGGTCATGTGTCAGAAGTGAGAATGAAGTGTGGCTGAGGCAGACAGACCACCTTAAAACCCATTATCAAGAAGCTGGGCTGGCCACGAGCAATGCTGGTGAATGAAGAGTGCCAATGACATCATAACAATAATAGTAATCATAATGCCTAGTGCTTGTTTGTTTGTTTGTTTTCTGAGACGGAGTCTTGCTCTGTCGCCCAGGCTGGAGTGCAGGAGTGCAGTGGCGTGACCTCAGCTCACTTCAACCTCTGCCTCCTGAGTTCAAACAACTCTCCTGCCTCAGCCTCTCAAGTAGGTGAGATTACAGGCACACACCACATTGTCCGGCTAATTTTTGTATTTTTAGTAAAGATGGGGTTTCACCATGTTGACCAGGCTGGTCTCCAACTCCTGACCTCGTGATCTGCCCACCTCAACCTCCCAAAGTGCTAGGATTATAGGCATGAGCCACCATGCCCAGCAATCATACCTAATATTTATTAACTGCCAAGATCCTATCTTGAGTTGAGGGCTTTATATCCATGATCGCATTTAATCTTTACAACAACCTTATGTTCTGGGTACCATTATTACAATTCTTACTTCCCAGATGAGAAAATCGTGGCTTAGAAAGCTTAAATAACTTGTGACCCAGTGAATCCAAATCTGCCTGAGCCCAGAGCCTGCACCCTTCTTATTGTACTTCCTTTCTTGGGGCAAGAGAGAAAGATGGCATCGATGTTAAGATAGAAGACCAGCTGAAGGAGAGTTTGGTAGAAGCAAAAAGACCAGGGAAGTGAAGGGTAGTAAGCCCAGGGGTAGTGTCCTCTAGCCTGAGCTGGGGAGTACTCCATAGGAGTGTACAAGTGTAAGCCTAACATTCATGTACCTTATGTATTTGTTTTTTATTTTTTATTTTTTTCAAGACAGAGTCTCGCTTTGTCGCTCCAGCTGGAGTGCAGTGGCGTAATCTTGGCTCACTACAACCTCCACCTCCTGAGTTCAAGCATTTCTCCTACCTCAGCCTTCCAAGTAGCTGGGATTATAGACATGTGCCTATAATCCCAGGTGTGCCACACCTGGCTAATTGTTGTACTTTTAGTAGATACAGGGTTTTGCCATGTCGGCCAGACTGCTCTTGAACTGACCTCAGGTGATCAGCCCGCCTCACTCTCCCAAAGTGCTGGGATTACAGGCGCAAGCCACCGTGCCCAGCCAGATTCATGCACTTTAATATAGGAATTCAATACTCTGATTAAACAAAGTTGAGAGAAGAAAGCCCGAAGGCCTATAGGAAGAAGGCAGAGGCACATCCGGAAATGAAAACAGAAAGGAAAGGGAGATGCAAGCACCTAGAGAGAAAGAGCAATGTTATCGTGAAGGCAGAAGCTTGGGAGGGAATAGAACCCAGCCCTGGGATTTCCAAACATGGCAAAGACGGACTGACTGGGCCAAGAAATAGGGAGAAGCATTTTTCTCACTCCAGGTACCTTCCAATGTCCACCAATACAGGTCAACATTGCACATGTGTTCACTTACTTCATCTGGTACAAATTATTAGTGCCTCTGTGGTCAATATCATGGCAGAAAGCAGCAGCGAGCATGGCAAAGGCTTCAAGATCCGTATAGTATTTCTTTAATCTTCCTGTCTAAAAAAAAAAACATAAATACATATATCTATAATTTATTTGAATTAACATACCTCTCTACCAAGTGCAGCAAGGCCTGCCTGCAGTAGAGAATAGGCCCACTAGTTTTTGGAGCAAGTTCACTTTATTTGTTGTGAGTATTGTAGCATTGCGCGTAATGACTGAACTTCCCTTTAAGAAGGTAAGTATGTGAATGTCTGAGTGATCATCCCACCGGTGCTCAAGGATACCCATGTTCCCTGGAACTCATCTGCAGCAGAGAGGGGTTTGCGCCCTGAATTTTTAAATTACTGATCTAAAATGATGGACCATACCTATTTCTCACCATGCTCAAATGGGAAATCTGCAGGTTTACAAGGATTTACAACCCTCTGCACCTACCATCAGCAAAGTAAACATGGTCTGTCCCACGTTGAACCCATGCCGCCAATTGTGGTAAGTGACAGCTCGGTACCCTTTCCTCACAGTGTACATCCATCTGGTAAGAACCTAAAAGAAGACAACACCATTCAGACTTTGGAATAGAATTCTAAAGGTTAGAAGGTCTGTGGCAATCTTATCTAAAAAGATGTGTTGGTCTTGTTGACAGGGGTTAAGCTGATGTATTTAGAAAGTTAATAATAATTTAAAATTCAAACTGAGTCCATCTTTTGAACCACAGAAAACATCAGTGAAGCAGAGCCACAGAATCACACAGTATTTTAAATTAAATACCATCTGACCTCTACGGGTACTTTGAATTTCTCCACCACATTTATTTCAAAAAACAGTCGTATTCCACATTGAATCAATCCGTGCTCTGTAATGGGGAAGTCACTGAAGCGGAATTCGTACAGTTCTGCAGAGCGTGGGTCTGGCAAGTCCTCTTTCTGTTGAGATAAGGATGGATTGTTTCAGATTACATTCATCTGTTTTCCCTTCACACTCCCATAGCCAACATTGGGTGTAAAACAAAATTACAATAAAAGAACACAATGTGTGATTCACTGAGCCACCATGTGCCAGGCACTGGATGATGCAGTTTGCACAGATAATCCTCACGGCAGTCCTACACAATTGTCTCCATTTTACAGGTGATGAAACTGAGACTTGGCTATATTAAAGACTTTCTAAGTGATGGGATACCATTCCAAATCCAACTCCAGTAGCTGTTTTCTCTCTATGATGCAAAATAAAATGTTTAGTTACAAAAGCCTTACTCATTTTCAATACTCAACTTTTTTTCTGTTCAGGAAATATTCAGTAAACAGTAAACGACTGCTTAATTCAATTCTTTTTAATTTTCTTTATGTGCTCAGTGACAGTTTTTCACTAGAATGTGAGCTCCCCGAGGGTGGGGATCATCTGCTTATTTGCTGCCATATCCTAAATCCGCAGGGCCTGTCCCATGAAGGTGCTTGGGAAATGCCTGTTGAATGAGTGGATGGATAAACCAATGATTGCCCTGCAGTACAAAGATATACTTGCAGACATTTTATTTAACTCACATCTGGTTAGGATTCCGGATTATGTGAAAAAACAGTGAAGTAGACACATGGCATTGCTGTGACTTGAGAATTAAAATTATGGATCTTGCCCTTAAGGAACTTAACTTATTAAAGTGACTATAAAATATAGATGAGTGAAAAGTAAGCACTTAGAAAAATCAGAGAGTATGGCCAGTGCTCCATGCTGAAGGACAAACTGAATGTCCTTGGACAGGTGGGGAAATTAAATGAGGAGAGATGCTGGAGGGACATGCATGCAGCTGAGCTGGCAGAAGGAAGCAGAGAGATTCCATGTGGGTGAGAAAGTGCCAAGAGGCAGAAGTGAGCAACGACTGTGTAGGTCTACCAGACAGACCTGCAGGAGCAATTCAGTTCAATGGGTATTTATTTGAACGTGTACTATGTCCTTACTGGCGCACTGAGGAGGACACAAACATAGGGAAAGGCAGGACACTCCCCTTAGTTAAGTTTAATGTTTTTCAGGGGACAGCCATGCTCTATTTACGCAGATTTCAACACCAAATGGTATATAGCTATTCAAAGCAAAATTATGGTTTCCAGTCCCCCCAGCCCCTGAGCCTGGGCTGGCCCCTCACACTCTTGCACAGAACTGTTGCTATACCCAGAAAATCGGCTGAGCCTTCCCTGGAGCTAACATTAAAGTGCAGGCCTGGAGAAAGACTCACGTACATGAAAATGGAAAAATAATTATGTAGCTGAGAAATGATGCCAGGATAATTTTGGAGAACTCCTCTGAAATATTTGTTACATTCCTCAATTTTATGCAGCAATGATATGGGATTTGCCCTAAGTAGATTTTACATTCAAAATAGGCTGGGTTTTTTTGTATTTTTGTTTTTTTTTTTTTTTAGGAAGTCTACTGGTTCTTTGTCCACTTTATTGCTTCTACAACATGAGATCCTTCTTCCTTTACATAAGAAATTAGAGAATTTCTAGTGACACGGATGTCAGTGAAAGTTTTGTTTTCCAAGAAGATGTCTATTGTTGAGGGCAGGTGGGGAGAAGAAAGGGTGATCTTCTGGGCCAGGCTGAGAGGATGGTGCTCAAAGGGAGAGTCAAGCAAAATGGGAGAAAAGGAAACCTCAGATGACATGAAAACATGGGGGTGGGAAGTAAGCCCCAAAAAGGGGTCAAATGCCAACAGTCCTAAGGTAGCAGAGCAAAGGCCCCGGATGGGAGGACAGAGCCCATAAAAGATGGAAAGGGAGAAGGTGAGATAGTCGATGTGTCTTAGTTTAGAAAGAACACTCGCATCACAGATTGGAAAGAGACAGTGGAAAACAGGTTATAGCAGTTAGTAAGGAAATTAAGTGTGATATTTCCATTTCAATCAGATGGAATTCAACCCTCTGAAATTCAAGGTCTGGGGGTCTTGGTAAGTATCCCAGGATTTCATGTGATTCCAGAAGAGCCACATTCTAGAAACAAGGGCTCCACCCTAATAGGAGGAATAAAACCAAAAAAGATCATCCCAGATGAAATCTAAAACAACTCTCTCATCTGCTGGAAGAAACTCTAACCCTCTTTGCAGAAGGATAATATCACTCAGAGCCCCTACAAGTTTTTATCTATAATATCTGATTTTTTATTTTAAAAGCATGAGGCATGCTTTAAAACAGGATCAAATGACTAGAACCCAGGTGTAAAAATGAACAGTAAAATCAGATCTATAGGTGATTCTGGTATTAAGATGAGTACCTTAAAATAATACACACCAATACTTTTTTTAAAATACAGGGAAAAATAGTCAAAATAGATCAAATGATGAAAAGTTTTAACACAGAGTTAGAACCTTGACAAAAGAATTAAATGTACCTTCTAGAACTGAAAAAAAATCTCTGAAATTAAGAATTTATTGAGCGAGTTTAACAGTTGATTGGACACAACAAAAGACAGAATTAGTGAAGTGGGAAAGTTAATTTCAACCCGAAATAATAGGGATGGCCTACTGGCAACGACAGGAAAGAATGGAGCCTTCAGACTCCAGAAGAGAAGCTGGAAATGGCAGGGGGTGCCAGTGCCTAGAAGGATCCATGCTCCACGCTAACTCTGTCATGTCCTCTGGGGTGGCCATGGTGTCATCCAAAGCTATTAAACTGTGCCTTGATATCCCTACATTCTGTGCCTGAAGTCCCCTAAGCAGTAGTCTAGCCTAGCTGCAATTGTAAATTCTCTGTGGGAATTGGACCAGAGGCGACAAAGATGAAGAAAAGCAGGGAATCAAAAGATCAATCTTTAGAAGAATTCTTCTTTTTAGCCTTGAGAAATATCAGGAAAGAGAAAACTCAATATTTACTTGAAAAACAAGAAAGCATGTCCTAATATATTATTGATTTCTATATTATCTATTTAACAGGCATTAAGGTTAGAAAGAAAACACTTACCAAAATTGCAACAAGTTGTTTTTCTTCACAGTCGTCAATTACATCAACATTTAACTTCTCTTGAAATTTCTAAAATGTAAAAGCAATTGAGGTGTGAAATTCCTAAAGGAAAAGATTTCCATCTGATTCCTCTACTATTACAATCTTAGTTAAGATATCTTTAAAATATGCAGGAGGAGGAGGCTGGACAGATCCCTGGAGCCCAGGAGTTGCAGGATGCAGTGAGCTGTGATGGCACCACTGCACTCCAGCCTGGGTGAGAGAGTGAGACCCCATCTCTAAAAATAAGTAAATAAATAAAATATACTACAATGAGTTCCATGGCAAAGATGCATTCTTTATCATGGATACAAAGACCTATAGCACCTGATTATGAAGATTTTTTTTCAAGAAATAATCTAATATATTTGATTTTTAAAATTCCCTCAAAATGGTTACCGTAGCTGGGTTTTTTTTTTTTTTTTTTTTAACAGGTGTGGGTTGTTTGCACATAGGAAAGAGCAAATGAGTGGTTTACATTTATTTTTCCATTAGCTTATCACAGTTCCCTTTATTCCCCCCAGATCTTCTCATCTTTAACATCTCAAACTCTCAAACTGAGTTACACTCAAACCAGTCTGCAAAACCAAACACCAAGACGCTCGCCAAAAACAACCCGCTCCAGCAAAACCACGCATGCGCGCACACACACACACACACACACACACACACACACACACACAGCCAGGGAAGTAAAAGAAATAGAGATGGTGGGCACATAATATTTTTGCCTTCATTTTGTGGTGATTAGAACATGGTTAGCAAATATCCACTTGCTCCCCCATCATCTATAAGGTTGGTCTTCGTAATGTGACTTTCTTTGGCCAGTGAGCATTTTGGTGAATGTGATGTGAGCGAAAACTTGAAGTATGCCTGCACAACTGGGCTTGCTCTCTTGCACTTCTGTCATCTCTGTGAGAAGGACATCTATCAGGTAGCTCCTGGTCCAAAAAGGATGAGAGATACATAGAGCAAACCAAATTCACAGCTTGGAGCCAAGTCCAGCCACTGTCAATCAAAGCCTGGTCAACCCACAAATGTGAGTGAGAGATAGAGGTTCATTACTGCATGCCACTGAGGTGTCAGGGTTGTTGTTATGCAGCATTATATGACAATAGCTGACTGATACACTTCCCTTCCTAAAATATATATTTTTTCTTGCTACAGCTCCCATAGCCCCGGGGCTATTTTGAATGAAGTGCTATTCCAGTCAAGCAGCTGTACTTCCAGTAAGGGTCTCTGTACACTGGGCCATCCATGTCTTCTTCCAACCGCTCCTTCACTGTCTCTCTCTCCCAGTCCAGGAGTAAACCATTCACATTTGTCAGACCCATGGGTAATTAGATGACTTCTAGAATATGTGGTTAGGTAATACCTTATGTCCACAGGACTGAATTTCTCACTTACCAAAATGGACTTAATTTCTTCAGGAGTGGCTTTGGTTTGGTTCATGAGCATTTCCTGAGCAATGTCCTTTCTGTTTTCTAGCTTATTCATCTTATCATAGGTGTCAGTATTTAAAAGAGACCATCCAAGAAATTGTGTGAGAGTCTGAAACAGATAAAAGGTGATTCCAGTTCTCTTCAGTTAAAGCAAAATTGGTCTGGAGGCAACAATCTGCATGCTTTTCTATCAGTCTCCCTTCCATCATCAACCACCCTGTTCCTTCTTTTAAATTAAGGAAAACATACTAATAATCAGCTTCAGACAATAAAACTGGCTGAGTTATTGCTGTTTAAAGTGTACTATGTACCATGAATACTTCGTTAGAAGAGAGAGGGGTTACCAACACCAGTATAATCAAGCAGGACCTAAAAATTAGGCAGGGTGCTGGGAGTAAGAATAAGAATGAGAGGCAATAGGAAGGAGGAGTGGGAGAAGGAAGAGGAAAATCATCTTTCCCGTTTTCCGAGTATTATAACAAATTTTGGTTAAGCTAAAATTTTGTACTTTGGTAGAAAATGTTGCAGAGAATGTAGAAGTCAGGAAATAGAAACGACAAAATAACAGCGTATTGTTTACAGCTATGTGTGACTCATGTCTTAATGGCCCTTCAAAATATCATTCCAGAATAACAAATAATGATGCGCCTTCTCGTGTTTTGTGAATTGCATTGACTTCCATTATCTTATGATTGCACTTACCTCAGTAATGTATTCATCATGCTCATCGAAAGGTTTTCCATCCTTCCTGTTGTAAAATGTAGCCACTCCCACAATATCTTCTTTCTTGTTGACAATAGGCAGCGACAAAACATTCTTAATGACCCAACCAGTTTCATCTACAGGTCCTTTCTACAAATGAGAAGGGACCTCGAGTTATTATTATTATTTTTTGCCTTTTATTTTGAAATAATCATAGATTCACAGGATATTACAAAAGAAATGTACAGAGAGATTTCAGGTATCCTTCACCGAGTTTCACACAATGGTAACGATGGTTAGACAACTATAGTACATTTTCTACTGTCTTGTGTAACTATAGTACAATATCAAAACCAGAAAACAGACATTGTACAATCCAGAGCTGATTTGGATTTTACCAGATTTGTGTGCACTTACTTGTACATGCATATGTGTGTGTGTACATATAGTTTTATGCAAATTTATCCCTTGTGTAGATTTTCAACCACCGTTAGAATCAAGATACAACACTATTCCATCACTACAAGACTCCCCTGTACTCCTCCTTTCTAGCTACCACCCAACCACTTGCCACTTAGTTTATTTTTAATTTAAAGAAAGAGGCTGGGCACAGTGGTTGGAGCCTGTAATCTCAGCACTTTGGGAGACCAAGGCAGGTGGATCACCTGAGGTCAGGAGCTGGAGCCAAGCCTGGTCAACATGGTGAGACCTCATCTCTACTAAAAATACAAAAATTACCCAGGCATGATGGCGGGCACCTGTAATCCCAGCCACTCGGGAGGCTGAGGCAGGAAAATCGCTTGAACCCAGGAGGCAGAGTGCCACTGCACTCCAACCTGGGCAGCAGAATGAAATTCTGTCTCAAAAAAAAAAAGGAATAATCATCTTTCAGTGTTAGATGTGCAATTCCTACTTTGTGTCAGAACATTGCTAGGGCCATTATATGTACTCTAGCACATCCAGTAGAGTGAACTAGAACCAAGTGTCTGTTTTCTGACAATTCTAACCTTTTCCCTTTCTTTCCCAAACCTTGGAAAGTGCTTCTTACCACTTTGTTACCTCACTTTTCCCTTTACACTTTTTCTATCCTCCAACACTTGTTTAGCTAATTCCTTGTATAAAATTCTCCTGTTGAAATGCTAGTGTGGTTTTTATTTTTCTGACTGATCCATGAAGATAGTCTTTCATTCTGTGGTGTGTTGAGTTGAGTAAACATTTGTCAAGGCTCTATGGTATGTCAGGATCTGGGGCAGTTGCTGAAGACACAAAGAATAAATCACAGGTCTTACCCCCAAGATGCTTAGGGTCTAGTGGAGGGATACAGGCACAAAAGTTTAGGAGTGTTTCTCAAAGTGTGGTCCAAGGACCATGTGCAACAGATTTGTTTTAGCTTGTTTCATTTTCCTTTCTTTTCTTTTCTTTTTTTTTTTTTTTCTTTTTTTCTTTTTTTTTTTTTTTTTGAGACAGGATCTCACTATGTCGCCCAGGCTGGAGTACAATGGCACAATCTTGGCTCACTGCAACCTCTGCCTCCCAGGTTCAAGTGATTTTCCTGCCTCAGCCTCACGAGTAGCTGGAATTACAGGCACCACCATGCCTGGATAATTTTTGTATTTTTAGTAAAGATAAGGTTTTACCATGTTGGCCAGGCTGGTCTTGAACGTCTGACCTCAAGTGATCCACCTGCCTCAGCCTCCCAAAGTACTGGGATTACAGGCATGAGTCACCACACCTGGCCTGGGCATGCATCTTCAATAAGCTTCCCAGGTAATTCTGATGCCCTCTGAAGTATGAGAACCATGATGTAGCATTTGCACAGTATGTAGCTAAGGCAAAGGTAGACAAGCACTCAACACACCACATTGTTTGTGCTTGAAAACTTCCCGTGGCTTAGTCATCCTTACAGGCCCCTGTTAAGTCTTGGCTCTCCCATGAAGCCTTTTCTAATTTTTCTAACTCATAAAGAACTTTTCTGTTTTGGAATTCCAACTGCACTTATAGCCTGAACCACAATTTAGCATTTAGACTGAGCATATAATAAGTACTCAGTCTAAGTAACTTGTTACTACTCTATGTAGTCATTATATGTGGACTGAAAAGCAGAAGAACCAAATCTCAATGTCTGTGTCCTGATGGTCAAAGCTTTAGAAACAGATGCAGTGCATAGTGCTTGCAAAGCCTGCATCTTTGGAAAACACTGAGAAATATTTATGTACTTATGCCATCATACGGACCAAGGACAAAATCAATAATAGAAAATATATCACATGCATGCGAAAGAATTTCATGTGTATTTGTTAAAGCTGCCAAAATAAGCTTTGCTGACTGCTTCTCAGTGTTTCAGGAAATATTCATTTGCTACCAGTTCATATTCTTGTGTTTTGCCATTTGCTAGAGCTTGTTGACAGACAAGTGACAGAAGGAACCTAAGGTTTAAGAAAAATTCGTAGGACAAAAAACTGAGGAAATTCTATGCACTTTTCCTCCTGTGAATTGGGATCACTTTAACTGGTGTTAAAGGAAGACCCCTTAGTCCACTTCAAGGAACACTATGGCAGGCAGAACAATGGCCCCTAAACATGTCTGTATCCTAATCTCTGGAACCTGTGAACATGTTATCTTACACAACACAGGGGAACTAAGGTTGCAGATAGAAGGACGGTTGCTAATTAGCGGACCTTAAGATGGGGAAATTAGCCTGGATGTTCCAGGTGGACCCAATGTAATTACAGTGATCCTTAAAAGTAGAAAAGAGGTTGGAATCAGAATGGGAGAAGGAGCTATGATGACAGAAGCAAGGTCAGAGTGATGGTGCTGCTGGCTCTGCCAGGGGAAGGGTCACCAGGCAAGGAAGGTGCGCGGCCCTGAGAAGCTGGAAAACGCAAGGAGATGAATTCTCCCCAGAGCCTCCAGAAAGCAACAGAGTCCCACCAGCACCGTAATTTTAGCCCAAGAAGACTCATTTTGGAATTCTGACCTCCAGAACTGTGAGATAATACATTTCGTGTGGTTTTAAACCACTCAGTGGCAATTTGTGACAGCAGCAGTAGGAAATGAATCCATTATGCCCCCAAGGAACATAGTCCGAGAACCACTGCCTCTGCAGGTTTGCTGTGACGGCAGTTCTTTTTGTATCACTGGCTTTTCCATCAAACTTCTCAGGTGCAAAAAGGAATCATAAGAATCACAGTGGGGACTGAGCAGGGAGAGAGAGAATCAGAAGATGGAGCACAAAAGGAGGGTGGTGGTTTGGGGAGGGTGGCCACCCATTCTAGTCCGCTCTGCAGAATGATGCACAGGTGACACCATTGAGGCGAAGTGGGGAGGGAGGCTGGGGATCCTGAGAGAGACGTCAGATAGTGATGCAGTCCCGACCCTGTGCAAGGGAGAAACGGAAGGATGGAAGGTTGAGGGGAGCCCCTTAGACTACCGTGTGGTTCTGAAACTGTTTGCAGAACTGTTAGGCATTCCTAGGGCCAAAGCTGCCTGGCAGGGGATCTGGCTGTCTTCCAGGAACAGGCCTGCTTTACTGTCCCTGCCACACTCAGTTACCAGTTGGGAGTGGCCCGTGGAGCCTGTGGCCTCGGCGCAGATGTGACCATGGATTTCAGTCCAGCAGCCACTGCACAGCTACACTTCCCACAGGTGGAGATCTGAGAAGCACATTTTCATGGGCACCACACTGATGTTTCCCAGAGAACTGGGAAATCCCTGTGGCCTGGAGGCTTATCCCACACTGGGAACTCCCCAAGGCCCCAGGCCTCCTCTCTGCCCAGGCCATCAGAGCACCTCAGAGCAGTAGCTGCAGTGGAGCATGAGAGAAAGCAAAGGGCCTCAGATTTCAGAGCAACCTGCCTTCTCCTGGGCCAGCTCCATCCCCACTCCCTGTTTAGACAATGACTGCTTAAGGTTCAGACTCTAGAAAATCATTGTCCCCCTTTTGCTGGCATGCATCCTATCCTGACATCCACCTGCCATAAATATAGGGGTCAGGCCTGGGCACAGCATGGTCACAAATAAGCTTCAATTGTAAGGAGGAAGGAGCTAGAGCAGCCATATGGTGTTTACATGTTTTCCATGTCAATCAGCAAAGGGAGGAGCAGGCAGATGCACGTAACGAAGCAAGTGTGTACAGCTTTCCCCAAGGCATGGTGTGGTTCTGCAGCTAAGGAGGCATGCCAGAGCCTGGGGAAGCCTGGCTTTTCCTAAGAGGCAGAGCTGGGGCTGTGTGTGTGAGAGAGACAGAAAGACCCCAACGGTACCCACCGGGGAGGGCAGTCTCCATTTCTGACTGAGATCAGAGCTCTAAGGGGATGTTTTTTTAAACGCAGGACAGAGAATAACAGGTGCCCAGAGGCAGAAAAGAAGAGGCTGCGGAGCCAAATGCCAGTTTATCTCTAACAGTCAGGTTGGGAGGAGGTGACGGGAAGGGAGTGGGTGGCAGAGATGACAGGTGAGGAGGGATGGGCAGGTAGAGAGGGGAGTGGCAGAGATGACAGGTGGGGGGTGACAGGTGGGGAGGGGGTGGTGAAGACGACAGACTGGCCCTTCTGGTGGGCTGGATGAACTCACGGCGGGGAGGGATCAGCTCAGGTCTGTAGACGGGTTCCAGCAGGAAGCCCTGACGGGGAGAAGTGGGTCAGCTAGAGTAGCACATACAGAGGCTGATTACCGAGAGCATCTGGTGGTAAGTGGAGGCAGATTCCCCAGGCAGTGGGTCTCTGCACAGTGGAGAAGGAAAGATACAACCGACTCTAACAGCAGGAGAAGCTCTAAGGACTCAATCAGAATTGTTGATTTTCCTGAGAACAGTTGCAATAAGCTGCAGGGAAGGGCTGCTGAGAAAACCACCAGGAGAGCTGGATTCAGGATGTAGGATGTAGCCAGCCAATCATGCATGCAGAGAACGTTTACTGAGCATGAATACTGTGCCAGGCACCGTTGCTGCCCTTAGATCAGGGGTCCCCAGCCCCTGGGCTGCAAACCAGTACTGGCCTATGACCTGTTAGGAACCAGGTTGTACAGCAGGAGGAGAGCAGTGGGCACTCCGGCGAAACTTCATCTGCATTTACAGTCACTCCCCATTGCTCGCATTACCGTCTGAGCTCAGCCTCCTGTCAGATCAGCAGCAGCATTAGGTTCTCATAGGAGTGCGAACGCTATTGTGAACTGCGCATGTGAGGGATCTGGGGTGTGCCATCCTTATGAGAATCTAACTAATGCCTGATGATCTGAGGTGGAAGTTTCATCCCAAAACCATCTCCCACCCCACCCCCATTCTGTGGAAAAACGGTCTTCCACGAAACCGGTCCCTGGTGCCAAAAAGGTTGGGGACCGCTGCCCTAAATGAGCAGGAGTGTGAGCAAATGGAGGAGTGGCAGGTCCCCTCCCTATCCTTCTGTCTTATCTTTCTTTTCCTCCTTCACTGAAGAATCTGCTACTTGCTGGCCCAGCTAGGATGAGTGGGAGATGGGCCCGTGTGTGCCTGTGGCCACACCTGAGCATCAGGCGGACTCTGGGGGTGGAGGAGAGGCCAGAGCATCCGCCCTCCTACCCCAGGCCCGAGAGGTGAGGCCTGCGCCGGAGTGCAGTTACCTGAAATGTGAAGTATTCATCCGCAGGGGCATTCATCATGTTACAGATCTGGAAGGCAAGAGGAGACAAATGTTCTGAAACATTGTGTGGTGGAGCCCTCTCGACCCACAAAGCAGAATAAGAAAGGACGCATTGAAAGTGAGGATTTCCCACATGGCTCTTGACTGCTTGCAGGCAAATGGACCTCAGCTAGGCCACAGCTGCTAACAACTCATTCAAGATGGCTTCCCTGCTGCTAATTAAATTACTGGAGGATACGTGGTACCGTCTCCGCCCCTTCCCACTCCCCCAGACTCTAGGGAATTCCCTCCAAATTCAAAGCAACAGGCTGCTCAGGCCAAGGAGAGGAGAAAGCTGAGAAATCCTAGCTCTGCTACAGCCAGTATGAGCAGCAGAGCTAGGATTGCTTTTTTTCTTCTTCCCAAAGTGAGATTTGGGTTAGAAGATGATGGCTAAGAGGCAGGAGGAAAAAGCCAGATAAGTTTTTAGTTACACCAAAGTAAGGATTCAGTGAGAGATATCACTTTAATTAGTGGAATTCAAAGACTGTTGCTCACATCTATAAGAACAAGAAATCACTCCATTTTGGGTTATTTTAAGTTTTCTGTACCTTGGGTCATAGTCACAAATGGATCTTAATAAAAGACCATGTCTTTCCAAGAGATAATTAAAATCATAGCATTTTCTTTCATTTTACTTTTTGTATTTTTTGAGACGGAGTTTTTGCTTTGTTCCCCAGGCTGGAGTGCAATGGCACAATCTCGGCTCACTACATCCTCCACCTCCTGGGTTCAAGCAATTCTCCTGCCTCAGCCTCCCAAGTAGCTGGGATTAGAGGCATCTGCCACCACGCCCAGCTAATTTTTGTATTTTTAGTAAGGACAAGGTTTCACCATGTTGGCCAGGCTGGTCTCAAACTCTTGACCTCAGGTGATCCACCTGCCTTGGCCTCCCAAAGTGCTAGGATTACAGGCGTGAGCCACCACACCCAGTAATTGTAGCATTTTAAAGCCAGAAGGGATCTTAGCAATTAAGTTCACACTTTAAAAAAATGAAGAAATGGAAGCCTAAAGAGGTTAAGTGATTTGTTTAAATCTATGGGATGGAACTAGAACTGTGATCTCCAGAACGAGTGCTGGGGAAATCAGCTCTCCTGGCTGGGAATTGGGGAAATCTTTGTCTTGTATCAGTTGCCAATATCCATGGTCCCAATTCTCCCGCCATGAGAGATTTCAAGCTGCCAACAGTTTAACAACTTGCTCACAAAAGTCCTAAAAAACTAACAATCTAACAAGATCTAAGAGGACTCCCTCCTTAAATCCCCACCTCACCAAACTCTGCCTGTCTCTCGGCCCCAAGGTCAGTGCTTTCTAAGAATGATTGAATGAACCATGTCTACTATTTTTGTAGTACGCTTACAAAGAAAACGCAAGAATATTTCACAGTTTTTACAAGCATATATGGCCTAAGAATTTAAGGAATCTTTCATGCCACACATTAATTGCATGATCTAACTTCAATAAATTACATCATTTGATGGGCTGAGCATGCTTCAACTGTGTTTTTGAAGAGGCAAGAAGCAGCTTATTCTTCTTTTTTGAACTTTTCATCAGCAATATCTGTCTTAGTCCTTTCTTTGAAGAACATTATGTTCTAAATGTTATAAGAACATTTACAGGTGGGTCAAGACCTTAGAGGCCCAAGCTTTTAACTCAATATTGAAAAGTTCCACATACCACACCATCCCCACCCCATCCCCCTCATTTATGCTTTAAAAAATTGACTGATATACTTGAGATAGAATTAAACCCAGTCATTAAATCATAGTCATTGAATTCCAAAGGATATCTGAAATGTGTGTGGCTGCAGAATAAGAAATTGAGGGATGGAAGAATCTTCCTCATGATGACTAAATATTTTTGTGTAGAGTTCAGAAGTCTCCGGTTAACCTACATTTTAATGTCAAGATTCTTCTCTCCTTTGGCCTATGCCAAAGGAAGTGATCATCTAGCTTTTTGTTTTGTTTTGTTTTGTTTTTTTCCTATGGAGTTTTGCTTTGTTGCCCAGGCTGGAGTACAATGGCGCAATCTCGGCTCACCGCAACCTCCACCTTCTGAGTTCAAGTGATTCTCTTGCCTCAGCCTCCCAAGTAGCTGGGTTACAGGCATGTGCCACCACGCCCAGATAATTTTGTATTTTTAGTAAAGTCGGGGTTTCATCATATTGGTCAGGCTGGTCTTGAACTCCTGACCTCAGATGATCCACCTGCCTCAGCCTCCCAAAGTGCTGGGATTACAGGCGTGAGCCACTGCACCCAGCCCATCTAGCTTTTATTGGATGCATTCTTGCTTTCACAACTAGTATCTATCTCCTAGCTAACATGAGTTTCATACAATATTATTTAAAATTTGAATTTGTTCAATAACTTACAAATCCATTTTCAGCAACATATGTTGGCAACCCACTAATGAGCGTCCAGTGGTCTGCAGGAGGCGTCCTTGAGGAAGAGAAGAAGGAAAAAAATCATTGCAATATAGAGAAATGCAATGTGTGCAAAAATACAATGGCAACTGCGGCAGCAACTTCCTGTCAATACTCACGGAATCACTTTGATCTCTTCTTTTCCATGTAAAATGTAATCAATGATTTTATAAAAGTTGACCTCCTAAGAAAGAAAGAGGGTATTATGGGAATAATGTTATTTCCCAAATAAATCATTTTTCATTGGGGAACTTGTACTTTAAAACTCTTACAAATAGAACCTTATATCCCAACCACATTATATTATAACATAAATTATCAAACTACTTATATCCTGACTGCACACTTATAATAAAACCAGAAATATTATTGGCTGTTTATCTACATGCACAAGGCTAAAATAAATTTTGTTTTTAAAAAGTTGAATTGCCCCCAGTTTTTGGGGTGGGGGGATCTCTGGCTACTAAATTATCAGATAGTCTGTTTTTATTTTCAAGTGATCCCTTTTGTTGTCCAGAAATACCTGACATTAATAGCTTCACTAGAACAAATCACATAATTTCTCAACTGCAGTCAGTTGTACATCATATATAGTGAGCCAATAATCTCCTTTCATCAGTGGCTTATCTGAACAGGTGCCTCAGAAACAGGAGGTTACATTGCCAAAGCTGGAAGGGACTAGAGAATTATTCTCTCTGTTTCATGGGGCAGATGATGAACCTGAGGCCTGGACACATTCCATCCCCTTCTCTTTCCTGTGTGCTATGGACACAGGGGTTTCTGCCTTCATGAAGCTTGCAGTCAAGGGGGAAAGTAAACCTAACCCAACCCTTCCTTAGAGATTCTAATCCCACATATCTGAAGAAGGGCCCAGGTACTTCTTTCAAATGTTGTGCAGGTGGCTCTGATGCATCCCTCCCTGTTGAGAATCACTGGTCTACCAAGCCCTGGCTTTATAGAAGAGGAAATGGAGAGATTTAACAATGAGTTAAGGCAAGGACCAGTAGCTCTGCCTTGGGGCAGAGCTGGGACTAGAACCTCAAACTCCTTGTCTAGTGCTGTTTCTACTACTACAGGTCCTCCCAGGCCAGTGCTCTATGCACTGTGGCCTCTTAGTTTTAGCACCTGACACCATGCACAGACGGCATCAAGGAAGACATTTGCACGTACCCTGCCATCAGGTGTCTTTGGACCTTTATAAGGCTCTACTTCTCCCAGCTTGATTGGCCATTCATCGTAGAATTCCTGCAGGCAATTAGATTTAAGTATCATTAAACACACTGTTCCATGACCTACCACATCTTATATGAATTTTCTGTGTTTGTATATTTTATGTTAATCTACATAATTCTGGAATTTTAGTGCTGAAAGATCTATAATTCCCAGCAATACTGGTTAGGAATTTTTGACTGTGAACATGTTACTTCACCTTTTATATCTGTAAAATAGGGATAACAATAGAATTTGTACTAAAGAATTGTTGTGAGGATTAAACGAATAATACATATGTAACATCTACCCTGACACATAGTTCAAAGTACTCAATGTATAGCAATTCTTTCATAGACAATTAAGCTAAATCTAGTTTGATTAAGAGGCTTGGCCAAGGTCACACAGAGTGGTCAAATGTTGGTTGCTTTACCCAACATTCATTCTTCGTCTTTTCCTTGCTAGCATAACCTGATATGATTTCAGTATCAGGTGGTAATTTTCCATCAGACCACAGCCCATGTGTGGCCTACATGAGGTGCCTAGATCAGTTTGACGGCAGGTATGTGGCCCAGCTCTGGAAAATGAAGAAAGGGGAGAAGTCTGCTGAGAGACTCTGGCAAAAGGTATTCCTCAGATGAAAGCTGATGAGAGTGACATTTGGAGAAAATGCCTCCCAGTTGTGTCATGTCTATGTGCCATTATTTGAGCTGCAACAGCCATCTTTCCACCATAAGAGGAGGCCTCACCAACATGCTGCAGGTAGCGGAGACCTTGCCAGGAAGAAAGAGAAAGCACCTGGACTTTGACAACTGCACTGATCTCTGAGTCAACCAGTACTAGTGCTGCCCTACCTTGTTAAGTGGGAGAATAAATATCATATTGTTAGAGATGCTTTTAGCTGTGTCTGATACTTCTTACAGACAAAAGAATGCTAACCAACATACTCAGCTAGAAAGTCCCAGAACCAAGATCAGAACCCAGCTCTCCTAGTGCTTCATCCTATGTTTATCCACTTAGAACAACTACTCTGAAAAAATAACTTCCAATCACACAAATATAAAGAAATATAAACAAGGCCAGGTGTGGTGGCTCATGCCTGTAATCCCAGCACTTTGAGAGGCCGAGGTGGGTGGATCACTTGAGGACAGGAGGAGTTCAAGACCAGTCTGGCCAACATGGTGAAATCCTGTCTCTACTAAAAATACAGAAAATTAGTGGACGTGGTGGTACAGGCCTATAATCCCAGCAACCGAGGCATGAGAATCGCTGGAACCTGGGAGGCTGAGGTTGCAGTGAGCCAAGATCATGCCACTGCATTCCAGCCTGGTGACAGACTGAGACTCTGTCTCAAAAAAAGGAAAGAAAAGAAAAGAAAAAATATATCAATAATATGGTATCATTAGTTATTTTGAACTAGAAGGGTAGCAACAGAATTAAAGAAGATGACACAAGGGCATTATATTGTGAATAATATTAAATGCTTCAATATTTCTACTTTAAATTTTTTCAGAATACAAAAATCTAAAGTTGGTAAAGATAATATTGATTTTCCACCTACTATGTAAATTCTAGACACTATATACATATAGTGTTTATATATAAAAATATATCTCTATATAATCTCTAATTCTTACAATCGATAAGAGAGATCTCCTCATTTTGCAGATGAAGAAGCCAAGAATCAGGTAGGTTAAAAGATTTGCTGACAAGAAGAACAAAATCAAAAAGCTGACACTACCTGACTTAAGATTTGCCATAAAGCTGCAATAATCAAGACAGTGTGGGATTAGTTAAAGAATGGACAAATGAATCAATGAAACAAAATAGAGAACCCAGAAATAGACCCTCACAAATATAGTTAACTTGGACAAAGGAGCAAAGGCAATGAACAAAGGATAGTCTTTTCAACAAATTGTGTTGGAACAACTGAACATCTACATGTAAAAAAAAAAAAAGTGAATCTAGAAACAGAGCTTGTACCTTTCACAAAAAATAACTCAAAACGGATTATACACCTAAATGTAGAACACAAAAGTATAAAAACTCTCAGAGATGACATAGAAGATCTAGGTGAACTTGAGTTTGGTGAGACTTCATAGATACAACATCAAAAGCACAATCCATGAGACAGAAAATGTAGAAAAATTAGACTTAATTGAAATTAAAACCTTCTGCTTTGCAGCAGACACTGTTAAGAGAATGAAAAGATAAACCACAGACTAGGAGAACGTATTTGCAAATCACATATTTGGTAAAGGACTTGGATCCACAATATACAAATAACTCTTACAATTGAATGATAAGAAAACAACATAATAAAACGTGGGCAAAATATCTGAGCAGATATCTCCCTAAGAAGACATACAGATGACAAGTAAACATATGAGAAGATGCTCAACATCATATGTCATTGGGGAATTAAAAATTAAAACAATGAGATACCACAACCGATACCCCAAATACTGACATTAGCAACTGCTAATACCCAAAATACTGACATGAACAACCGCTGGTGAGAATGTGCTTCTGGTAGACATGCAAAACAGTAAAGTCACTTTGGAAGACAGTCTGCCAGTTTCTTACAAAGATCAATTAGTCTTATAATATAATCCAGCAATTGCCCTGTTCGGTATTTACTCAATTGAGTTGAAAACAGAGACACATATAAACCTACCTACAATGGTTACAGCAGCTTTATTCACAATCACTAAATATTAGAAGCAGCCTAGATACCCTTCAACAGGTGAATGGATAAACAAACCTGCCGTACAGTGGAATAATATTCAGTGATAAAAAGAAATTAGCTATTGAGTCATGACAAGACATGGAGGAAACTTAAATGCATATTTCAAAGTGAAAAGCCAGTCTGAAAATGCTACATACTGTATGATTCCAACTATATGGCATTCTGGAAAAAGCCAAAACTATAGAAACAGTAAAAAAAAAAAAAAAATTGGTGGCTACCAGGAGTTTGGGGGGGGTGAGGGAAGGTTCAATATGTGAAGCATAGAGGGCTTTCAGGCACTGAAACTAGTCTGTCTGATACTGTAATAGCAGCTATATAACATTATACATCTGTCAGAATTCAGAGAACTGCACAAAGGATGAACCTTCATGTAAACTATGGGCTTTAGTTAATAATAATATATCAATATTGATTCATCACACCACACTTGCTGAAAACCCATACTGCTAGGAAGTGGAAAAACCAAGATTCAAGCCTACATCTTTTTTGCTCCAAGACACACATTTTTACCACTGTTCTTGTGATCAATCATGACTAATTTTTACATAGTGTATCTGTTTTTTGAGGATCACATTTCCTGTGGTGTATGTTTTATAGGCAATGTTAGATGAGGCAAAATGTGTAGAATAATAAGAACCTTCTCCTTGGTCATGTCCAGCAGTCCAATGGAGTATCGTTCACAGTTCAGATATGTTCTAACTGTGTAGAGCGCTTTGTGAAACTGTCGCTCAACATCTGTGAGTTCTTCAAATACTTTATTGGCTGACCACATAAGGATCTGAAAGTAGGTATCAAAAAGAAAACAGTTAGAATAAAGTATGCTAGAGAGAGAGAGAGCATTCGCCACAAGAAAACATGAGGTGCTTCAAATAAAATGAATGCATATCGTTGGAAAGTGCAATTCTGATTTTGAACACGTGTACGTCCAACAAGCTACTCAGATCCTCTAGGTGAGATGATGAGTAGACCTTTGCAAGACTGCGGGTCTGTGGAGAGAGAGAAGCTATGATTGGTCCTTGTGTCTAAATGTTTTGGCTCCAAAGGGGAAGTACCCTGAAATTGGATGCAAAGATGGTCCCTGGGCAGAGAATCCAGTATTGGTGGCCCACTGGCTCCTGCTGGCCCTCATGTGGAGAGAGCCACCTACTTCCTTCCATGCACCCTGAGCTAGTTGGAGGTAACCTTACCTGGAGAGTTGGAATGGGAAGGGACCTCCCTCTCAACCTCTACCTGTGCATTGTACTGGTGAGGAAACTGAGGTCCAGAGAGTGGGCCAGACTCAAGTATCTTGGGTACCAATGTTGCTCTTTATCCCTCTGTCTCATGGAAGCAGGAATAATGTGTTCCTCAAATTAATAAGTTTCCTATGACCCAGGAATTGCTACAAGCTTTATGTGAGAGGTAATCGCTAATAGCCACAACAACCATCTGAAGTAGGTACCATAATTGTCATCACCATTTCATAGACAGAAATGCCAAGTCCACTTGGGATCTAGACTGAAGAAAGCCAAGCCAGTAGTGCACACAATTGGAGAGCTTGGGGTGCAGGGGAGTGTGGGTGGGGAGAGTGGCAGGAAGATCATGAGAGGACACTTGGGACTGAAGTTTGGGGGTCTGCTCCACGTGGCTTAAACCCCCAGGAGGAATAGGAGGGGTCTGAATTTGTTGTCTCTGGGCGGCTTTGTCAGAATAGGTCAGCGTGGAATGATTAATGCTGCCTTCCTTTTACCTGGCTTCTTCGGGATTCAATATTGTACATGTAGCTGGTATGATGAAGCTTTAGGATGACAGACACAAAGTTGAGGTATTTGGAAAAGACCTACAGATGGCAGAGAAGAATAAGTTACAGTTGTGATATCTTTTATTTGGTTATGCAACAAATAAATTTCCTGAGCCTCCAACCAGATGCCCATGGTTAGCATTACCTCTTCATCCTGTTTGGAAAATTCAGATGCATTTACTTTGTTAACTGCCATGATCACAGCAAGAACTTCCTTGCCCATCACGATCGGGGTTGCCAGCAGGTTCTTAGTGACATATCCTGTTTGCTTGTCCATGAAGTCAGAAAAATGGCTGTTCTGAAAGAGATAGTCACACATTTGCCAAAGTGGCACAGAATCGTAGAGTGGTAGATCTAGGGATGATAACAGATCATTCTCTCTCATTTAAATGCTACCAACAGCTAACCAGGGCTCCAGTACAGTGGTCCCCAGCAAACAATCCCACTCCACCTGCCATCCTATGACTGCATAGAATGGAATTGCCCATTTCAGAATAAGCGCTTCCCACCTGAGCTATGACCTATTTAGGAAAGGCTGAGGTTGGGCCAAAAGAAAAGAGGTGATGAGACAGCCAAGTGGACAGTGAGGTGCTAAGAGGAACAGAGGGGAAGGCACAGGGTTACAAGAGACAGCAAGTGCATGCAGGGAAGGAGAGCACAGCTAGGAATACAGACACAGTTCATAGAGTGCTTCTCTCTCATTACAAAGGGAAAACGTGCACTTGAAATCATCAACCCATATGTCATAACATAAAGCAAAAATTATCATTCCCCCCAATCTAGCCTACTAAAAGAAATCTGTGCTAACTGTTGGTGTGTCTCCTTCTATGCCTTTCTCTGTGCCTGAACAAAGAATTTTCTATTTTTTCTAAAATTTCCTTTTCTAATTGCTTATAATAGTTTCATCACCTAACAGTGTCTTACAGACTTCCCTGAAGACCAGCACATATGGATGTGAACTCACCTCTTGGATTCGTGCACACTACTCCACCCTGGGTGCTGTACAATCCACTCAACTGTCCTCTATTGATTCTGCCTGTTTATAGTTCTCCCCACTACCAACAGTACTGCACTAATCCTTCTTACTTTTATTTTTATGTGATAGGTTCCCAAAAAAGGAAATCCCTTTTGCTGGATCAACAGGAACATACAGTTTTTATTTCCATAGATTACTTTGATGAAAGGTTCACATTCCGTGGCTGGGCGTGGTGGTTCACGCCTGTAATCCCAGTACTTTAGGAGGCTGAGGCAGGCGGATCACCTGAGGTCAGGAGTTCGAGACCAGCCTGGCCAACATGATGAAACCCTATCTCTACTAAAATACAAAAACTAGCAAAGCATGGTGGCGCACCCCTGTAATCTCCGCTACTCAGGAGGCTGAGGCAGGAGAGTCGCTTGAACCCGGGAGGTGGAGGTTGCAGTAAGCCAAGATTGTGCCATTGTGCTCCAGCCTGAGCAACAAGAGCAAAACTCTGTCTCAAAAAAAAAAAAAAAAAAAGGAAAAGAAAAAGAAAGGTTCATATTCTAACTTCCACTGACCCTGTGTGAAAGGACTGAGGACCACCCTCTTGCCAGCATCAGATGCTTATCAGGTTTTTAATGTTCTACCAAGCTTATGTCTTTCATTCCTATTTTTTTCTTTCTTTCTTTGGGAGAGAGGAAAGTGGATCTTCCCAGATTCAGGCCTCTTAGATTCAAGAGACGATTCTAATCCACTGGCCACTGCAGAGGCTAAGCGATGAGTCTAGAGAAGTGCACAAATGGAAGGGCTCGAGAAAAAGGTCGAAGAAGGCAATTATCTTATTAGCTGTCATTTCAGAGAATAGTCACTTAAGGTGAGTTTAGACCCAGCCTTCCTTGGGTCATGACATTTTTCCCTTTGCACCTAGGACTGCAATGAGAACTGAACTCTCAGCCTTAACTCTGAGACTCGTTGGCCAAAATTAGTGTGGTGTTCCTTCCGCAGTTGTATTATTTTCATTTCCCTGTGTGGGCAGTGCCTCTAAAAGCAGCACAAACCTTGGAGACTGGATTCTGTCTGGTTTCCCGGAGAAAAAAAATGTAAGAATTTTCTGTGTGCATTTCCAGGCCAGAGTTTCCACCAGGGAACAAGGGCTGGCTGGCCAATAGAACTCACAGAGCTCAAATGAGATTAGCAGTCCTGAGACATGCCTCAGAATCACCTGCAGATTAATGCAGCAGATGCACTGAATCCTAATCTCCTACAGTGGAACCTGCACTTTTACGTGGCCCAGGTAATTCTTAGGCTCAACCCAATGGGGAATCACCAGGAATGGTGCTGCTCTCAGAGGAAATGTGTGATGGAAAGGGGATAAAGGCAGCCCCTCAGCCCAGATCTCTTCTATACCTTTCCCAAAGTGGAAACACACAAACCAACTCTTTAGGCGTCAGCATTGCATAAAGGCAAGGAAGGTACTGGAGTCAGACTTGCTTGGCTGAAACTGAGCCCCAATGTACTAGCTGTATGGTCCTCAGTGTGTTACTTACCTTCCATGTCCTCGTTTTCTAATCTGAAAATAGGGGTAACACTTCCATCTACTGTCTAGAATTCCTGATGTGAAGATAGAATAACAAAGTATAGGCTGAGCACTTAGGAAAAAAAAAAAAAGTGTCTGGCACATAGTTAGATATTCAGTAAGTACTGGGAAGAGAAACTTAGTACTTTTCTAGGCTTTCCTGAATGAGAAGTAGTTATTTTGCAATTACCATTTTGCTTCTAGCTTTAATTTTTCTAGCCAATTCAAATCACTGAAGAAATCAGATGCCTGTAGCTGGATGTAGGCCTCCCACACCGCGGAGCAGCCTTCCTCCAGAGGGCCAGCACACTCCCTCACGCCACCAAGAGCCACATTTCTTTTCTATCCACTTTATCTGTCACTTCTCTGTTTCCCCATAGGATCTTCACCCTCAGACCAAAGTGTCTGCAGGCTTTGTTACATTCTTTCTCTTAATCCGCTGCTTGTCTAGGCCAGCTCCCATTGTTTCCCTTCCACCCTGTTATCCACGCAGATCATACCACCTTCATTTACACAGCCTGGGCACTAAAGGAGTCATCGAAATACCAGAAACATGCACCATGGGATGAAGTTAGCCAGGACTGTTTTTTGTTTTTGTTTTTGTTTTTTTTTTGAGACGGAGTTTCGCTCTTGTTGCCCAAGCTACAGTGCAATGGCGTGATCTTGGCTCACTGCAGCCTCCACCTTCCGGGTTCAAGCGATTCTCCTGCCTCAACCTCCTGAGTAGCTGGGATTACAGGCGCTCACCACCACACCTGGCTAATTTTTGTATTTTTAGTAGAGACAGGTTTTTGCCATGTTGACCAGGCTGGTCTCAAACTGCTGACCTCAGGTGATCCGCCAGCCTCAGCCTCCCAAAGTGCTGAGATTACAGGTGTGAGCCACCGTGCTTGGCTGGCAGTACTTCTTTGCAAACACATTTCACTCTGCGACTTCAAGCTTAATGCCATTTTATTCCAGATTCTAAACACAAGGAAATGTTCTTAAGTTCAATGGACTGTTTTGAGAAAATGGCTTGCAAGTTTCAAAATTTAATACTTGCTTGTTATTGCATCTGAAGGCCCTAGATACACCAGCCATCAAGTTACAGGATGGATGTGGGGAACGGGTTTTTGTGTTTTATTTTCACTAGCTCAAAAAATCTTTAGTGAAGTTTCTTTGCATAAATCCTGTGTGTGTCCCTTGATGGTTCTTCAGAGAAGCCCTTGAAGGCAGCTGGAGAACATTGTTTAGAGCAACAGGAGGCCTGATCCCTCATCAGATGTCAGTATTGCTAAATCCTGATTAAATACCCTTAACCCTTGAGATCCATGGCAGAAGTAGAGGAAAAAAGAGGAAGGAGGACTTTTAAACCACAGTCAGAATCAGAATCACCCATAGTTTATGGACAGCTTTCCCAATAGAGAAAGAAAGAACTTAAAGAGGATAGTTCTCAGTTTCCTGTTGTTAAAAGTCTTCCTCTCAGCACTTTGGGAGGCCTACGTGGGCAGACCATGATGTCAGGAGTTCGAGACCAGCCTGGCCAACAAGGTGAAACCCTGTCTCTACTAAAAATACAAAAAGTAGCTGGGCATGGTGGTGCGTGCCTGTAATCCCAGCTACTGAGGAGGCTGAGGCAGGAGAATGACTCGAACTTGGGAGGCAGAGGTTGCAGTGAGCCGAAATCGTGCCATTGCACTCCAGCCTGGTGACAGAGTGAGACCCCTTCTCAAAAAAGAAAAAGTTTTCCTGCCTTCAACTTGTTTTAAAACAGGCAATAGTCATTGACCCTTTTTTGGCCAACCATATCCAGCTCCTAAACCCCTACTGGCATAATGACAATATTATCACAGCTATCATTTATTGAGCATCTGCTATGAGTCAGGTCCTTTATACACATTTAATCTGTACATTTGCTTATCTCCATTTCTTAGGGGTAGAAACTCCATCACACAGTTACTAAGTCACAGACATGGATCTGCACCCAGCTCTGTCTGATGCCAAAGCCCTCTCCCTATACCAGTGGCTTCCCTGTTACCTTCATGGACCCTCCAAGGCTAGGAGTAGGTAGCTCTGTACCTTTGTCTAGGCGTGAGAAGTCTTTCCCTCACCTGCGCCCACACTGCTAATCAGAGGAAAGTTGTGTGTGGTCAGGGGTGTGGTAGAAAGAGGGAGGCCTCCAAGACCTGAGTTATTGCCCCAGATCTGCCACATCCTGTCTACCTAACTTTGAACGATTCCTACTACATAAGCTGGAAATAAAAAACATGATCCTTGTCAGAGAACGGTGTTTAAATTGCCAAGTGCAATGAAAAGAGGAAGAATTAATCAGATATTTCATTGGAAACATTAGTTTCTACTTCCTTTCCCGTTGCAAATCTTAACCGCAGTGGTTAAAGCATGTGAAACTGCAGGGGTGTAAGGTAGGCAAACAGAGCACTGGACACATACTCAGCTACCTCTGTTCCAACCCTTCTCATCCACAGACACATACCATGGACGCCGGGGAGATACAACTCCTGTGGCCTCAACTTCCTGTCCTCCATTGGACAGAGTTGGGCTAAAGACTTGATAAGCCCCTTCCGTCTCTAATATTCCACAGTTGATTTGAAATTCACTTCCTCCTCCTGTATCTGCTCACCCAATAGACCAGTGGTTTTCAACATTGGCTGCATATCAGAAGTACTTGGGGGAGGTTTTTAAAAATACCAATGCCTGGGCCGGGCACACTGGCTCACGCCTGTAATCCCAGCACTTTGAGAGGGTGAGGCGGGTGGATCACCTGAGATCAGGAGTTCAGTACCAGCCTGGCCAACATGGTGAAACCCCGTTTCTGCTAAAAATACAAAAATTAGCCGGGCATGGTGGCGCACACCTGTAGTCCCAGCTACTCAGGAGGCTGAGGCAGGAGACTTGCTCGAACCCAGGAGGCAGAGGTTGCAGTGAGCCAAGATTGCATCATTGCACTCCAGCCTGGGTGATGGAGCAAGACTCTGTCTCAAAAATAAATAAATAAATAATAAAATAATAAAATAAAAATGCTAATGCCTGAATTCCAATTTTTGAGAGTCCGCTATAACAGTAAAGCCACCGATATGGTTTTGTGGATTGTGTTTGTTTTTTGAGACAGCGTTTCATTCTGTCACCCAGACTGGAGTTCAGAGCGTGAACACAGCTCACTGCAGCCTCAGCCTCCCAGGCTCAAGCCATCCTCCCATCTCAACCTTCCAAGTAGCTGGGACTCCAGGCACACACCACCATTCCTGGTTTATTTTTGTATTTTTGGTAGAGACAGGAGTTTCCTATGTTGGCCAGGCTGGTTTCGAACTCCTGGGCTTAAGCCATTCACCTGCCTTGGCCTCCCACAGTGCTGGGATTACAGGCATGAGCCACTGCATACAGCTTAATGTGGTTTTAATGTACAGCCAGAGTTGGAAATCCCCGCTCTAGATGGAAAAAAAATGAAGAAGTAGTTGAAATGAAGAACCAATGAGGCCTCTGTCTTTCCTGTAAGCACAGAACTGTATCTGTCTTCAACACACATTTCTCTGTGTCCCACCCAGAACAGCCAGGAGCCCTCCAGAGAAGAGAGGAGAGACTCCCCACTCCCAGATGAAGTGCTCTGTCCATGCCATGATGCCCACCATGGACAGCCGCAGACCAAAACCACCTCCAAGCAGCTCCATGCTCTTATTTCCTTCTCACCACGGAGAACTGGGCTCATCAAAATATAACAGCAGAAATCATTTTACCCATCTCTTCTTTAAAAGCCTTTCAAAAAAATTCCCGAATGTCACTTTTTAAAGTTTGGTGTGCTAGTGGGGATGGGCTCAGTTCAGGACCCTCAAGGAGCATCTTCCCATGAGAAAAACCTCAGGATGTGCGGAGATTGCCTTCCAGTTGGTTGTCTAGAGAACTTTTCCCTAAGGACGCGCATCTGTTTAGACACCGGAGCCGCAGTCATCCTCAAAAGCAAACTTAACCCAGCTTAAACTCATTGAAAGGAGGAATTATTCAGGACTGAAGGCCCTCCCAGGCCCCATGGTAACCCTTGCACCTGAGCAGTGTTCTGTGGTGGTTTGCAGAGAGTTGCTCATGTTTGACGACTTTCATACCTCTTGGGTCCGTGTGACCCTCCCCCTGTAATCAGCTTCAGGAGGCATTTAGGAGATTATCCTCCTGCCTCTCCAGCTGCGCTATTCACCCCTGCACAGAAAGCATTTCACAGGCTGTTCCCATTCAACTCTGTTCCATCATAATCCACTTCTCCCTTTTTTGTTAATGGTAAACCGTAATAATGGAACACATGTGTAGAGAAGGAGCTGCCAGGAGAATCTCCAAGCTGGTACCCTTGATTATTGCTGAGGGGAGGGATGATGGGTGATTAGCATTTCCTCCTTTGGTTTATTTGTATCTTATAATTTTTAAAAAATGAACATGTATTCTAATGGTAAGAATAAAGTTTTTCTACTTCTATAAGGGTCATCTCAATGCCTTGTATTTGTGCAGTATGCTGTTGGTCTTCAAGAGGGTCCAAATGTCCCACTTACATTATTGGAATTCATTCTTGAAAGATCTGGGTTATGGAGCAGTGGGAGTGGTCAATTGCACTTAACCATCACTTAAATTCACATATGTAATGAATTCCAAATTTGAACATCTGAACTTTCAAATGGCATCATTTTTTTTTTTTTTTTTTGCACATTTGGTTGATAGATGAAAGCATTGATTTACTAGCAAATCCATCCAAAAAAACCTGAATGCTTTCAAAGGACTGTGAATGAGAGGCATGGGGAGCAGTTGACAAGTTTTGGCATCTGGGCATGTTGGCCCATCTCCCTGGTGGGGTGGTTTGCTTTGCTGGTGTTGTGAAAAGGAAAGTCCTCCAGAGCACTGGAGGAGGTGTAAGGGAGGGGGTGTGGAATACACCAGGTCCAGGTAGGATCGCCTGATAAAATGCCCAGCTTTACATGGGACATACTTACACTTCAGAAAATAATAATTCATTGTTTATCTGAAATTCAAGTTCAACTGGACAACTTGAAATTTCATTTGCTAAATTTGGCAACACTAGGCCTGACTGATCCTCTTGCCTGCCACCCACATTCCCGCGATTATTGCCAAACTAATGCCACAAGGATAGCACTATCTCTATTTCCCATTGGTTCCTCCCTGACCCTGCCAGGACCTCTTTCCCACTGTCATAAGGCCACCTACCTTTTTCACATCTGGGACATTATGAGTTTTCTTCGTGTGAGCAGCCCAACCCACTATCCCAATGTCCAGTGGAAACACAACTTCTTTGTCAGGACCCACCAGGTTGTCGTCAAAGTTGGAGGTGGGGGTGACATCCAGCAACCTAGAGGCCACCTCAGGTATGCCGTTCCGGGACCGGCACAGGAACATGCTGCAGCGGTCAGCCTGGAGCAGGTGGGCCAGCCTCTGCAGGGCCCTGTGAACCCCCTGCTCTGGGGTGCCCCCCTCCTCCTGCACAGTCCACAGCAGCTCCAAGCACAGGGCCGACTCCTCCACCTGGGTCAGCTCAGAAAAGGACATGCTGGACTGGACTGGCACCTGGCTGTTCTTGAAGATTTCTCCCAGCACCTCTACCCGCAACTTCCTGTCAAAGTACTCCTTGGCAAACTGAGGATTCTCCTCCAGGTATTTCTCCACGGCATCTTGGTTGATCTCACCCATGGTGCGGCTTACTTTGCTGCTGTTGTTCAGAAAGGACGACCTTCAGAGCACTACCTGAGGCAGAGTGATGAGAAGGAAATACATCCTTGTAGAAATTACTGAGGAAACCGTAAATGGTCCCTCATAGGACTTCCAAAGGTCAAGCAGAAAGCAGAGCTTTCAAACTGCCTGTAACTCTTGGGATGTGACAGAAGGCCCTGGCTTAGGGTGGGATTCAGGAAGCAGAGGATTAAAGAGTTCTTCAGGACACTAAATCCCTGAGCATTAGGAGCTCATAAGTCCCCAGTGAATCTTCAGAGCATCTTAGATCAGCCCAGCAAATAGCAAGCTGAGGTGTCCATTCCAGAAAAAATAACTGAATGCCGGCTGCTGTCCGCAGCACGGAAGAATCACTGACATATGCATGAATGACATGACATCGGCAACAATTGGCACCTTGAATCATTCTTGCATGATAGCTATAGGAAGTAAAACTATTTAGACCTCAGAAGTGCTTGGAATTTTTTTGTTTATATAGCAACTTCAATGAACATCTGGGGAATATGGAACCGTTTAGCATCACCAGAACGTAAAGGTGAATATTAATCTTTCCTTTTCTTAAGTCTTTTGATCACCAAGGTTGCTTGGCCTCCTCTTTGTCTGAAACCCTCACCTCTCAATCTCCCTCACTTTAGAAAGCTTGACCTCGGAAGTGTTTTAAAGGAATAAACCTCAAGCTTATTACTAAAGAGGTGAACATAGCAAAACATTTGTCAATGATCCAAACCTAATCAAGTCATGAATTGAATAATAACCCTTGTCGAGAGACTGTAATTACAAAAAGTAACCTACATAGTTACTAGCTGAGTTTTTCTGCTAAGTATATTATTTAGGATTTTGTTTTCAATAGTAATAGCCAGACATCATGCGATTTTGCTCCAACATAGAGTCTACTAAATCTACTAGATGATAGATATCTTGTTTGTTGCTAGGATCCTTAACGTCTCAGGAGCTACTGGCATAGAAAGAACACTTACCACTACTTAGTTTTATTTAATGTTCACTTTACTAAGCTTTTACATCTATTAAACACATTTCCTCAAATATTTAAACACTATTATGCAACTAATAATTCAAACTATTAATTCATGAACCAATTGCCTTCGATACTTACATGTTGGTTTCAAACTTAGTCAAGGTGTTTTAAACACTTCAATAAAACTACAAACCTAATATGACAAATTATCTTAAGCGGAAAACACACACATGTTACAGTGACTCTAAAAATTATTGTTACACCCACATTTAAGTTTGCTTCAAAAATAGAAACCCTATGAGTTTCATTGAGTTCTCTAAGCTTTACCTCTCTAGAGAGATACTAATTTTTTTTTTTTTTTTTTTTTTTTTTTGGTTGAGACGGAGTCTCACTGTGTCGCCAGGCTGGAGTGCAGTGGTGTGATCTCAGCTCACTGCAACCTCCGTCTCCTGAGTTCAAGTGATCCTCCTGCTTCAGCCTCCCAAGTAGCTGGGACTACAGGTGGGTGCCACCACGCCCAGCTAATTTTTGTATTTTCAGTACACACAGGGTTTTACCATGTTGGCCAGGCTGGTCTCGAATTCCCAACTTCAGGTGATCCACCCGCATCAGCCTGAGAGATAGTAATCTTATTGGTCTTAAAAGAAAAAGAGATCTGTTGAGATTGCACATTCCCTGTTGAGAATTGAGAGATTCTTGGTGGGAAACATGGTGTTCCCAGGGGTACAGAACTCCAACAGTCATTTGTTGAGTTATGCCACTTCTTATGATTGAGTTTCACCTGCTACCTCAAAGCACCTTGTCAGGTGCACACATTTTCTTGGACTATCCTATGTCACACTCAACTCTAGTCTCAGGAGGTTCCTCATTGGATGACTATTTACTTCATAGCATCCTATTATTATAATTAGGATAATGCAGAGGTATATTTCCCAGGAGAGAGTTGAGTCAACTGAGTCACCCCTCCTATGGGACCATCCTCCTCATCTAACAATTTTGGGCACCTTTTCTACCTATTTTGTGTGACTCATAGCACAGTTCCTACTTTTCCCAAAAGTGTGTGGCATACTCACGATTTCCTGGTTTCATCCTTCCCTCCTGAAACAGAGAGGGAAAAACACATATTTGCATTTCATATACAGACTTATACTTAGAAAAAACAAAATGCCCATATATGTTCATGTTTCATAATCTTATAAAAGTGAATATTAATTTGAAAAAGAAACATCCTATTATAGTCAGCATTCTTTTGTTTTCATAACTAGTTAGAGATTTGTTCATTTGTTCATTCTTTGTTTTTTTGGGTTTTTTTTTGAGATGGAGTCTCCCTCTGTCACCCAGGCGTGATCTTGGCTCACTGCAACCTCCACCTCCCTGGTTCAAGCGATTCTCTTGCGTCAGCCTCCGAAGTAGCTGGGATTACAGGTACACGCCACCACGCCTGGCTAATTTTTTTTTTTTTTTTTTTTTGTATTTTTAGTAGAGACAAAGTTTCACCATGTTGGCCAGGCTGGTCTTGAACCCCTTAGGTGATCTGCCCACCTTGGCCTCCCAAAGTGCTGGTATTACAGGTGTGAGCCGCTTCACCTGGCCTCATTTTTTCCTTCTTTCAACATTCGTCTATTGATTGTTATAAGCAAGGCACCATTCTAGCTATTGTGATAGAGACTTCAAGTTCCCTTTATATTGTATGATTGTTTCCTTCTCCCAATTATATGGGAAGATTACTCTTTCCCCCTCGGGTACAGCCATATGACTGATTTTAACAAATGGGTTGTGGGCAGAAATATCACTTTCAGACAGAAATAATTAATTGCCAACGGGAGGCTCTCCAGGTCTCTGTTCCCTCTACTACCGCATCAGTTTCAGGTGAAAGGGCTCCTGAATCCCAGAGTGAGGATGTCGTGTAACAGAGGCCCCTGCTGAGCTGAGATGGACATGTAGCATGATGAGAAATAAACCCGTCTTGTTTTCAGCCTCGGAGACATGAGGGTTGTTGTTACTGCAGCATCACCAAGACAATTCTGACAGTTACATTTCTACTGCCGGGGACCTAGGGGGATGACAAGCACTTGTGGCATGGGAAGGGAGATAAGACTAGTGCATAAAAAGCCATGAGACATAGAACAGAATGCAAGTCATGCTGGAAGTGAGGTACATGCACACGGCTATGGGAGTTCACAAAAGGGATCATATCTAGTGTGGCTGAAGACAGGGTAGAAATCGAGAGTGTTCAGAAGCAATAGCATGGGGTGTAGGGTAATACAGGGAGGACAGTGAGAGATGCCCCTGGAAAGGTGGGTGGGGCCCAGATTAGAAGGGCCTCAAAGGCTAGACTGAGGATTTTGAATCCTGGAAAATTTTTGAAGTGGAAGGCAACATTATTAGTGTTCTTCTTTACCAACTTAATGAGGAAAATAACTTGGAGGAAAACAAAATACTGGACATTGGGATACAGATTAAGATATTTTATTGCCTTTGGCTCATTATCAAACAACCTAAAAATGTGTATAGGCTTTGACCCTATAATTCTGCTTTTACGAATTCATCTTAGAGAAATAATTAAGAATGTATGTGATTAATACAGTTGCAAGGGTGCTTCTTATGAGTGTGGGTATAAAAGTAAAAGACTAGAAATAGCCTAGACACTCAATAGTAGGAGGTTGAGTAAATAAATGGTGTTAGATCTCTAAAATAGAAAGCTACACAGCTATTAGGTTGGTACAAAAGTAATTGCAGTTTTTCCCATTACTTTTAGTGGCAAAAACCGCAATTACTTTTGCACCAACCTAATAATATTGTTAGTCTATTGATATGAAAAAATATTTATGATATGCAGTTAATTACAAATAGTATTGCAGCACGATTCCATTAATACACACAGAAAGAGGCATATATACCAAAATATTAAGTGGAATTATTTCAAGGCAGGACACAGTGGCTCATGCCTGTAATCCCAGCCCTTTGGGAGGCCGAGGCAGGCAAATCACTTGGACTCAGGAGTCTGACACCAGCCTAGGCAACATGGCAAAACCCCGCCCTACAAAAAAATGCAAAAATTAGCTGGGCTTGGTGGCACACACCTGTAGTCCCAGCTACTTGAGAGGCTGAGATGGGGGGATGGCTTGAGCCCAGGAAGTAGAGGCTGCAGGGAGCTGTGATTGCACCACTGCACTCCAACCTGGGCGACTGAGCGAGACCCTATCTCAGAAAAAAAAAAAAAAAAAAAGTTATTTCAAAGTGGTGGGATTCAAGACATTAATTTTTTTCTTCTTTTTTGCTTACCTGATTTTTATACAGTATCGACGATGAACATATATAATTTATGTAATTAAGAAATTCAGTCATTCATCAACAAAGATTTTGAGGTTATCTCTGCAGTCTATGGGTGAAGTTGCTTGGGAATGAAAAAGAAAAGGACAAATGTGAGACACGATCCAGCAAATGTGTCACGACAATTGACAGGACGAGGCAATTGATTAGTTAGTAAAAGCACACAAGACAAGGGGTCACTGTTAACTACTTTGAGTGTTGAGCAAAGTTACGGACTGAATGTGTTCCCCTAAAATTCATCTGTTGAAATCCTAACCTCCAGTGTGATGGTATTAGGTGATATGGCCTTCAGGACGTGACTAGGTCATGAGGATGGAACTCTCACAAGTGGCATTAGTGCCCTTATTAAAGGGTCCTCAGAGAGCTCTCTAGCCCTCTTTCTTCCATGTGAGGATACCATGAGAAGATGGCTCTCTGTGACCTGGAAGAGGAAGATGGCCATCACTGAACCTGAACGTGCTGGCACCCTGACCTCAGACCTCCAGCCTCCAGAACTATAAGAAGTGAATTTCTGTTGTCTATTAGCCGTTACGTCTATGACACTTCGTTATAGCCACCTGAACTAAGACAAATGACATTTTATCAAAGATTTTTAAATGGATAATATTAGAAGCCTCCTTTTAGCACACACACCAATAGCCTTTTCTTTCTTTCTTGTTCTTGACAAAGTCCTGTGATTTC